ATCATTGCCATCCCACCTCCGTCGCTTCGATGTCTTCGTCTTTCCCGGCAGTATGGTGGAGCAGAAGTGTAGACACCGTGAGGTTGCGAGCGCGTGGAACGCTGGTCAAGCTCGCCGCAGCCAGGAAACTCTGCGTTGATCACAACCTTGCATTGCAGCCTAGGACCCATCAACGCCGTTGGCAAAGTCACCTTGGTAAATAGACATGTTAAGTGTAAAGTAGTGGCTGCCCTTTCCATAGTGTTGAGTACCTGAATCTTTAAACGAGAAGCACTTCTGAAATTGGTGTTCCCAATCACTCTAGTATTTCATTAGTCTCATGGCCGTTTGCAATGCCAGCTCGATCTCTTTCTTCTTATTATCTATTCCGTTCAAGTCTTCAAGAAGTCCTTGATGAACGGGTTGTCTAAAAATCTTCTAGCTGGCAGCCGAGCAAGAAATTGGTGGAGATTATTGGATGTCGGGACTCAGTTACCGGTACCATTTCCATCTCGCGAAGCCCTCACAACATGGCGGCTAGAGTGGAAATTAGCAAACGTAATGATTATTAGCAAGAAAGGTTATTAAGTAGACTGTCTTTATTACCCTAATATGGATGATACTTAAAAGCTGCTGCTGCTCAAGGTACCTGAGCAACAATTCCACGCTACTATTAAGAGCTACGTAGGGAATACTAGTCAAACCAGCGATATGTCTGATAGTGCTTTATCACCTGTCTAAACCAACGAGATTCAGCCAAAACTTGTTTTCAACCAAGGGTCGTCGTTTCAGCTTGGTGCTCCCGACCAGATGCGGCCCACAACAAACACTGAAGCAGAGATTGGAATGAAGGTACTCGACTTTCAAAACACTGGTTTCGAGCTTGAGCAACGTGTATCTCCTGTATCACGCATGGAATTCTATTCTGATTCGGCATCTCCAGAAGTGCTTCTAAAAATCTTAACCCCCAGGAAACGCTTCACGATGGCTCCACGGACATGCACCCCCTAAGCTCATATTCAATGGACAACAGCGTAGTTTTCTCATCTGAAAATGCTGATCTTGAGGTAAGTTTCTTGAATTTTGTTCGTTATGCTTTCACTAACCTTATAAAAGCTTAGCAGTTTGGATCTTGGCTTTAACTCATCTTCCAGCTTGGACTTGATAGGTTCCCGGGTCATAGCCAGTTCTTTGGTACTGAAGGTGGTCATATTCATGGCTACTTTCAGTGATATTTGTTTTACTAGAGCAAAAGAAGTACAACCACATATCCAGACGTTGTAGTGCTTGCAATCATTTTGCTCAACGCTTTCGTATTTGTCTTTAACCACAGTGCCGCTGGTAATCAACTCAATGTTGTCTTGTTCAATCTGGCTAATTTGAATGTTAGAGCACCTAGGATTCTGCGCTACAGCTTCTGTCGGAATGGTTTTAGCCCTCAATAATGCTGAACCCGTATTTGGAGGAGGGTTTCATTTTGTTCAGGAGTTATCTAGAGATATTATAGGTCTAGAACTCATATCTGCTAATCTAATAGGAATTAGAGACGCGTAGACAACAACCGAGTGCTAGGGGGAGACTGAAAGTGTTGCAGTCGCAACATACGAGATAAAGCGCCTCTATAAGCCTAGAAGTACATCGTTCATATAGAAGGATCATTGTCTAGATATGCTAGCGGGCGGATGCAAATAGTGATCGTGAGAAAAATGGTAAACTTCTGGGGACAGATGGCTCCTGTTTACAGGAGTAACGTGGGGTGGCGCGGACACCTTCATGTTCCGCGTTGCGTCTGCTATCTGCTAAGCTTGCTAAGTGGGCATAGCTACAAAAGTTGCGGCTGGAATCGAGTAAGATTGATTGATTGATTGATTGATTGAATGAATACCAAAGCCTGCTTGTGCCCCACCCTACAAACTGATATCTTTTGGTCAATTGACCTTGCACCTCGCACTTGCACTCCCACAATCGCTTGCTTTTCCATAATCACAACAATTGCCATTTGGAGCACACTCAAAAATATGAGTCGAAACTCGCTTCGTAGTAACAACATAGGCGTTGTTGTCGGACCAAACACAATTACCGCAGACAGTAAGTTGCTTCCCACGACTGTTGCATTTGCACCCGTTGTATGAACATGCTCTTTTGCCTAAAGGAAAAGGCTCGGCAGCCAGCTCAACGGATAGAGGCTCAGCGATTGGCTCGACAGATAGAGATTCGGTATCCCGTTTCACAGCTACGGGCTCGGCTGCTACCGCTAGAACAAGAAGAGCAAATGAGATGGAGAATTGCATGATGGGTAGTAAGATTCTAACACAATATCAGTTGATCGGTCTTGCAGAAGTGCCATTGAGGGGAGTATGTATACTCTCTTTTGGGGAAAAAGGATAAACTTTCAGATTCAGGATGGTGGACAACGCTGAAGAAAGGATCTGTCTTTCTTCTCTAAAGCCTGGCTGTCATGCCTTATTTATCTCAATTGTTACTGTTTCCTTAGTCTACAAGGCTCATATAGTGTATCAGCAGGCCATTGGACAATACATGGGAGGGGCTAATATCTACCTGCCATTTTCGTTAGCTTCCTTTACCGGGACCCACTCACTATCACAACGAGAATATTGCTGCATTACTAGATGCCTTCATATATTAATTTGTTTTCGCTTTGCTCGCATTGCTCGCATTCCTCGCTTTCCCCGCTCTATGGTGTAACTTCGTTGCAGTTTTAGCTACATATTACAATCGGTCCCGGAGAGGGTTTTGGGCGAGGAAGAAACGCGATTTGATTGACTCTAAGAAGCTCAACGCTGATTGGTATGCTAAGTGAGATGTTAGAAATCTCTATTTTCGAATAACTAGTGCCAATCACGTAACGAACACCAAAATCTCAGCTATATAACGAGCCAAAAACAAGCTTATAGATTAGCTTATAGATTAGCTTAGAAACGAGCTAGAATATGAGCCAGAATATAAGCTAGAATATAAGCCAGGATATAAGCCAGGATATAAGCTCAAGCTGCACCCCCTTCAGCACCGCCAGCCGGGCTGTCAAACTACTGATTTTATAAGAGTACAATCATTGCAGATGGGCCCAATCGTAGCGAGATATCCTCAGAACGCTGCCATTGGCTGATACGCAGCCTAGGAAGTGTAAAGCGCTTTATTTTAGGTCAAACATCGTCATCCATAATTATTCGGGTAAGACGGTGCAGGTAGTACGGCTGGTTATATTTGTCCCCAAAATGAGGTTTTGTCACGAACGTTAGACTAAGAAAGTAGGTAGTTACGCTAGTGGAAACTGACATGTTTCATAGTAGGCGAGCTGGCGAGCCCGCCACTGCCGGCAAGAAAATGCGACTCATCCGCCTTCCACCGCGATGCATGAACACGCTGGATCTAGATTTATCTTCTTATAAAACTAGACCTATCCTGGCTATCAATGAACTAAAAATCATGCGACATTGAGTGAGCGACACGCTGCAACATCGTATAGAGTTCCTCGAAGCACTATTCAAACTAGATGCGCTAGGAACTACTTCGTGGCGCGACTGAAGAATCAGCCATTGTGCGGCACATACTTGATCTAGATTTAAGAGGGGTTCCGCCCCTAAACGCCACATTTCCATACTAGGACGGTAGGTGGGGTTCCTGAAGCTGAAGAGACGCAGCTTTACGAACCTATAACAAATGGGGTTGGCTACGATACCTGTCAGTGGCGGGTAAGATGTGATCGGGTGCATTAGCCTACAGCAATAATTTGATGGCGCTTTGCAGCTGCAGAACAATGGAGGGACTAGGCGCAAACTATCTCTGAAGGTTGGTTGTGTTGCTTTCTTCTATTGGTATGAGATCGGTGTGAGGGAGAGGTTGGTGGACGTTGTGCTATGCATTTGGCTTTCACCTGCAGCCTAAAGTCGCGGAGCTGAAAACATATTCCTGCATCTCCGCATCGTTTTCAGTCGTCTCTGAACCTGATGATACATGTTATGGGCAACAGGCTGTTCTAGGCCTTCTATGGTTGTGAACAAGGTAGAAGCTGGGCGCTCTGGTTGACTCAGTAACAGCCTCGAAAACACCAAGGCCGATGATGCAGTTGCGGCCCGTGATGCGCTAACTGCGAACCACAACAGTACCCAGCTCAAAACAGTCGCCGCTTTCGCGCCGTTTTTGGTTGTGCCTTGGTTTGGCTTCCGTACTTAGATCCTCTTCTAGCTCCAAAAGTGGTGCAGTTGTGCCCCCTGTTCCTCGCTACTGCGTTGGGATCCGATCCGACCCGACCCGACCCGCTAGCTACCGTGTCCGTGCCCGCCAACATAAAAGTGCCCAACATGCTGGATTGCACTTAAACATTTAAGCGATGCATTCCTGCGTAAAAGATCTACTCATTGCCAAAGCCTTGTGCAATGGTCCTTGATAAATGAACTTGTTTATGAACTTGCATTAACCATCTCGGAGGATAGGGAGTACGGCCAATAGAGTTTATCCCAGGTGATTAGATTGATGGACCCCTATCTAGGAGCTCAGTAGCAGTATTTATCTAATATCTACGAGGATAATTTAATCCTGCCCGCAGCTTCTTGCCCGAACTCGTGCTAGAACAGAGCTCATTCCTGGAGCTCTAGTCATGTGACGCTCGACCCATGCCTTGTACCTTCACCCAAACCCTAAGCTTCAAGAACTAGGGAACCCCATCTGCGGCAACTATAAAATGACTTAGTATTCTTGAATGACAAAGATGTATCTTGAGCCAACTCACGTCCAGTTACTCGATCTCCTCTCCGTCTGGGATTATCGAGGTTATAGCTCCGATGTTGGTAATTTTGTTCCATGCGAAACCATAACGATTGAACGCATCTTCGCTCTTAATCCATCTCTTTTTGCCCTGGTCGATCAAATAGACGGGATCATCAAACCCTTTGGCCAATGGAGTCGGGAAATCCAGTACGGGACCCTTGGGGAAATTGTCAACCAGTGCTTGTTGCACGGTTGAGAATTTCCATTCCCCGTCGCCAAATAGAGCTTTGTAGATATCAGGGGTGGCAATGTGTCGCAACTTTCCGTTGAGTACAAGGTAAACAGGGTCTTGTTCATCACCCTTAATGCGCTGTCCTTCGAACTTCTTGGCCATTGTTGATGTTGTAGAGAGTTGGAATGTTCAAATGATGATAGTTATGATAGGCAGAAGATAGTCAGAAGATAATGGAGTGCAGGCTGAGATGTCTGTGGATTCATTGAGCTGATGGGAAGATACTTATACTTTAACAGAAACCACCAAAAGTAGTCTAAGCCAAGCGGGATCATGATGAGCCGAGCCCTCCAGCAAGGCAAATGCATAGTGTACATTGTAGTCTACTGTAATTTATCACGTTCTGTATGCAAGTAAAGGACCACTTAAGTAATGTGGCTGGCTGAAAACATTGTTCTGTTCGTACAAAGTAGTTGAGGCGGGCTGAAAACATGTCGTTCGTTCCGTACGCTACGGCTGAGGCTGGCTTAAGTAGTGGCTTAGCACATAAACGAAGGCTTGCATATGAAAGCCAATTCCAGCCGTCTAGCGTAGGGTTACCGCGCCGTGCTTGTTATGCTGCAGTACCTACCACTAATATACTTGGATAAACATACATAGGCCATCTAGACCTCATAGCCACCTCATCTGTAATCATAGTAGCTTCGCCCAAGCTGAATGACTGTGCGTGTCACTCCGTAGCTCGCGAACAATGCGCGGGACCCGGCACACGCGCAACGCTGGTGGGCCTCGACCGCGTAGGGCACGTCGACATCCCCACCTTACCGACTCTGCGCACAATGTAGCACTGACAGACGAATCGGCCATTCAACTATTAGTTTCTATCCCTAGGCCGCAAGTCACCACTAAGACAGCATCGGAAAGACTAAAATATCCAGTCCTAAGGTCAAATCTCGAATGTTAATTAGTCTTATAGACGTGGTAAATGAACCCTAGATATTAGCTATCTAGGGTCGAGCTAATCTCTTACAGTCTGGGCATAGTTGGCAGGTGTAGCACGGTGACCTAAATACGACCCTGTATGGGCTTCGATGTTACTGCTTGCTTCACGTTTGTTAGGTGTCAACTTACAGGTGGGTACTTGAGTCATGACTATGGAGACAAGTGCTGGAAAATGCTATTGTATGTTACAAGCCATACAGTAGGTCTTTCTTGCAGTGTATCTAATCACAGCTCTCCGAACATGAGGCCGGCGCTAGTCTTGTGGTGGCTGAGTTACTGCCCGCGGACGCAAGATCGCATCATTGCTTCCTTCGGAAGCATTCTAGCCCAAACAGTAACATCTAGGAAGTTAGAATCGCACCCTCAAATTAGCTAAATAAAACCTGCTCTTGTCAGTTAAGACGTTCGAAGCACTCCTACGTAAGCAATATTTGGATCATACAAGAATTGAAATCTAAAGATGTTCCCTAAGGAACAAAGACGCCCCTGCTTGTGTGCGCAAACGCTAACCTCTGCGATAAGGTACTAGGTAGAGTGCCTCTGCGCGACGCGAGCCAGGTCGCTACTCGAGCCATCTGGCGATTGTTAGTACTGGCAAAATATGAGGCTGTAGAGCCGTGAAATATATGTTACATGTAAATATTGTCAGGAATGACATATTTGACTCGTTCCTATTCTCCGTCTCCAAAAATGTCGGTCCAGCTAAACCCCCCTCCATCTCCACCGCCAGCATCGCCACCACTTTGACCGCCCTGGCTACCCCAGAAGTCTTGATCCTGGCCTCTAGATCCAAACCCAGGATCTTGAGTTTCACCCCATACATCTTCGCCAACTTGGCTTGTACCAGACTGTTGATTTGGGTCTGGTTGATATGGATCAGTAGCCTGTGGTGAAGCATCATCTCCTCGTTGCTGTGCAGCTTCTCTGCCTCTTTGCATAGCCTCATAGCCTGCCATTGTGGCAGCACCAGTCGCAGCGCCTTCTCCCACACCTAGACCTCGGGCTGCAGCACCGACTTCACTGGCGATACCAGTTTCGCTAGCTGCCCCAACGGCCCCAGCTCCAGCGGCGCCTGCTTCTCCTGCTGCAGCGCCCCCGGCAGCTGCACCGCCAGCAGCTTCACCACCCCCGCCAACCCAGGGCATCCACATTGGCCACATGCCTCCTGAGCCGCTATGCCGGCTGAAGTAGTCGAAATCGATGCTGACTGCTGTAGCAAGCATGACTGCTCGTTGATCGAGTGTCATACCTGGGTGCTGATCCAGTGGTGGCCTGCTTTGTTCCCCCGTTTTCGAGATAAGGTGTGCGGGTTCGTTTGCCAGCCCAGCAGCATCCATTCTCAATGCGTACACTCCAGTATCCGTGAAGATTTCCCGAGCGAAGCCACCAAAGTTACGATTGACGGAGCCTGCCAATCGGCCATCCTCGGTCATCAAACTAAAGTCCCAAGATAGAAACGGTTCATCGACCCGTGCAAACTGGAGCATGCCGACTTCTCGCGTGTCATTCTCCACCACTGCGATTTCTTTTGAATTCGAGATGGGCAGGTCGCCAGATATTAGCTGCGGTGTCCCATGTGCAGCCGGATCCTCATCTAGATTCCTTGCCACAAACAAATTATACTTCCTCCTCAGCGGTGCCCATTCTTGCTCCGCAGCCCCTATAATCCTCATATCCTGCAACGCTAAGCCCGAAACACTTGCGCTCGTTTGATTCACAATGCTCGGCGCACTCGTACCTTGTAGGCTATTCGAGCTAGTATACGCCGCAGCGCCGTCGCGTCCTACAGCATCGTACACGCGTATCCTCGAACTGATCCAGCTGAACGGCCGGTGAAATCGGAGTATCTCCTTCTCGTCACGATCGAAGACGTGCGTTGTGAAGCTCCGGTGGGTTTTGAACATTTGCCTTGCGACAGCGTTGCCGATGCCGTGATCCTGCTCCGCCAGGTATCCGATGTGGTTGCCGTGTGGATCCATGATTACGTAGCGGTTCGCCTGCTCGAATCCCATAAGTACGTTCATCATTTCGAGCTGGCGTTGCACGATGAGTGAGGAGTTGTCGAGGAGACGCATGGCAGGGTGGTTTTGCTTGAGGACTGCATGCGGATCTTCTGGCATGTAGACTGGTGTGATGAGATTGTTCTCAGAGTCTGGTGTCGTGGCGAGGGCATTTGAGACTGCGTCAACTTTTGAGGGATCCTTTGGTGCCTCATTTTCTGGGGTCCTGGTTGAGTAGGCTGAGGTGAGTCGCTGATATAACCAGTTTGGTCCGAGAATGTGGGATTTGATGGCGGATGGTGTGCTTGTTCTATTGAGCGATCGAAGGAGGTGTCGTGATGGTCGGGTGGACCACCTCGCTGCTGGTAGCATTTTGAGGTATTAGTGTTACGTGTCTGAGCACGCAAGTATTTTACAATAATTGTTGATTAGATCAGGCTGATTTAATGAACGGATGGTGATGCCTGGTCGCTCTTGCGTGGCGTCGCAAAGGTTCCGAGAAGTCGCTCTCCTCTTATTATGTCATAACAACGAAGTTGTTCACCAACTCAGTCTAACAAGCAATTCCAGCAAATTTTTTAGACAGAATCTCGAAGTAAGTGCTCAATTGCTGTGTGATGCTATGCAGATTCAAAAGTATAACCTGATGACTGTCTAGCAATTGAATTGTCGTGAGAGCGGGCCCCGGCCAATCGGAGCGAGGCTTGGCGAAGACTCATCTCTAAACTTTTTGAGCTTTGCTCTTTCTCTCCACACACTCGCCATGACGCTGACAACGCTCATCCACGGCGCCATTACGTGACGTCGCAAAGACTGGGTAAGTCATTGATTCTCCTCCTTCTGCTGCTCGGGGTGCCAAACATTGTGCGACATGCTTATACAGCATTGGTTCTGTGCGCTTGCACCCACAATGTGCGCTTTTGCACCCCGGGACACCCATTTTATGATGACATCTTTTTACTTATACGATCGCTGGCGCTGGCATTCACTTGACTGCGTTAGGCGATCGATGCTGTTTCCGTTACAATAGACTACAACGGTATCTGATATACATATACTCGCTGCGCGTTGAACAAACTCGGTCCATGCATATTCGCTAATCACCGTGTAGTTTCCTCAAACATCAAGCTTCTGTCGCCAGACATGGCCGAAGCTGTTCAGCCTGTGCAAGCTGATGCTGCAGGCAATGCCCATCCAGCTGGCGCGACTGAACAAAATCAAGAGAAGCCAAGCAACGGTGCTTCGAGGAAACCTCGTCCACGTCGACCCAACTACAATGAGATACATGCCAAACCTCTTCCAATAGATGTATATGCGCTACCTGCCTTTGTCCCTCATAACCCAATCTCTCTTGTACGACTGGCCATTAGTCTCCTTTCGCAGTCTCTATGGCCACCCAAGTCGCATAACGTTATCCACAAGGCCTACTACTCCGTAGAGACGCAGTCGATCCATGTCACCGATCCGGCTTCAATTCGAGCCCTCTGGGAACAGGGATTTTGGGGCAAAGGCTCGCTTAGCAGAAGTGAACCGCAGTGGCTGGTCGCGGAAAAGCGCCGACGGGGAGCACAGGCATCGAAGACTAGCACAGAAGTTACTCAATCTAGGCGAGAGGAGCGGAGGCAATTCAAATTGGAACGAGCCAAGGCTCAACGTGAAGCTATTGAGCAGCAACTCCGGCAAGAGGGCAAACTGGTACCGGAGGCTACTGTCGATGAGCTTGTAGACGGCGATTCCAAGGACGCCACCACCTCTGACAATGTCAAGGTTCCTGGTATAGATGAGGCCACAAATAATATATTGGCAGAAGAAGAAGCCACCACTAAACTTGAGGAAATCGATATCCCGGACTTGGAACACCTTCAGCTCACGCCTGAGGAAGCTTTCTTTCTGTCCTATGTACTTGGTGCTCTGGATGTGGTCAACGTTGGCGCTACCGAGTCCGATGAGCAGTTTGAACCTTACTCAGCTTGGTACTTGCTCCGACTGTATTGTGCACATGCATCGACTTCCGACGACACGGCGGACAGTGAGAGGACTCTGACACATCTTCATACTGCATACATCATGAGTAAGGCCGCTACGCAAGTCGACTCGGCCCTGTCGTGCGTCCCGTCTATCGCTCCAGATAATCCATTCCTGTTGAAGTACGTCGTCTTCCACCACTTCCGCTCCCTTGGCTGGGTTGTCCGTCCTGGTATCAAGTTCGCTGTTGATTATCTGCTTTACATGCGCGGTCCCGCATTCACCCATGCGGAATTCGCAATCATGATCATCCCGTCATATTCGGCTCCATGCTGGAACGAAAACCCCCGTGGTGAGTCGAGGATTGCGGATCAGCAGCGCAAGGACTGGTGGTGGTTTCACAGGGTCAATCGGGTGCAGACGCAAGTTATGAAGACGCTCATGCTGGTCTACGTTGAAGTCCCGGAACCATGGGATACAAGCGCTACAGAGCTGGGAGGATTCAAGGTTGATATTGGCAGTGTGCTGAAGAAGTACAAGGTTCGAGAATTCGTATTCAAGCGATGGAGCCCAAGCAGGAATAGGGATTGAAGTGGGTAGTTCAAGAAATCGGTACTATATACCAACAACATGATATGATTAGAAGCCGTTGAGGCTCGTACTGTATTCTGGCATCGCCTTCTTCACCCCAAACTGCTTGCTCAAAATAACAAACTGTCCCACAAGAATCATCTGACTCCACTTCGGCCTATCCCCATCATAAATAGCATCATGCAACAAGTCCTTACACTTCTCCCACTCCAAAAAACCCAGCTCCTCCACATTGTCTTTCGTAATCAACCTCTGGAACAATTTATCCATCGGCCCATCCGGCTTATACCTCACCGGTGCCGAAAACGGATGTTTCTTGCGCGTATACAGCTCCGTCGTAATAAACGGCTTCATCGCTTCCTTGAGAATCCACTTTTCGCTAAAAGAGCGGGTAGCAGGTTCATAATGCAATTTCACGGACGGCGGTAGCGCCATTGCGTACTCTGTCAAGCGGTGATCGAGAAACGGCTGGCGGCCCTCCACACTATGTGCCATTTCGCAGCGGTCACCGAGGACGGTGAGGAGACCGTTTGCGAGACTGGTCTTGGTCCAGATGTAGAGGGAGGTGTGGAGGGGATGCCATTTTTCCGCCATGAGCGCGCGGGTGCAGCCGTCGAGGGCGGAGACGGCTGTGAGGCGCTTGTCGCTTGTGCCGAATTCGTGGGGGACCCAGGGTGCGAAGAGGGTGTCGCGGAGGGAGGCGGTTTGCGTAAAGCCGAGGAAAGAGGTGTTGTTTACCTGGGCGCGGACGGCGGCGGAGGTGGAGAGGTCTTTGGGGCCAGAGGTTTCGGAGCCTTCGAGGTTGTTGAAGGTGGCTATCCGGTCGGCTTCTGAGAGGGCAGTGTTTGGCCAGGAGGTATCGGGTTCGCGGACGAAGTCGGTGAGTAGCTCGCGGTAGCCGGCGAAGTGCTCGTCTGAACCTTCGCCAGTCAAGACGACTTTGATGCCTGCGTCGCTGGTTGTCTTGGACAGTAAGAACTTTCCCACTGTGCCTAGATCTGTCACTGCAGCTTCGTTGTGCCAGACTGCAGTTTCGATGTTATCAGCGAAGTTCTCCTCGGTCATCTCGCAGTGGTGCATTTTGACTCCTAGCCACTCGGCTGTTCGGCGTGCGATGGGTTCTTCGTCGTGTTCTTCGCCTATGAACTTGACACTGAAGCAATTTATTCGCTCAGATGCGGGTGCAGTGCCCAGTCGCGCGCCTTCAGTGTCCATCAGGTGCTTGATCATTCCTGCTATTGCACTGGAGTCGATTCCACCACTCAGAAAGACGCCAATTGGTACATCTGCACGGAGACGATCGCGAACAGCGTCTAGAAGTCGCTCCCGAACACCCTCAATCATTTCCTGTTCACTTCGTATTTCCACTTGTCGCTGAAGGTTGTTAGTTGCACTTCCTCTTTAAGTGATATAGATTCACCTTGTCTTTGAACTGGACATCCCAGTATTTATATTGCGAAATGGTGTTGAACGACCTGCACACCAGATAGTGACCAGGTAGTATCTTCGATACACCCTGAAATATTGTTCGTCCATCGCAGAGCCAACCGACGTCTTTGATACTCTGTACATCCCACTCCGGTTTCCATCCAAACGGAAGGAAAGCTTTCATCTCAGAAGCAACCTAAAATTCAATGTAAGTATCAAATGTCTTCCCTCTAACGAAGGATATTCCTACCAGAAGTTTCCCATCTAGAATGGTATAATACATCGGCTTGATCGCATACCGATCACAAGCAGCGATGATCACCTTCGCAAGCGAATCGTACAAGCACAACGAAAACTCTCCCCTCAGATACTCCAAAAACGACATCCCATGCTTCTTATACAACGCCAGAGCAATCTCTGAATCTGACCGACTCTTAAACTTATACCCTTCCCGACTCAGCTCTTCTCTGATCTCCTCATACCCATAAAGCTCCCCATTCACAACCGCATGCACCGTCCCCTCTGCATCATGAAACGGCTGTTCCCCCTCTGGATTCAAATCGACAATTGCAAGCCGATTATGCCCAAGTGCTGTGTATCACCAAAGACGAAGAAGACGTTAGTCACGTGGTCGGTTCAACAAACACCCGTATTCAAACATCACTCAATCCCAAAAAAACATACCCACGCGACAATCCTCGCTAATCCAATGCCCATTCGCATCCGGCCCGCGATGCTTAATCGTATCCAAACTCTTTTCCAGCGTGGCGCTCAGCATCGCTCTATTCCCAGCTAGCAACGGTCCATGACCGCGCAGCGCAACCGCACAAGTGATGCCGCACATTGGTGTATGTCGTTTACGACTCCGGTGTCCCGACAGAAGAAGATGTGTAACAACACTCCATACCTCTGGATTCGAAAGAAACTCTGGGGTTAGCGTTGGGGACAGCGGGGACAGCACAGCAATAGTAATGACGTATGCGATCGATCGTAGGGCCCGCCGGGCTCCATGAGATGCGCTCCAGTTCCTGATAAAGATGCATTTGGCTTGTTGCTGCTTTGGGGCTTAGTGCTAGACGGCTGAAGCGGGAGCCGTGAGGTTCCAGGGATGGGCGTACAGTGGTGTACCATACATTTTGGATTGCCTTATCTGGCGCGTTTTGCGGGGTAGGGATTCGATTGGTGAGGGCTCGGGTTTAGTGACGGCACCCCAATGCGTGCACTTAGGACTGGCGGCATGCTTTGTGGTACTTTCCGATTGGCCTGGTGTACGATCTTTATTGCTTGGGGGTCGATCCGATCCAGGCTTGTTTCGACTTCTTCGTTTTTGTGTATTCAGAATATCAACACTCCGTACATTAACAATTTTCCTATGCTGGACCCTTCAGTGCTTTTTTTTCTGACTAGTTATCGAATATCTGAATCAAGCCACCTCTTGCATAAACAGATTCCCATTCTCCCAAGTCTTCTTTACTGTTCTCCTCATCCAAGCAGCAAACAACTGCTCTGATTTACCCTCATATATTATACTATTTCATGACAGAAGACACATACGGAAACACCATGTCCTTCCATGCACACTGTAGGTCATTCCGGAGTCATGCCTGACCAGCAAGCAAACCATTTCCAATCTCTATTTCCACCTGTGAATCCTATACTATTACAAGCACTAAATAAACCGCAACTCCACTACTGCAACAAGTGATTTCATTCCTCAAACACTGCCACATCCAAACCGAAGACCAATCATAGACCCAGCTAAGATGAAGCCCTTCTCTCTAATCAAGGCTACTACCGTCGTCCTGAGCCTTACCGTTCGCCAAGCATCCGCCGGTCGGATCGAATACGCTGTGTGCCAGGCAGGCTGCGCTTCGCTCGTGATGGCATGCTACACTGCAGCCGGTTTTGTGTGGGGGACTGTAGGTAGGGATACAGCATCACAGGCTATTCTTTTCTGTAATGCTGCTTTTGGGAAGTGTTCGGCTGCGTGTGCGGAGGCGACGTTGTAACCCACGCTTTGGACAGAAGAAGATGGCAGTGTAGACGAGTTGGATCAAACACAACGCATAGGTCAATATTCACTGGACAAGGAGGCATTGATAAAGAATGAAAGGTTTCTGTGCATGCTGTAGAAGTTATGATTAGCAAACCGCGCATAGCGGAGTGTGCTTCTCTTTCTCTTCTACAATAATATATGGTACGACCACTTGTCCAGACCACTCTTGCCATCTATGTGTACTCTAAGCTGAGCTCTAAGATGCCACGCTAACAGGCATTGTGTCTCTACATCCATTGCCAGATACAAAACACCCAAAGCAGCATTTACCAGGTCAAGGTGCAGTGCTCTACTGGGCAGCAGCCTGTGCACCACCCCTAGGACCACCTCGTCCACGAGATCCTCCACGCCCACGGCCTCGACCCCTTCCACCCCGTCCACTATCCAGGTTGGCTGGTGGAGGAACGTTAGAATAGTTTCGCGGTTGGAAATTGGGGTTGTTGGGGACAACACCCTCGGCAGGGTCGGTGTTGTCGATAACGGTAAAGCCACCACGGTTGGCCTTGGAACCTCCTCGTCCACGGGGCACGAAATCTGCAGAACCACCTCGGAGATTACCGCGAGCATTGCCTCTGTTTGGAGCATGGTTCTGGTCCTGAGCGTGGTGACCGTTCGTCTGTCCGCCACGAGGCGCGTAACCACCACGGCCGCCACGAGGTGGTCCGCCATGGATGGGTAGAGTCTGCTGCTGACCCTGGGCTTGCTGAGGACCCGGGCTTTGTCGCGGAGCCATGCCACCACCGCGCCCATTGACGTTACCGAAAGCTCCTCGGTATGAGCCACGGAGAGGGGGTGGTGTATTCGCTGGTACCAGTTGAGGGCCTCCAGGAGCACCGATACGGGGCATGTTGTACGACTGTGGCGCTTGTTGCGGGCGTCTAGCAGCAGCAGCACTTGAGTAGTGAACAACCTGCTGATCAGTCATATTGACAACAGCAGTCGCTGGAACGGTAGATCCCCTAAACGGAGAGCAACGGTCGCCAAGCGATGTTCCACTCATGAATGTAGCATCGAAAACAACGTCCAGCAATAGCACACGAGCTGTGCGTGTCTTGCCGACCACGGTACCCGATGACCCAATTGGCACCCTTCCAGAATCTTGTACGTAGACAATGCGATCACCGATGCTAAAAGTCTGGTGTCCCAGTCGTTGCTCTGCATCCGATGGCTTCAGCAAAGCAACACGGGGCACCTTTGTAACCTTCTTAGGCTCAACGTCTTGGGTGAGTGGGAAGTTGGCATCCGCGGCCTGCTCGATCAGCTTGACTGTGTCGGAGTCAAGCTGCTCAGCATCCAAAGGAACCTTCTCAAAACTCTTAGTTTGAACTTCCTTCAACCAAGCTCCAATCTCTTTGACTTTTTGCTTTGCAATCTCAGGTGGGTAAAAATCGGTATCTTCCCAGCCGTCACCTGTTGGGTTGTTGATGATGGCGGCAACAAACTCGGGAAACTTGATCATATAACTAGCGAGCAAAGCCATGGCTTTCTGGCTGTACTCCCATCCGTTGGCTGACTTTCTTGAGTAGCCCAAAACCTTGAGTTTCTTGGCTTCAAATTTCAAGTTCAGGCCAAGATTCAGCTTGAGACCACTTGAGTTGACGTTGAAAGAGGACGTGAGCTTGGATAGAGCAAGCGGCGGCATATTGAGCTGCTTAGCCACAATATACGATGGCAGGTAGGGAGTAGCCTTTTCAGCCATGCTCACAACCTCACGTCCGAAGTGCGGCTCTGGTTTCTTGAGTTTGGCTACCATGATCGTAGCCTTGTTGTCGGCATGACTAATGACTTGCAAGGGGCGACCATAGGCGTAGTCTCCAAGATAGAAAGCTCTAGCGCCCACAGGAAACTCTTCCTCAATGGGCAAAGCCTCCTTCTCCAAGAATCGAGCGTCTGGGCTAGCGACCTCATCAACAATGGTCTGGGTCGCATACTCGACCTGCAGTCCCGCGACCTCACCATACTCCTTGGTAGTCGCACCCTCGTCAGTCTTGCGTAGTCCCTTGAGCATTTCCACGTGCACGAGAGACTCAACCTCTCCAATGTTGATACCGAGACGCTTGCTGTATTGCGTTTCGATGCGGTTCGCGGTCTTCTTCCAGTTGGAGATTTCTTGAGGTCCATGTGGAATAGCAACTGGGGCAGATGGGCCACTCTCAGGGAGTACATAGTCGAAGAGTTCATCTGACACCTTCACCACCTTTGCCTCGTGTAGGAATGGGTAGCCGACGTGAACGGCCTTTCCGAGCTTTTCTTGTGCATGCGACACTGACTGTCGAGGCGCAGTATCCAGCAGTGTGATAACCATGCTCTCGTTTCTGCTGTCTTGCTGGAAAACGTTGACGCCAGCAAACTCGAGCTTGCCGTGGAACGGGAGGACCTTCAAACTAGGGAAACCTGCCAAGGCCTCTGCTCCAGTTTTGACACCATCCATGAGACCAATGTAGTATTCTAATCCTTCCATGGTGGGCAGATCGAAGATGTTCTCAATACATTTGCAGTGCGGAAGATCTGGGAAGATGCCCGGTAGAGATGACGGGTAGATAAAATCCAGATCCTTCGCGTAGCTGAACTTGAGTGATACACCGAAGGTGTTGCGGGCCTTCTCATCTGCAGTCAGTTGATCCTCCTTGGTAGCCATTGCCTTGAGCAAGCGGTCTTCCTGGATGAATGGGATTTTGACAACAGCCTCCCAATCCTGCTTTTTACCATTCATATCCAGAGTGAAGTCCCGAGGATAGAAATCGATGATGGGAGAGTCCTCGTTCGTCATGAGGGGATGGTAGGCTTTCGGTACAATGCTCTTACTACGATCGGGCAAAACACCCATCAACTGTTGGTAAGGCTTGAATGGTTGACCAAGCTTGAAGTTGATATCTGCCTTGAGACCCCGCTTGACATCAGAGATCATGGGCGAGTAGTGGTAACCATAGTACCATGGCCACGATGCTACACCACGGTAGTAGTAGTAGAGAACCCACTGCAGACCTTGGACGTAGTTCTCCGTCAGCTTGCGGAGCTCTTCCTCGTTGCTACGGTCCCAATCAAACTTGCTCTTGTAGTAGCTGTTCTTCCAAGCTTCGAACTTTTCGTCGTACTTCTTCTGCATCTCGGATTGAGCAGCCTCGGGAGAAATGTCGACAACCTTGGCCTGCTCATATTTCTGCACAACACGTGCAATAGCTTTGGCAGATTCGTCTTCCATTTCCTCATCCTCGTCCGAATCGCCCTCGACCAGCTTCGGCGGGGCAGTGATTTGTAGATGACGATCGCCATCATCGTTCTGAACAGTCTTCCAAGGAAGATGGAGCTTATCCGCAAGCTCCTGGACGAATTTTCGGTCATCCGCTGGCAAGGAAACGGGAAGATCGAGAGGAGCCTGCTCCTTCTTTCCCAAGTAGTTGTCCAACCAGGCCTTGACCTGCGAGAACAACTCCTGTTGTTGAGTAGTCATGACAATCGTGCCTCGTTTCGCGGTCTTCTTCATTACGTCTTCCTTTTCAAGGCTCTTACCCTTGAACCAGGCTGCGTCGGAGTTTTCAGATTCGAAATGACGATATTCTATGTTTGAGAGCTCGTCCAACAATGCAGCCAAGCGCTCCATGTTGATGACACCTCCCTCATTGATATACCCTTTACCCTTGGGCAAAACCGTCTTGTAAACGTTGAACATGAGAGCCAAAGCGCCCTCGTTGATATGCAAATGCGGAAGATTTGGAAGGAAATCGTTACCAACAAAGAAAGCCATTAGGATAAAGTCGTCAATAACACGCTCCATGTCGAAGGGAAAGCTAAGAGCGCCAGGCTCTTCCAGCTCCTGAAACTCGAGTTCCAGATACTCGCGAACTATGCAAAGATGCATGAGGTAAAAGTTCTGGTGCTCCAACTCCTTAGACTTGGTCTGGCTCTGGCGACCGAAAGTCACCTCTTCTCGCAGCAAACTAAAGTGGGGGTCATGGCTAAGTAGACCCAACATGATCAAGTCTGCATCAAGACCATACAAGCAATGGCGACGGTTCGGGTCGTACCCCGGCTGCGCCTTTGCCTGACGGATGTATTCCATGATCTTGTGCTCGCCCTCTCCGGGGACCTCATGGCCTGACAGGACGACTTCCACGCCCTGCCAGTCAATGTCCTCAGAGACCTTCTTGTTGATGAAGTACTTGAGTTGCTGTGTGAGCTTCGCCATGAACGCCGTGCCTGGCGTGATGCAGTTACTGTCGAACGCTTCCTCGGTCGGCATCTCAACGCCTTCGCGGATAGCCTTCTCCCGAGCCTTTTCAGCATCGAGAGCCGTTCGGAAGCGTCGCGCACGCTGCTGGTTCATCTTGGCGCGCGGGGCGACACCATCGATGGCCATGAAGAAGAGCTGCTTGGGCTTGATTTTGCCAAACAAGTGCTCGATGTAGTTGAAGATGCTGATGAACATCTGTTCTTCCGATTTGCGGGCGGTGACGCTGTCGGAATCGCTGTGGGTACAGTTGTGGATAATACCGTTCATATCAAGCTGTGGCTGTCAGCCTTGGGCGTCAATGACAGCATCAAGCCACTTACATAGAGACAGTCGAACTCAGGAATGCGGTTCTCGGCAATGAGCTGCGAGATACCCGGATACCTTTCGGACATCCATCGAAAGAACTTGGGAACACCCATGGTTGCTGCTGTTACTATTGTCTAGTAATTGCTGAGAATAGATGGCAAGGCGGCTATGCGACCGTTGTTTTTGCAGTCGGGCGGGGCGAATTGGATCGCAAAGCAGACAAAAAGAAGAAAAGCAATAGCGAAGAGAGGCGCGCAAAGGCGCTGAGGGGAGAGAGAGCAAAGGGTATGGGGTGGCGGTTCTCGACGCTGGGGTCTTCAAAGAGGGCAAGTCTAGATGACAGAGTCAATGGATATACTGACGGCAAGTGCCAAGCATGTGGGGCGCTAACGACGTGATCGACGCCCGGGTTGTCTGAACGCGAACTTTGGCATCGCGTCGTTGCGCCGGACTTTCACGCCCGACAACCTCCACGTACCGCGATAGGACGTGTATTTGCCACAGTTGAGCTTGTTGAGAACCCAACCACAATCAAAATGGACGAGACAATGAGTGGTAAGTTACAAGCGCCTTCACAGATATTGTCTGCAGCAGTAGTCCGCCAATGACGCCAGGCGCTGGACAATTGCTAGATGTAGCTTTGCATGCCTTCACAAGCGCTCTCCGCTCATATGAACGAGGCATGGATACTACTCTTTGAACTGAGTGCCAGCCAGAGTTTTGTCAGGGCATCAACCAAATATGATTGCGTTTGCGACAGGCTACGAGCTGCGCATTATATGCTATCATCTTGACATGACTAGCGCACTGTTTGCTCTCCGATAGGCACATTCCAGAGGATATGGACAAGACATGAATTATATCACAGCATTCTTCAAATTGATACTGACACCGTCATCACAGACGCCCACGATTCGCATGAGATGGACGACCAGGAGCAGGTCGAGCAGAAGATCATCAACGAAGAGTACAAGATATGGAAGAAGAACTCCGTATTTCTCTATGACATGCTGTATGGCCGCGCGCTCGAGTGGCCAACACTCACCACCCAATGGCTTCCCGACAAAAAGCCGGTCGAAGGCACAAACATGAGCCAGCACCGCGTTATCCTCGGTACCCACACCTCGAACCAAGCGCAAAACTACCTCCAGATCGCCCACTGCGAGATACCCGACTTTCGCGAGCCCGACCTGTCAGAGCTCAATGAAGAGCGGGGAGAGATTGGCGGACACGGCAATGCCAAGCGGCCCTTTGACTTCAAGATTGTACAAAAGATCAACCACCCAGGCGAGGTCAACAAGGCACGATACCAGCCTCAGAACCCAGACATAATAGCATCTCTATGCGTAGACGGCAAAGTCCTGGTGTTCGACAGAACCAAGCATCCCCTACAACCCAAGGACGATTCAATCAAGTTCGAAGCCGAGCTCATCGGCCACAGCAAGGAGGGTTTCGGTCTAAGCTGGAGTCCGCTCAAAGAAGGCCACCTGGTAACCGGAAATGAAGATACCACAGTCAAGACCTGGGACCTCAAATCCGGCTTCTCAAAGAGCAACAAGACACTCAGCCCCACCGCCACCTACACCGTCCACACCGCAACCGTAAACGACGTCCAATACCACCCCATCCACAACTTCCTCATCGGCACCGCCTCGGACGATCTCACCTGGCAAATTATCGATACCCGCATGGAAATCCACAAGAAAGCCCTCTACAGAAAAGAAGCCCACGAAGACGCCGTAAACTGCATTTCCTTCCACCCAGAGTTCGAAAGCACGTTCGCTACGGGCTCGGCGGATAAAACAGTTGGTATCTGGGACTTGCGAAACTTTGATAAGAAACTGCATAGCCTCCAGAGCCACCGTTCCGACGTCATCGGTCTGCAGTGGCACCCACAAGACGCTGCTATCCTCGCAAGTTCCAGCTACGATCGCCGTATTTGCCTCTGGGACCTCAGCAAGATTGGGTCTGAACAGACGGAGGAAGAGGCGGAAGATGGACCGCCTGAGTTGTAAGTTTCGGACAAATCCTTTTTCTTTGCGACGACGTACTAATCATGGGATAGGTTGTTCATGCACGGCGGTTTCACAAACAGAATCTGCGACTTTGACTGGAATAAGAATGACCCGTGGCTTATGATGGGTGCGGCGGAGGATAACCAGTTGCAGATTTTCCGGCCCTCAAGGAAGCTTGTGGAGCCGCTGAAGAAGAGTGTGAATCATGGGGAGGTGTCGGATTGAGCTGGAGTTGTCTGTGGGGTTCCTTCTTCACCGGGAAGGATGTAGCATGTCACGTCGTCAAGGAAAGGGGGCAAGGCAAGAGTGAGGAGATTGTTTGCTGTACAAGAACTCCAGCTCAGTTTGGAACCTAGGAGGCAACACGTCTTGCGTCCCATCAACTCAATCTCTCCAAAACGAAAGAGTAAGCAGGAAAATATGAAGCAAGAATAATCCCTATATCATTCAACAAACTCCCCATAGCTAAATAAACACAATCAAACAACCTCTCCATCCCTTCAATACCCCAGCGTGGCCTTCATCTCCCCAACATTCCTCCCATCAACAACCAGCACCCTGGCCCCCACCCCTTCTCCCCCCGTAACCTCCACCACCTCCTCTTCGCCAGGCAAAAGCGTAAAGTAATTCTTACTCCACAGCAGCGATCCGACATCCCTCCCCGCCGCATCTATTACATTCAGTCGTACAAACACCGCGGGGACTGGACTGGTATTCCTGAGCACCAAGCGGGCTAATACGTTATTCACAGGGGAAGAAGGCAAGGCGGAGACGCTAAGGGTCGCGGCGGGAATACGCGATAAGGCAGAGTAATCTTCGTATTTGGCTACGGGCGTGTAGTACCAATTCGACCTGCCCCAGTCGAGGATGTCGGGGGCGCGGGAGAGCCAGTATGTTTTCTTTGCCAGGGTGCTATTTCCATTGTTAAGCTGCAAGCGGACTAGAACAACGGAGTCGGCCGTTTCATTCTGCCAAGGAGGAAGCCTCGCTACTTCGCTTGCCGAGTTCGGTTTAGTAGTTGCAGCGGTGGTTTGGCTGGCTATAGTCGTGCCGTTTAGTGATACAATTTGCATGCTTACGGTGCGTTGGTCAGAGACATATCCGGGAGTGTTGGGGACGATGAGACGATTGACGAGGGATACGGCTTGGGTTTCGTAGTTGAGAGTGAGGGTTTCGGGAGTGCCGAGGGCGTCTTTGGTGCCGAAGTAGGCGCCTGCTGGGCGGAGGTAGTAGTCGAAGAGGTTCCAGTGGAGAGAGGGCCAGGCGTTGTTGAGCATCCAGTATATCATGCCTGTTGCAGGTCTCTCGAGGGCTTCGTTCCAGGTACTGATTAGAGACTCGAATTGGGCGCGCGTTGCTTCGTAGTCCATCATTTGTGCTTTGAGGACGTAGTCGGATAGGCTTGATGGGGCACCGTAGCGTGCCCAAAGACCATTGTTGTAGAGTTCGCGTGTGTGAAAGACTGAACCCTCTGTCGCCATGTGGTAGAGACCTTTCTTTGGTTCTCTCCAGAGATCTTCCAGGTCAGATGGTGACAAGAATCTCACTAGAGAATTAAGCTCAGGCGTGCCTGCTCCTGCGCTGAGTTCAGAGCCGAATCCTGCTGCACTGCCGTATCGACGTTGAGGATCGTACCAGTAGTTGGGAGGCTCCCAGTCATATGGGCCCTGCATCTTCAAACCACTATTATTGAGTTGAGACGGTGCTCCCCATTGGATTGCGGATGCCAGGATGGGGATATCCCAGTTTACGGCGCTGAGAGCATCGAGGTAGATCTGTGTTGCCCTGTCATTCGGCCAAAAGTCACTTCCAATCAGGAAACCCAACATGCTAGGGTGATGACGCATCATCTCAGCTTCGTGTTTCATTGATCGCGCCGCAATTGGGTAGTCGGGATCGGTCCATTTCTCACCACTACCAATGTCGTTGTAAGTCCACCCCTCCCATTTGTTGCAGCATTCCCAGCCAGCGAGTATCATGATGCCCATTTGGTCGGCTAGATCATAGAATTCAGGGTGTTCCTGTTTTCCTTCTGAGCGGATAGTGTTCAGACCCATGTCTTTGACCAATTGGAATTGTTTCCTGGTCTGTTCCAGGTCAAATCGTAGGTAAACATCAGATGTATAGCCCGCGCCCTGGGCTTGGAATCGATGGCCGTTGACGAAGAACGTGGTATCATTGAAGCGTGGGTTCAAAGAAGAAGTGACTGTGCGGATACCGAAGTTGGTTGGCGGTGTAGAGTCGGAAGCAGGATTGGTAGAGGTCGAAGCGGTACATTGAATGCTGTATAACGGCTGACTACCCCATTGGTAAGGCCACCAAATCTGAGGGTTGTCTACTTTCCCCCTGAACGATATGGTTGATTGCTGACTGCCAGTGAGCTTGAAGTGTGATGTTGCGCTCAAGATTGCGAGTTTATTAGGGTCGAAGACTGTACACGCAGCATCGCCCTCAACATCGCTATCCTTTGCCATATTCTTGACGTCCACAAAGATATCGATACCTCCATCGAGTGCGGCGTGCGTAGTGACCCTCGGGGTATTCAGTCTAACCTGGCCTGACCTCTTCAGCTGAAACGGTCGCCATATACCGGTTCCATTGTCTTGTGGAGGAGGGTTCCAGTCCAAGAAGGAGATGGCAAAATCTCGATTGTAGTCTGTCGGATACACTTTCACCAAGACTACATTTTGCGCACCATTGGGCTGAATGAGGTTAGATATATCGTACTCTATCCCAGCATACGACCCGGCCTGAGTCTCTTTATCTGCAATAAGTTGCCCGTTGACCCAAATGTCCGCTCTTGAAGTGATGCCATTGGTGATCAAAGTGTAGTAGTCATTGTGAGTTTTCTCGGCGATCACGACCTTGTCAGTTCGGTAGTACCATGGGATTCGAAATTGCGCAGTATCTATCTTTTGCATGTTGGTCGAGTAAAACAAATCGGCATCGTTGTAAACATGATTGCTGATGAGTGTGTTCATGAGAGTGGCTGCGGGTCCGATGGAATACCATGATGAAGTGTCGATGCCGGATTGGGAGAGTCTGATGGGGTCATCAACGACGTTGGCGGAGGATATAACATTCCATTGCTGCAAGGTAGTTGTGGAGGCAAGGGCGCCCTGTGCAACCCATGAAAGGGTAGTTGGGAGGTGCATGGTTATCCTGTCTTTGTCTATTACATGGCGGCTATCACGAAGGGTATTTATAGTTGTAGACAAGAAGGCGGGGAAGGCTGCCGTGGATGATCAGATGTATCCTACCTTGGGAACAGCGGTCCTATGCACTGTAATCTCATAATATTACGGCTGATTTGCATATGTCAGGGAAACCGTGACCCAATTCGCGGGAATCGGCATGGGTCAGGTTGTACAGCTTGCTAGGAAAATGGTGTGAGTTTGGTGATAATCCTGGTACTCACACCGGAGTCTGCGGATGTACCGCTGTAATATGTTTGTTGGCCATTCTTCGTGTAGATCTGACTGAAAGAGCATTATGGGCAGAGCAGAATGGTTCATAAAGCAAAGTGAGCCGAGTAGGAAAGAGAGTGGATAGGCTGTGTCAAGTGGATGCCGTTGGTCTAAGCGCAAGCTCCGAGGTACGTACCGGGACAAGCTTCGGAACAGCTCCCCGCATTCGTCATTGCATCTCTCATCTTCACCATGTGAGGCCGGCAACACCAACGTACACAACCAAAAAACAATTAAACATGCTCCTTCTCGGCCTCACCGGATCGATTGCGACGGGCAAATCGACCGTCTCATCTCTGCTCTCCAAACCACCATACTCACTTCCCATCATAGACGCCGACTTGATCGCGCGACAGGTCGTCGAGCCCGGCACTGCAGGATACAATGCGATTGTCAAATATTTCTCGCCCTCAACACCGGATCTGCTCCTCCCAGATGCGACACCAAAAGGCGCGCCGCTGAACCGACCAGCGCTGGGACGAAGAGTGTTTGGTGCTGGCGAGGAGAAGGAGCGCGACAGGAAGATGCTCAACAGCATTGTCCACCCTGCGATACGCAGGGAGATGTACAAGCAGATGATATGGGCCTACCTGCGCGGCAACTGGGCGGTTGTGTTGGATGTCCCTCTTCTCTTCGAAAGCGGATGGGAGCGATACTGCGGCACCATTCTCGTCGTGGGCGTCTCAGACCCCGCAATCCAGATCCAGCGTCTGCGCGCTCGGGATTCACATCTTACCGAGGAAGATGCGCGGAACCGTGTTATGAGCCAAGGCGATGTGCGCGAGAAGGCAGAGCGTTGTTTGCGGAGGGGCCCGGGTAACGGCGTTGTGGTCTGGAATGATCACAACAGAGAGCATTTGGAGAAGGAGGTGCAGAGAGTCATGCAGGATATTCGGAAAAGAAGCCCACGATGGTGGAGTTTTCTTCTCTGGGTGTTTCCGCCGTTTGGTGCCATGGCAGGACTGTGGAGCTGGTATAAGATGCGGAATGTGCAGCTGCAATGGGAGTCAGAGAAGAAGAAGGAAAAGGCAAAGTTGTGAGAAGCAGTTTGAGCTGTACTACTATACTACCCTTGGGTTAAGGTCAGCGCTAGTATTTGTCTTGATGTTTGTTGAGTGTGCGCATATATATCCTGGTAGTTGGTCAAACAACATTGTATCACAGTAACTAATTTTCAATCATCTCAATCTTGTGTGTATTTCTGTATTCAATTCCCGTCCAGTGCTCTAGTTTTGAAAGTGCTGTTCGTCGTCGTCCTGCGTATCACTCTGCAAACGCACAAAACCAGACTCCCCTTTCACCTCTCACCACTACCCAAACAATGCCCTCAAAACGTACTCGTAAACCTCTCTTCTACGTCCACCTCGTTACCCATAGAAAAAAGCCAATTCCAAACCCTAAATCAAAGCATCATCACTCACGAGCCTACAACACCTACATTTGCGAACCCAGCACCTCGCACTCGCACTCGCACTCTCACTTCATAAAAACATCTCACCACACCACCATGAGCTCCATAGCCCCACCCTCCTTCATCGACGACGCCATCTCGCTAACCAACCGCCTACCCCGGGGCCTCAGCACACACCAAGTAGCGCAATGGCTCTCACAGCACGGATCCGACACGTCGGCGTACACGGGCAGTTTCATCGACGACGGCGCGGACAGCGTGTTACGCGACAGTGGAATACCACCCACACGAGGATGCGAGCGACAAAAAGAGAAGAGAAAGCATGACAAAGAGCATGTGTGGAACGAGCATGTGCGGAAAGCGGTGAGCGGAGACGTGCAGCGGCATGTAGAGAAGATACGGGGGCTGCGTGGGTGTGTGCGGGTTCAGAAAGTGGGGGGTGGTGGCGTGGGGGAAAGCGAGAAGAAGAAAGAGAAGGTGCCTGTGCCCTTGCCGCGGGAGTGGGGGACATTTGTTATCAGGGAGAAGGACGGGCGGGTTGTCGTTGTGGATAAAGAGGGGGAGTTTGATTCTGGAGCGCAGCAGCAGCCAAGGCGGGCTTGGATTAGAGACGAGTCTACGGGTCCGGCTTCTGAGACTGAGTCTGTGAGAGGGGATGGGGAGCAGCTGAGACTGGAGCAGCAGATGGGTTCAGGCTGGTCCCAGGGGAGTTCCAAAACGGCGAGGCGGAGGCATAAGGAATTTGGGTGGAACAGCAGTCAGGGCTCTCCAACAAAGGTACTCTCACCTATATCTGAGTCTGAATGCGAGAGTGGATGCCTATCTTCTGGAAGCAAGACCACCAGATTACCGAGGGACTTCATGATGAGCGGTGCGAATGCATGGTCACCACACACTCGGCCTTCAGCTATGTCTACAGTTGACTCAGCAAGCGAGAGCTGGGACTACGGGACCTCGAAATCGGTAGCTGAGATGGTGAAAAAGGGGTACAGGCACGTCAAGCCAGTATCTCGGGAGAGTAAACGCGCTGGAGACGCGTGGAAAGTGGATGGCCCAGAACATTGGTACCGAAAGAATGGATCGACCTCCTCGAGCAAGAGCAAAAGGTCGACCAAGAGTTGCTCAACATACAAGGCGCCGGCCGTAGAAGACGCATCCAGTACCTCGTTGGGAGGTGATGGCAGGAACTTACCTCACCCATATACTTGGGCAACCAGTCCAGCTAACAGCCCGGGCAATTGGAGTCGCGGGTCAAAGTCCGCAGACAATCCTGCATGGACGGATATTCAAGCTTATTTCTCACAGCAACATGTCTTGAACAATTCAGCTACGACATGCTCGTCGAGCGAAGTAACATGGGACGGGTTCGAGCGCGACAAGACACTAAGTGACGTCAGCATTGCAGGTTCCAGCAGCACACGCGGATGTCCTAGCAATAAGAGCATGCAAAGCAATCATGATGACACAGGTCGGCGAAGCACGTCTCGCGAGCAAAGACGCGCTGATAATCAGCATGGCTGGGAGGCGCACGGAAGTAGCGGAAGAGGCACTGTCAGATACGCGAATGGCTTCGATGAGGACAACGCGACGTATCTAAATGCGAATTGGGGCGGGACACCGGTACGCGTGACTAAGTACTAGTCTTGTCGGTCTTCCGAGGCTGGAAAAAAAGTATATCGGACTTTTTCATGTGGGGTTCGGCGATTGGCGTGGGTGCTTGGACTGGTACTAGAACCACGAAAGCGCGACTGATGACGGACCGTGTTGAAGAAACGAGATCTGGGGATTTTGAGTGGGGACTAGGATGAATTGATGGAAGATGGATTTTTTTTTCTTCTCCCAGACTACAGCAGTAATACGAAATGTTTCGTATGGAGTGGTCATGGTGGAGCGCAATGGCTGAATGCTGGGAATGAGGGTGTAATGGATACAGCACGGGGAACCAACGAGTGTCCCAGCCTTTGATATATTGAGCGTGACGAAGCAGGCTTCGCGTGCAGAGGGCGCCTCGTCGCGCACAGCATTACCGGGAATCACGTCGCTGACATGCATCCAGCTCTACGCGTCGAAACACCGCCCGGGACTTGGAACATGGCGCGAGTGGGATGGAGCCAAAGCGCAGCACAGCTCCGGTCCACCAACCCCCCTTGGTCGAGGGCCATTGCTGTTACGCAAAAGTCGTCGGGTGCCCGCCTCAAGACGCACACACTGCTCGTTCCAGCAGAAGCAGCCAGACGCGCCAAGTGGGCACTCGGGGAACGAGCAGTTCACGTCTTTTGCAGGCTGGATTGACGCATCGCGAGCGTGTCTATGGGGCGGCATAGGCTGGCTGTAGGGCATATCTGCAAATAGCGCGGGTGGATCCAGAGGGTAGTGGCCAGTAGACGGCATTGCATGAATTGCGCTCATTAGGATCAGGCCGGTTTCCAAGCGTCTGATTCGGAGAGCCATCCCGGCAAGTGTCTGGGGTGGAGTGGAGATGACGCCCTCTGCGCGCGCTCGCCCCTAGAATACGTGAGCGACACGCTAGCCACCGACGCGTTGAGTGCTCCGTCTATTAGCTGAAGCCTGCCCACCACAGCCTTTTCTGCTTCATTCTCTCTTCTGCTTCTCCTGCTCATCCTCTTCTGCTGGGCTCGAGAGTCGCTGTGAGAATCCAAGTCGTTGTGTCTCCTTCACTCATTCCATACGCTGCTTCTTGCACTACGCTTGTTGTTGTGTGCCCGGCTAATCCCAGAGTCACGTCGACACTCACACCCCCACTACTTATCTACTACAACCACGCCCCAGCGCCTGTCCACCCACCACCTCCGCCACCTCCACCTCCACCTCCGCAACTCCAGCCCATTGCTGCTGCATCTTTAATTCTTGAAAACCCGCTCCGCCGTATTCTTCACCCTCTGTACCATGGCTACCTCGACGCGCCAACCCTTTGCCGAGCTCGGCTCGTCTCGGCTGCAAGGACTGCACAGTGCAAAGAACCGCCAGAATTGTAAAGCGCCTCATCTGACATGCAGCTCAACATTGGCTAACCGTGCGTTCACATAGCCATCTCCAAGTTTTCCCCCTCGCAGAGCTTGAAGCTCACCCCCGGTCCGTCAACGGGTAAGCGCCAGCGTGCGCCCGAGATCTTCGAGGATGCCGATTCCGAGAACGTGGACCCTCTCGTCTTTAGCAGCCCGACTAAGAAGACCAAAACCACCACCGCCATCGCTAGTGACGCCGGATTCGTCAAGCCAGCCAGCTTCCCAGCCTTCACCTCGCCTGTTAAGACCAGCACCAGCCTCACCTCCACGCCTTCCGTCTCATCTTCCCGCAAGTCCCGCTCATCGCCCAGCTCCACCAAGTCGACGCCCATCACCAACAGCCGCGGTTCTCCAAAGAACAAGCGTCTCCATGCCATTTCCAAGCGTCGCGCCTCCACCTCGCCTTTCCGACGCGTCGACCCCCCAGCCTTCACCAAGAGCAGCCCAGGACTTCCCTTCTCCATTGACGCAGCACTAAGCGGTTCCATCTCTACCTACACCCCCAAGGCCCCTAAAGTAACAGCCACGCCCGCCTCCGCCCCTGCCCAACAAGCTAGCGCACTCGACGAAACCATGCCCAAGGCCTGGTTCTTCGAGATTCACGAGGACACCCCCGAGCAGGAGGCCTCGAACCTCATGGAACACTCTGCCTCTACCCTTGACATCTCATCCGATGACGACGTCGAGACCAAGACACGTAACGAGGACCGTGGAAAGGAGAACATCCCTCCCCCAGACTTCCGTGCCTCGCAGCCCCGCTCTCAGGCCGCCACTCTAGTTGAGGATGACGGCTATGAGACTGAGATTCTCGGTGATGAGCCAATTAAGCGCCGCATCGTACGCAAGTTTGTCAAGGACTCGATGGATGAGGACCGCAAGCCATTGGGCGACTTGGCGCCGAGCAACTTTTACGGCGAGGGATGCGACTCAACCTCTTACGTCACTGTCGATGCTGGTATCGAAAAGCCTTCGCGTCTGTCCAAGGAGGTTGCATTGTGTTCCGATATCGAGGAAGAGGAGTCATCAACCATCAACGGCGCATCGCCAACACGACAGCCTGTCGTCGCGGCTTCATAAAGTCTTGTTGTCATTGTTCTTTCTTCTTCATTTCTCTTCTCTTCTCTTGTTGTTGTTTAGCGCGTTTAGGATACCTCACTCGGCGTTTATTGGTACAGCCACATATTTATAGTCTACGTCTCGCAATCATGAGTACACGACTGATGGGATGCAATTGGCTTTTTGTTTTAAAAAAAACGATACCTTTCTAAGTTAGTTGCCTGTTGGCCTTGAATAATCAAAACATCTTCTTCACTTCAACAGTCCAGTACTCCATGCTTGATTCATCTCTACTTGCCAAAAGAAGCATAACGTCATATCCATCAACATCACAACTTCCACCCCCTCGCCTTCGCAAGCCCAACCTCCTGTCTAACCGCCAAATCCGCAATAATCTCCTCACTCCCCCCGCCCACAACCATCATCCTCAAATCCCGACTAATCTGCTCCACCACCGCGCCCGGCCCGCCACCCTTCTGATACCCCGCGCCCCCAAATACCTGCTGCGCCTCTCTCGCCGCCAACTCGAGTATGCGCCCCCCATGCACCTTACACAGGGCAATCTGGCCCGCGATGCCCGGATCCATCCACCCTTGCTTTGCATTCTGCACATGGAACGCCAACTGCTCCAACCACGCCCAATGCGACTCTACATATCTCGCCAGCGTAGCCAGCTTACTGCGTATAATCTGGTTTTGCACAAGCGGCTTCCCGAACGTTTCTCTCTGGCGGGCGTACGCCATTGATTCGGAAAGACATGTTCTGGCTTTGCGGTTGCAGGAGACGGCGAGGATGTAGCGTTCGCGATTGAAGTTGCGCATTATGATGGGGAAGCCAGCGTTTTCGCGGCCGAGGAGGTGCGAGGTGGGGACGACGACGTTGTCGAGTTCGACGAAGGAGGCGCCGCCGGCTTTTTGGCCGCTGTTGGGGATGCGGCGGTGGGTGATGCCGGGGGAGTTTGTGGGGATGACGATGAGGGAGAGGCCTGCTGCGCCGGGGCCGCCGGTGCGGACGGCGGTTGTCATGTGGGTTGCCCAGGGGAAGCCCGTGATCCATTTTTTGTAGCCGTTGATGGTGTAGGTGGTGCCGTCGGGAGATTTGGTGGCTGTGGTTTGCAGGTTTGCGACGTCGGACTGTTTTTTTTTTCGCATGCCGTCAGCCATGCCCATATATCATACCCCGATATCAATCCTCATATCACCACTGTCAACTAGAAAAAAAAAGGTGGGGGAATAGAAGAGGAAGGGGAAGAAATGAAGGGAACATACACCACCACCCGGCTCCGTCACCCCAAGACAAAAACTCGTCTCCCACGTAAACAACCCAGGCAACCACTTCCTCTTCTGCTCCTCCGTTCCAAAATGCACCACAGGCGGCACCCCAATCACACTCGCGCCCGCCAGCGCCGTCGCCACTCCGCCCTCTACCCGACTAACCTCATCATTCATGATAAGCAAATGAAACGCATCCAGCTCTTTCACCGGTATGCCCGCTGGTCCCGGCACATTGGCTGGTCGATACGGCTCCGGAATATCTGCGAATGCGAAGCCGGTTTGGGCCCATTTGAGGCGCTCAGCTGCGGGCGCTTCGCCGGCTTCTTCCCAGGCGAGCATGTATGGTTTTACGTGCTCGTCGATGTAGGTGCGCAGGGCATCGCGAAGTTTTTTGTGGGACGCGTTGTAGTAAGGGGAGGAGAGGGAGGTGTACCATGAGGGTTCGGCCCAAGGGCCTAGGTTGCCGTAGGTTTCTTGCTTAGGGGATGGCATTTTTTTTTGGGAAGATCGAGATGAAGTGGGCTTAGAAGTGGATTTTGGGGGAGGAGATATTTGGGTCTTTTTATCACATGGTGGGTGGGAATGTTGTTGTTGCTGATGCTGATGCTGCAGGATCGACGAGCTGAGGTTTGCCGCGGTTGATGATGCGGAGTCGCTAATTGGGGATTGCGGGGAACTATTTCAAGCAGCCGACTTGGTAAGCTGTTTATCCGCCTCTTCAGCCCTACACATAGACAGACACATGGCAGTCGGGGAACATGTGCCTGTCTACATGGTTCCTGCATATAAAATCTCTCCTGAACCAATATATTCGGACGACTTTCATTTCACACGTTAGCTCACATACCGCATAACAGCAGACAACATGGGTGAACAAGATTCATGGAACCTGCGAAGCTTATTGACATTTCCAAATTAAATACATGAAATCATAGCTTCCGGCATGTGCTGGGATATTATTGTATTCATTCCTTCGTGTCCTCGTCCAGGAGCGACACGTTTACCTGACGCAGTAACCACCGTCAATGAGGAGGTCAGAGCCCTATCAACTGATTAGCCATTGCATACCAAAATTAATAGGGTAAAAACTTACAGTGCAGTACGATGAAGCATCAGAGGCAAAGTAGACGTAGGCGCCCTTGAGCTCGGTGGCCTTGGCGTCACGGCCCATGGGGATCATAGAGTGCCACAGCTTCTGGATGTCCTGGGGAACAAAGTCGGACAGACCAGTGTCAATGTATCCAGGGGAGATGGAGTTGACACGGGCAAAGTCCCTCCACTCGTTGGCAAGCGACTTGGCCATGTGTATGCAGCCAGCCTTTGCGACGTTGTATGAGGTTTGCTCTTGAGGGAAGTTGGCAATGTGGCCAGACATGGATGAGGTGATGATGAGGGAGCCAGTCTTGCGCTCACGGAAGTGCAGACCAACGGCACGGGCGCAGTTGAAGGTACCAGTTAGGTCAGTCTCGACAACCTCGTTCCACTGCTCAACAGTGGCGTCGAGGATACCGTTGTCGGCAGTCTTGCCGGCGTTGGCAATGAAGACATCGACCTTGCCAAAGTCCTTGATGACGTCCTGGACGAGCTTCTCGCACTGGGCGTACTCGTTGACCTGGCACTTGTAGGCCTTGACCTTGACGCCATACTTCTCGCTCATCTCCTTTGCATTCTTCTCGGCACCCTCGGCGCGAGAGTTGTAGGTGATGGCGAGGTCAGCGCCAAACTCGGCGCATCCGCGGGCAGCCTCTGTGCCAATACCGGTAGGGCCAGAGGCACCAGTGACGACGACGACCTTGCCCTTGAGGCTGAAGAGGTCCTTGAGCTCGGTTGCTTGGGGAACGGGAATCATTGTGGCGGTGGGGTTGATTGGATGAAGAGGAAGAAGAAGAAGACTCAAGTGTTGGCAAGGTGCAACTGAAGCTGAGAGTATGAGGATGAAGAGAGCAATTGAGGGGCACCGAGGGGTTCAAGTAGTGTTTGGCTGGACGACATGATTGCGAGGCTCGGGTTAGTGGTTAGTGAGGGGCGCTGGGTCCAGAGTGACGTGTAGCTCGATTCAATAGTGGCGCGACGTCATGCTTCCGGGGATGATTCGCCAATGGATCCGTACTGTGGATGTTCTGGGTTTACGGCGTTCGGCTGGGATGCTAGCTGGTGATGGTGGGGGTGGTGGGTTGGTTCGGACAGACGTGACGTTAGCGTGGCCGTCTGCTAGTGTTAGCCCGCCCTGTGTTCCTGGGCCTATCTGGCGTCTTTGGCCGATGCAGAGGGTGCATGCAAGGCCGTCTGCATTGGACATGGCTGCAGTTCATCTTGATTTGCATGTCACTGTGCCATGGCGCCACTCGAGAAACAGGCGTTGTCGTCTACCATGTCCCAGGCATGTGTCTCCGAGGACCCCGCTATCAGTGGCATGGCATGCACTGTCAGCGATTACCATGTTGACAAAGACCGTTATGTATCCGACTAACATTTGACAAATCGGGCTGTGCCTAGTATTCTGGGTACACGGCGTGTGTGCAGTCAGGGTTACTCAGCTCTTTCTCTGTTAGTCTAGGTAATATGTGTATGTAATGGAGGGTGCCGGTGTGCCTGCGCGATGCTCGATGCTCGATGCTCATCGGAGAACTCTGATGGACCCTGCATGTGTAGCAGCACACGAACAAGGAAGAGGGCCGAAAATCTTTGCGCGTGTGCAAAGCCTTCAGGCTAGGTATACGATGCGGATCCGGACATGCGTGTAAGTGCCAGGTGTCGACGCAGAGCATCAGCGATCCGGTGTGTAATGCTCTCCAAGCATGCTTCTAGATGGTGGCCGGCGGGGTCAAAAAGGCATGGTACTATTGTACTAAGTACTACTACTACTACTAGTAGCGCTTCTCCCTCGTCGCCCGCCCAAGGTCAGCGGCTCCTTGTTTCTCCGGCACCGCTCAGGCACAGCACGTGACGACCTGTTTTGTGCCGGCCGCGACAATGCATCATCGTCGTGATAGCTCGTCCGGGCGTGTTTGGCGCGGCGAGTCATGTTGCAATTCGATTCTGCTGTCGCGACTCTGGTTGCGACCGTCTGGAGCAAAGCCCGACCCGATTAGCCAAGCAGCTGCCACAGGGCCTGATGCGCCCCTCTGATTCGCAGCCATGAGAGAGCTCTCGCCATCCTTTTGCTCTCCTGCGTCACCCTGCCACCCTGCCACCCTGCCACCCTGCCACCCTGCCACCCTGCCACCCTGCCCCTCCCGCCCAGTTGACCGCAGGCTGCTTGTTCCACGACTCTCCTCCAACACGTCGCAGCATATAAACCTACACCACGCCCGCGCCCCGCAGCAATGGTCCAAAATGCCCTCTTACCCAAGCCCATCCCCGCCGATGCCGTCACCGTCGGCCAGCTGCTCACGGACCCCGTCCATCCAGAGCGTGACTCTTTCTACCCTGACAAGGCCCACTCGGCAGTCGATGACTTGAACGACTTCCACATCCAGCTCCGCTACAAGGACCTCTACTCAGTCGACACCGAGGGCCGTTTTATGACAAACTATGGCGCCAAATTCGATCTCGGCCGGATATACAGACAGCCCAACCTGCTCACTGTCAAGGCCGAGCAGATGGTCCAATGCACCACCCAGAGCCCTACAAGGGCCTTTGAGGCCGTGTGCAGCGATGCCGATGCCCGCGCCTGGATGGCTGAACAAATCCAAGCAGGAAAGCCGCTGTACATTGTTCTTGGATTGACCGAACTCAAGAATGCCAGCTTCAAGCGAGCTAAGCTCCGTGACGCCGGCGCCTCCAACCGCCTCAATGAGTTGCCTCTTGAAAAAGACGCCAAGGTCCCCCCTTCTCTGCGGGGAAGATCTGGCGCTAGCTTGGGGGCAATTGGCACCGAGCCCTTGATATCAGGCGTCTTCGGCATGGACGTGAGGCGTATTGTCGCCAGACTCACCACCCCCGCAGAGCCACATCGCTTGGAGGATATTGGTTACCGATGGTCCTACTACGATGTCCCGGGCTCCGCCAACAAGGAGCAATTGGCAGTTGGTCTAGGTCAGTCGCTCAAGGCTAATGAACTGCGCCTCATGCTCGACCTCAGCAAAGAGGACGTCCAGGATAATCTCGATGCCATAAGCAAGCTCAGTCTCGATGCACTAAGCGCTACGGCTAGTCCTATGCTCAAGCCTAGCACTCCCATGCTACGCGGACGATCGCCTTCCCCGCACCCCGCTATGCTCCGCTCATAGCATCACCCGACCAACATGTACCCCGCAACGAGCCGTGTCTGATGGTGTCGAGTTTACGTCTTTGTTGGAAAATTAGATTTTGATGGGTGTTCTTGCCGTGAACCATGACCCTTACGACCTGGCATCTTTTCTTATGTAATAATCATATAACTATGCATAAAGTCCATTTTTGCTGGCCTCTTCGCATGTCAGTGAATACATTTCATGTTTTTGTTACACAGTCTTCTGCAGTGAATCAGAATTTGCTCACTTCACACGCCTGCCGTTTCCATGATCACTCTGACTAGTATGAGATGTAACATTAAGGAAGCACACTTGCTACTGCCCTTACACATGCATATTAACTATGTATGATCATCTTGTAATTCCCATAGGATTATTTAGAGATAACAACTGCAAAAGGAAAGGCTATTCCTTGTTTCCTATAGAGCGTGTTCTGCAGGTGTAGTTGTAAATAAAGGTCACCATGAAAGTAGGTGATAGACGCGCAGTCAGGCTAGACGCGGGAGAGGCGCGCTAGCGGCTACAGGGGCTCGGTAGCGTAAATAACGCACCCCCGTTTTGCATGAACTACACAACTTACCATCATCACATGATTTACTGCTTTAGTTGGTTCGACTACTTCACTCGCTTTCGCTTGCTTGATTCCGGTTTGTGCGTGAGAGAGATAGGGAAAGCTGTCTGCATGTAGAGGGCAGAGAGTGCTCTACATTTCGTGTAAGTCACAATCGCCGTTGGTCTTTTATGAAACAAAAGAAAGCCAGGCTTACTTGAATGCAGTTATTCAAGTTGTTTTTACTTCTTTGCGCACAGGTTGAGTTGATAGCGTAGCTCGAAAAAGAGGTGTAGGAGAACCGCAACACAAAGCGGATACGTTGCAGTATCCTTGAAACAAGAGTAGGTAACTTCCCCCCGTCGATATACCATCTTCAATATCACTAGCCATGGACACTTCAAACATGTCCTTTGAGGCAAAGATTGCCATGGCATTGGGAGGATCTAGTTGGCAGAGTCTACAGAACAGTAACACTGCGGATCCCGTTGCTGCAGCCGGACAGGCAGCACATGCGGATGAAGAGTATCAAGACGATGACGATGAAGACATGGATGGCGGAAACGGAATTCCCATAGTGGACGGGCCTGCCGATACAGTCGCAGCCCAAGAGCTGGAAGTCGATGAGGAGCTACTCAAGAAACGCAAGAAAAGACTGGAGCGGTTTGAAAAGGTCATTGCCAAAGATGCTGGAGAAGTGGTCGAGACAATTGAACTTGACTCGCTCATACCCATCTCACAAAAGGTGTCATGGGACCAAGATCCAGAGATTCTCTGTTGCTACAACTGGCAAGCCTCTACAGATGGCACCAACACTATCTTTGGTGCGTAACACCCAACATTGTTTATTAAAATACTCACGTTTACCCTTCAGTCCCGGGTGAGCCAGCAAAATGGCAGCAGCCAGCTCTGCCACATCATTTAAAGCGAGACAGCGGTTTCCAATACCAAGATTACAACTATGCACGAAAGCCGAAAAATCCTTATTCTCCCATGTTCCAGGCACTCAGCGTTATGAATCCAGGCGTTACATTTCACGATGTTGACATTCTGGCCGATCGCAACAATCTCCGCGTGTTGCTCGAATTCGCCCAGGGCAAAGCCAATGGGCCATTTCGATTAAACATATACCTGGTCTTCAACACTTTAGTCATTGTGCGCCGCGAGTCACGCTGGTGGAAACTCTCAGACGGCCATAGCTATGGCATCAATTTCGAGCGAGACTTTACAACGACAACAGACGACATGTGCGACGCAACAAGCCACTACCGCGCCATCCGTTACAAAATGGGCCCGCTGAACGTCGTCTGCCGCTTCGAAGCCGACGCCTACGATGATGGTATGGGAAACGACAACCTCACAGAATCCGAGGTCGCAGCCACAACCGGCAACGGTGCAGGTCCAACCACCAGACCCACCTTCAACTATTCCGCTCCCGTCCGTGTGCTCCAAAAAGGCCATATCGTCCCCACCGCGCAAATGGTCGAGCTAAAAACACAAGCCTACCACCCTGAAAGCAGTGCTTTAGTACAATGCCAAGACCAGCTCTGGTTCGGCCGCACATCCCTCTTATTCACCGCCCCCTACGATAAAGAAACTGGTCGTGTCCAGCGCGTGAAGAAGGAAGACGCCACAGAGCGCGTAGCGAGGTGGGAACAAGCGCAGCAGGAAGCCCTCCAGAAACTTGTTGCGCTACTCGTTCGCATCCGCGCTGTGCTAGTACGCGAACGCAGACCGAATCGCGCAGTTGTCCTCGTGCGTGAAGCAAAAGGTGGACCGCTGGCGCTACGTACGATGGAGGAGAGAAGCTACGCCGTGGATAGGGATACAATGGAAATCTTTTGGCCACCGCGAGCTCATTCATTTGGCGGGCATCGCGGGCGCGGCGGCTACGACCGTGGTAGGGGCTCCTTTCAAGGTTCGCGTGGCCGTGGGCAGGGTGGACCTGGTGGCAGAGGTAATTTTCACCCTCCTCCTTTTCATGGCCGCGGTCAGTATCCCCCTCCGCCGCCTGGTTGGGTCCCGCCGTATAACAATGCTGTTCGAGGCCGCGGCCAAGGCCAGTTTCATGGCAGTGCTTCGTCGGGTCCGGCCTATCATGATGACCGTAGGACGGATGGAGGACAAGGGTGGGGAGTGGGGAGAGCGAGACATACTGGTCGTGGTCAGGGTTCTGCGTATCCTTATTGAGGACATACAGTATGTGTCATCTTTGATGTGAGAATTTCCTTCGGCATGTCCATGTTTCGAAATCTCTGCATCTTTATAGATTTGGTGGAAGGATGTGGAGCTGGATGCGAGTACGATGGATGGATTTGAAACTTGTTTTGCAACTGCGATGTGTGGAGTTATATCTGGGATTGTCCGGGCGTTATAGACGAGAAGCTGGAGTCATACTCGAATAATGATTCTGTTTCAAATCCAGTCATCTAGAGAAGGTTGCATTTCATGAAAGTCAAAAAAAACGATTACTACGCCCAAGATCATCAAATCATTCAATACCAGAAACAAGAGAACCCCCCCTTCCAACACTGCCTCCTCAAACCTGAAACCCCTTCCCATAAGCAGTCGTAGCATTCAATCTCTCCAAAATATACTCCCCCGCCCTAATCGGCCTCCACCTCAGCACCTCCCCCTCCCCCACACACCCCGGCAACGTCTCAACAACAGCATCATAATTAACCGAAAAGAAAAACGGCACACTATACCTCTCCTCTCTCGTCCTATTAACCACTCTATGCACCGTACTCTTATACATGCCATTCGTCCACCTCATCAAAAAGTCCGCAACATTGACTATGAGGGTGTCGGGGAGGTACGGAGCGATGTACCAAGAACCACTTGGCTTGAGGATTTCGAGACCGGGGGTGCAGGAGGGGAGGAGCAGGGTGAAGCATTCGTAGTCGGAGTGGGCGCCTAGGCCGATTTGAGAGTCTGGGGATGTGGGGGTAAGGGAGAGGGAGGAAGGAGGAGGGTAGTAGAGGAGGCGGGCGATGCCGCCGGGGTGCGTGGTTAGGGGGTCGAAGTGGGTTTCTGGGAGGGAGAGGGAGAGGGCGAAGAGGCGGAAGAGGTGGCGGGATAGGTTTAAGACCTATGAGGTATATGTTAGTGGTGGTGGTGGTAGGGTTTGTAAGGGGGAGGGGTAGAACGAACATTGCCGTAGTATTCTTTGATTTCGGCGTAGAATCCGGGTAAATCTTCTTCTTTTGGCCACATGTTTGCGTTACCGGTTGATCCATCGAGATTTTTGTATTGGCCGTCGCCGCCGGTGGGATCGAGGTTGGCTTCGTATGCGAAGTTGAAGACTTCCTTTTCTTCCTTGTCGCCGGCGATGGATGTATACTCGCTGGGCTCCCAGCCTAATCCGAATTTATTGTTCTTCAAATGCAACTCTTCTTTCTTTTCAAGTGGCAGCTCTTTCATGAAACGCTCGGCTTGGTGCAAGATGCCGTCGCAAGCCGACTTTGGGATTCTGTGGTTGGTAATGTAGAAGAAGCCGGATGTTGTGCATGCTTTGCGTATTTGGTCTGCGACTTTCTGGCGGTCGGAAAGGGAGTCGGAGAATGAGGGTTCGAGATCGATGACTGGTATTTCAAAGTCTTTGTCTGCTTCTTCGTTTTTTGCTGAGAGCCGTGATTGCAGATATGCAGCTGCTCCGTTGTGTGCTTCTTCGTAAGTTGTTCGGTCCGTTTCTGAGGGCCCTGGACACATGATGGATGGTAGATGAAACAGTTAGACTTGGCGTTAGGTTTAGAGTGCTCTTCAGTAAGCCTAAAAAGGAAGGTTCAAGATTGAGTCTAAGGGTACTTGTAGACTGGTTGTAAATACTGTGTTATTCACAGAGAGGGGTCTGGATGGAACCACTTGGGCGATTCGTGAACCTATATGTTGGACGGTGGCCAATGACAAGCCTTGATGATCGTTCACTGCCACAGTCTCCAAAGCTTACAGTATCACAGTGTGGAGTAATACAGCTGATAACAGGGTGCCAGACTTGGAGTCGAAATGTGGGGTACCGGTATCGGCGATTGATCGGATCTAAGACTCGTTCGTACACGCCAACATCCATAGTACATATACTAGTCCCCCCTCACATGCAACGAGAAATCTGTCAACACCCCGCATCCTACTCATGGCTACCTCTTCGAATACTACCATTCTTAAAAATGGACGCTGCTTCAATGCTGGCGCGTCTGAGCAACAAGCTCTCTCCAATTCGACAATAATCATCCAAGATGATAAGATCACCTTTATTGGTAGCCCAGATGCAAAGGAAGTCCAATCACACCTTGATGCTGGCGCAACCGTTCATGATCTTGGCGAAAAACATGTTCTGGCCGGCTTCATTGATGCCCACATGCATTTTCTCATGCTAGGTCAATCGCTGGACAAGGTTGAACTGGACGATGCCAAGGATCTGGAAGATATCCGGCGGCGTATTTCAAAGTACGCAAAAGCCAACCCAGATAAACCACGCATCCTGTGCAAAGGATGGATGCAAGCGGCGACCGAAAATCTGGCCAAAGCTAGCATGTTGGATGATTTGGACCCGAGACCGATATATATCGACGCCAAGGATTTGCATTCGTGCTGGTGCAATAGTGCAGCGTTGAGAGAGATGGGCGTTCAGGATATGGAGAACCCTGCAGGTGGCACAATCCAACGAGATGAGCAGGGAAATGCGACGGGTCTCTTGAGCGAAGCATGTGTAATATTGATTGTGTGGCCATATCTTGCAAAAGCCACGCCACTGGTCAATAAAATGGCCGCTCTGAAGGCTGCAATCAACGCATACCATGCAGCTGGGGTTACGGGATGCATCGACATGGCCATGGAAGAGCCCGCCTGGGAGACCATACTTGCATTAAAGGCTGCTGAGGGACTGCCGCTTCGATTTGCAGCGCATTGGTGCATTCTGCCTGGCGAAGGCGAGGAGCATCGACTGCGACAAGTCGATCGAGCTATCAAACTGAGCCAGGAATACAACAGTGAAACCAGCCCGGATCTGAAAATTGTTGGCATCAAGATCATCTGCGATGGCGTCATTGATGCGTGTACAGCTGCGCTGTCAGAACCGTATACCTCAAATGGACATTTCGAAGGCCCAATCTGGACCCCTGAAATGTTAGAACCCGTTGTCAAGCGAGCCACCGAACACGGACTGCAGTGTGCGTTGCATGCAATCGGAGATCAAGCCATTCACAATGCTGTCGAAGTTCTGGGAAAGTATGGCAAGCCCGGTCAGCGACATCGCATCGAGCATCTCGAGCTCACTGCGCCCGAAGATGCGAAGCGGCTTGGTGAACTGGGCATCACGGCGAGCATCCAACCTGTCCACTCTGATCCGGCCATCCTCCGTGCTTGGCCAAAGCTATTAGGCCCTGAGCGTGTGAAGCGGGCTTTCGCGTATTCCGAGTTTGCGCATCATGGGGCGACTCTGGCGATAGGCTCTGACACACCTACTGCACCATATGCGCCACTCCCCAACCTATACATTGCAACAACTCGCAAGTCGGCTCGCCAAGGAGATGAAGGAGACGCACCCGTCAACGAGCATTTCAAGCTCGAGTTGGCACAAGCGGTGACTGCAGCCACTCAAGGCGCAGCATACTCATTTTTCGCCGAAGACCGTGTGGGCAGCCTAGAGGTCGGCAAAATGGCTGATTTGTGTGTGGTAGATATGGAATGGAAAGGAGAGGAGCTGCTCAAGGCCAGAGTAGCTGAGACCTGGTTTGGAGGAAAGCGTGTGTATGCAGCAGCATAATTGCATGACCAGCAGAGATGGAATGAGAAAGTACAACCTGTATCATGGCAATCCCACAGCCGACGGCTCGTTGTCGTTCCCGAGAGATGATGCTTCGCATAAATTCCAAGATGATAAGAATTGCTTTGCTATGAGTCTTGTCTCTCTTGGCCAGGCCTTCCTTCTTGTTCCAACGTCAGTTATGTGCAGATGACATGCAGTTCTTGATATCGTTTCGTGAACTGGATTTTCACCAGCAATTGCTACAAGGCCCTCTGATACGCTCCACGTGGGCGTCGCTGGTATCTCGGCGGCAGCTCAGCGAATCTTTATCGCCGTGTGGTTGAGGTGCAGCATATGACAGGGCGTGTTAGAAGTGTCATCCATGTATCAGCGATGGCCCCAAAACCTCAGATCCAGCGCCGCGACACTCCGCGTTTCAGCGCCTCGACTCTACTTACCAAAACCACTATGTGACGTAGAGAGCGGAACAACGCTCCGCGTGTTTCCTGTCTAATTCTTCTCGCTAGAGACGGTGCCAATCTCCGCTGTAGGCAAAATGTCTGTTGCAAGGCATCCTGGGCCGGGGTGGTTTCTATCATCGTGGCTTAGACGTGCGGAAGATGAGCCCACAGGAGCCCGCGAGCCAAGGCACGAGTTTAGAACGTTTCGCAAGCCGACCAGTATCGTGATGTAGACGGGTAGACGCGTGCAGATATATTGGTTGATGGTCGCGTCCCATGGCCCACAGCCCAGTTCGTTCATTCACTCTACATTTACATCGTCATCTGTTGTCGTCTATTAGCACTCGTTTCAATTGAACAATTCCTACACACATATCAAACCAGCCAACATGTTGACAAACCGCCGATCGACCATGATGGTCCCACCAAACCGGTTGCCAAGTTGGCACCCTCACTCAAAAGTCGCGGCACCACAAGTCGCGTCTCCAGCACCTCTCACATCAGAAGCCGAAGCACCTCAAAGTCGCACTCAGGCTCTCCTTACATCGACATCGCCAACATTGGCCGGCTACCGCATCATTAGCGCCATCGGCGCAGTACACGGCACCACATCGGTGACGCGCAAAGACACAAAAGCTTTCATCAAGAACATTGCCTCCAACTTCAGCAGTAGCTGGGGAGAGCCGAAGACGATAACGAGCATCATATACCAAGCCCGCGACCAGGCAATTGAGAGGCTTATCAACGAAGCAATGAACAAGGGCGCCAATGCTGTGGTGGGACTGGAAATCAGGGAAAGCGAGGTACTTGGATGTATCGTCGTCAGTGTGAGCGGCACAGCAGCGTACGTTGAGAAGGAGAGTGCGACAAAGCGAGACAGTGCACAAGACGCGAACCCATTCCGATGACGATATACCCATGTCATGGAAGGATGGCAATGGTAATCTGCGAAGGACATGGTGTTTTTTTTTCTCTAAGAATTAATTGTGAATACGGGTATTTGGGGTTTGCGCATTGGCGTTTGGATTTAGTGGATACCTGGGGTAAATCCAACATTGCACGCACTTTGACAGTGTGTCGTCTCATGAGTTTATATCCTCTTCACATGCGCGACAATTGCTGTTGTAGCCCTTCTTTTACTGTACAAAGGATCTCAAATGCTTACGCAATGGCGCCGTCGCTACCACGACTTTTAGCACGAGAGGCCTTTTTTTTTCCTTCGGTTACGGACCATGTTGCCCCGAACAAGTCGCAACGTTTGGGTATAGCAGGTCTTCCTAAGCTCAAAGCAAAGAGGTTTCTCGGCGCCAAACCTTCTTGAGCACTCGGCAACGGTCTTATGGCTAGCACTAAAGAAGCATTTTAACCGGCGATGGTCAGGCCAACGGGGCGGAGGAGGAGGAGAAACCCCAGCTCTTGTTCCCCAGTTTCTCTCCGCCTGTGGTAGCCTCGGCATGTGGAGAGACCCTTGCCCATGCCCATGCCCATGCTCTTCTTACTTACATACACACAGCACTACATCCATCGAACCCATGTCCAGTCGCCTGTTCTTGTAAACCTAGCATTGCGCACATTGCACGTCGTGGAAGACATTGGTGTATACTGCCAGCCAAGAAGGGCGGCGCCGGGTCACGTCACTCAAGAGGGGGCGTTGCATCCGCCGACATGGATCGCCAGGAACTAGCACTCGACTTCATCCATTTCTTCCGTTCGCGAGCCCTCAGATCCTCCAATAACCACCGGCCAATTTTCCAGCCGCTCGTGCATACACGCCATGGAGCCGGAAAATGTCATGACGACTGGAATGTACATCAAGGCCGCCATGAAGATCTGCCTACATTCATCCTGTCGCCAAGGGCTAGCGTCCCTAACCACGCCCGTCTTCCGGGAAATGGTCAGTTTCCCGCGTCTTTGGCGACCGACTATAAGATGAAGACGCTGCTGCAGTCGAAATTCTCTACTGTCACGGCCAGCAATCTGCCAGTCTTCTGATCGCCAAGATGGTGCTTCTCAAGGCCTTCGTAGCAGCTGCTTGCGCTACTACTGCGCTCGCGGCAGACATTGTCGTGCATTCCTCTGGTGGCAACCAGACTGGCAAGCATGGACATCCGTATGGATATGGCTTCCTCCACGAGGTATTTTGCTTGAATCTCAATTCCCATGGCCCATGCTAATTGATGCTCCAGGACATCAACAACTCTGGTGATGGTGGTATCTACGCTGAATTGATTCAAAACCGTGCCTTTCAATTCAGCAAGAACTACAGCGTATCCACCGCCCACTACTTCCCCATCAACAATGCCGGCCTCAGCATTCAGTTCTTGGACCAGCCGCTCTCCAAGCAGCTCCCAGCCTCGATGCGAGTATCAGTTGGCAATGGTACTTCCGGCGCTGGTGTAATCGGTTTCAAGAACGACGGTTACTGGGGTATGGACGTCCGTCCACAGACCTACACTGGATCCTTCTGGGTCAAGGGAGCATACGACGGTGTCTTTACCGCATCCCTTCAATCCAACCTCACAGACGAAGTATTTGGCTCCGTCGAAATCCCCTCCAAGTGTGTTGAGGACGACTGGACCGAGCACACTTTTGAGCTCGTCCCAGAAAAGGCTGCTCCAAACTCCAACAACACTCTCGCCATCACTTTTGACGGTGCCGCAGCACGCGCACTCGACTTCAACCTCATCTCCCTTTTCCCACCTACCTACAAGGGCCGCAAGAATGGTCTTCGTATCGATCTTGCAGAAGCTCTTGCCGACATGAACCCCCACTTCCTTCGTTTCCCCGGTGGCAACATGCTCGAGGGTCTCCGAAACGACTCTTGGTGGGACTGGAAGGATTCTCTCGGTCCTCTCCGCTACCGTCCTGGTTTCCAGGGTGTATGGGGATACCAACAGACCCACGGTCTCGGTCTTATGGAGTATCTTGAGTGGGCAGAAGATATGGATCTCCAGATTGTTCTGGGTGTCTGGGCCGGTCTTGCTCTTGACGGTGGTGTTACTCCCCAGCAAGATCTCGATGCCTACATTGAAGACGCACTCAACGAGATTGAATTCGTTACTGGACCTGCAAACTCTACCTGGGGTGCCCGCCGCGCTGAGCTTGGCCACCCCGAGCCTTTTGAGCTCAACTACGTTGAAGTCGGCAACGAGGACTGGCTTGCTGGTTTCCCTGGCGGTTGGGAATCCTACCGCGCCTACCGTTTCCCCATGTTCTACAACGCCATCCGCAAGGCCTACCCCCACATGACCGTCATCTCTTCCGCTGCGTCCAGCGACCCCGGCGGCACACCTCCTCTCTACGGCCCCAACAAGAAGAACGGCCAGATCCTTCCCTTCGATGCTCTCGGCGACTACCACCCCTACCGCGAGCCCGACGAGCTCGTCTACGAATTCAACCGCTTCGACAACGACGCCGGCCACATCGTCGGCGAAGTCGCCGCCACGCACGTCAACGGTGGCATCCGCTGGGAAGGCAGCTTGTACCCCTTCCCCTGGTGGATCGGCGCCGTCGGCGAAGCCGTCTCCCTCATCGGCTACGAACGCAACTCTGACCGCATCCCCGGCACTTTCTACGCCCCCGTCATGAAGAACAACAACCGCTTCCAGTGGCCCATCACCCTCCTCCAGTACGACGCCGATCCCAAACGCACCACCAAAGCCGTGACCTGGTACTGCTGGAGCCTGTTCGCTCACCACCCCATCTCCCACACCCTGCCTACATCCTCCAACACCTCCTACGGCCCGCTCTACTGGGGCGCCGGCATGGACGAGAACCGTGGCGGCGCACGCGTCTGGAAGGGCGCAGTGTTCAACACTACCAACAGCGTTGACGTACCTGTTTCCGTCCATTTTGACGGCATTCCCGCGGGTGCCAAGGCGAATCTTACACTTCTTACTAACTCGGTTGGCGATCCGTACATGTACAATGATCCATTTACCGGCGTTAACATTGTGAACACTACCAATGTTATCCTCACCGCTGAGGGTGATGGCGTGTTCCGCTTTGTCATGCCCGAACTTAGTGTTGCGGTGCTGGATACGGATGTTGGTGGTGGTAATGCTACAATCAAGTCTCGTAGGCGCTTGTCGTAGTTTTATACAACCTTGCTGGGGTTCTTTTTTTCCCCAACCTTTGATGAAGATAATGAAATAAAATAATGTTTTTGCTCCACAATTCTTGGTCTGAGATGATGTGATATTTGACATGATAGAAGTTTAACAACTGAGTGTCTAATCTACACTCCTGGCTTGCATGTCCTTTTCCCGAGCGTTTGGTTACCATCTCTTGATGCCATGCAAGTTAGATTAAGCTGTATGCAATACAGCTTCCAATCAGATCTTGAATTGAAAAGATACTTATTGCCGAGCAAAAAAAGATACATTCGAGTAGCAAGTCATCGACGTGACTCGCGCCCATAACCCCCACATGAGATGAATGTTGAGACAGTTGTCTAGACGGAAAAGTGGTGAATTAAAGTACAATAGCATTCAATCAGGTACTCTAAGGGTCTTTAAATGATACAGTCTTGGAGACAAAAAGAAGGTCCAATAAGCAACCGACCTCGTCGTTCTACCAAGGCAGAACCAATAGCCACCACTCGCTTCGAGTCCTGCGTCCGCTTTCAAACCCAATATGAGCACGGTATACTCCAAATAGCATAGCAATTGCCCTTTTAGCACACTCCTGAAGCTCTGGACGAATAAGATGCGTGCCTTTGGTGCTGATGTGACCTGACCATCGAGGTGCTCAATTGGTCCAGCGCACAACGACGAAGAGGCAGATACAAAAACCATTTTCACAAAGATTCAGTAACTCAAAATCCCTCAAACTCTCTTGAGAATCCAAAAAGGAAAACTCAATGTCACCAGCAAAGCGCAGAAAGACGGGCGGTGCGGACATGAAGCCAAAGAACAAGGCCAGTGAACGAAAGCCACTCCCTGTCACTATTCTCTCTGGCTTTCTTGTAAGTGTCTTTCATGAAGGAGTTTGAATCATACTTACAGTATACAGGGTAGCGGAAAGACGACCCTACTACGACATATTCTCAAGTCACCAGACCATGGACTGCGCATCGCCGTCATCGTGAATGACATGGCATCTGTCAACGTCGATGCCAACATCATCAGCCGATCCAGCAACAAGCCGAATAGCAACGGCGAGGTACGCGTCAAGGAGAAGATGATACAGATGGAGAATGGTTGCATTTGCTGCACGCTTCGAAGCGATTTGCTGGTCGAGCTGGCTCGTCTTGCGTGGAGTGATCAGGGTTTCGATCATGTTGTGATTGAGAGTTCGGGTATTAGTGAGCCTCAGCAGGTTGCTGAGACGTTTACTACTGAGTTGACTGAGGCTATGCTTGATGCGGAGGGGTTGGAGCCAGATGAGAAGGAGGTGTTTAACAAAGTGTGGGTAGCTGAGCTGACCGTCATACCTTAACCTGCTAACTCAAAGTGAAGTGCAAAGATCGGTGGATTGAAGACAATTGCGACTGTTGATACCATGGTCACCGTCGTAGATGCCTTCCGCTTCTTCTCTGAGTTCGACACTGCAGAGTTCCTGCAGGACCGCTTCGGGAGAGAGGAGGTGCCTGACGAGGATCAACGGACCATCTCTGATCTCTTCGCTGATCAAATTGAGTTCGCTAATGTCATCATTGTCAACAAGATTGACAGAGCTGATGCTGCAACTCTGGGCCGCGTCAAGGCCTACATCAAGTCGCTTAACCCGAACGCCAAGCTTATTGAAGCTAGGTACTCAAAGGTGGATGTCCGTGAGATGCTGAATACTGGTGTCTTTAACTTCGGTGAAGCAGTTGCAAGTGCTGGATGGCTGAAAAGCTTGCACGAGATGACTGTGATGGATGTCCATGGCAAGAAGCGTGTTGCGCCGAAACCAGAAACACTAGAGTGAGTTGATCCCCGGGGAAATTTGAATTTTTGCTCACCTGTTTTTGAAGATATGGAATCGGGTCTTTCGTGTACCGCGCTCGTAGGCCATTTGATCCTTTGAAGCTTTACCGATTGATTGAGGGCAAGTTCATTCTCCTACAAGATGAAGCAGAAGATGTGGATGATGAAGAGGACGAAGAAGAAGACGATGGTAATGATGGATCATCTGAATCCGGCAAAGCCAGCACCTCTGGCGATGATTCCGACCAGGAAAGCAATGATGACGATACTCCTCCAATTGATGATAAGCAGATTCTGGAGAACAAAAGAACCAGCCCTTACTTCGCTGGTCTTCACCGTAGCAAAGGCATCTTTTGGCTGGCAACTCGCCCTAACCAAATGGGTTCATGGAGCACCGCCGGCGCAATGCTGACACTCGGATCCGAGATGCCTTGGTTCTGCTGCGTTTCTGAGGAAGACTGGGGTGCTGATGAAGCTACCTTGAAGGCTATCAAGAACGACTTTGAAGGCAAGTGGGGAGATCGTCGCCAGGAGATGGTTTTCATTGGCGAGAAGCTCGATGTGAATGCGATGACCAAGGCGCTCGACTTGTGCTTGCTCAGTCGCAGTGAGATGAAGAAATGGGAAAAAGTCATGCTCGACAAGAAGCTAGATGATGATGAAAAGGAAGAGATTCTGCAGGAAATGTGGGACGACGGCTACTGGGCCGAGTGGCCGCGAGTACAGGACGAGGAGGAGCATGAGCATGATCATTCTCATGACCATGGCCGCCATCAACATGGCCAGAAGCACTGAACTCTCAATGCGTTGATCTGTAAGGTAGTAATGGTGGCTTGTTACGCAGAGAGGGGTTCAGGGCGGGATGCCACCCGTGACGTAATTCACGTTAGTTTCGGTGCTCGGTGCTTCTAGCCATGCCTCCATTCGTCGTAGATTCAACCAAGCATCCTTGACCAACTTCTCGGTTTTGACTCTGCAATACCAACAAAAAGGCGATGAGCTGACAGCTCATAGCGTAGGTAATGAGGCGGGTTGCTAATGATTGAGGCTGCTCGACTCCAACTTCTTTTGCTCAAAAGGGTTGAAGTATCCCATCCCTCTATTCAGGTGGTGATCGTGCAGCTGACACGAAGTGCCCGCAGCACCAATTCTCAAGCAACATGGGGTCTGTGTCCCGCGCTGGAAAGGTTACGCGTCTTACTCAGCGGGGTAATGTGATGTCTGGAAATCATCTCAAATACAAATTCACAGCCTCAACTCTATAAATATTTTCTACAAACAAAGATTTTAGCAGCCTTTCCAGATGTTCGATCCAGTGTCGAAGTTACTACGCATCAACCTCGCGTTGTTTGGGGGACGCTTCCTATCTTCCCCAGGCGAACAAATTGGCCGTCTTCCTGCCATGGGATGGAGCTCCTGGAACGTGTACCGATGCGACATCAACGAGAAACTCTTTGTGGAGGTGGGAAGTCTTATGGTCTCCCTTGGCCTGAAGGATGTCGGCTACAGCTATGTCAACATTGATGACTGCTGGAGTGATAAAGATTATCAGCGTGATGATGTCACTGGGAAGATCAGACCAGACTACAACAAGTTTCCCAAGGGCATCAAGCATACAGCTGATGAGATCCACAAGCTTGGATTGAGATTCGGAATTTATAGTGACTCGGGAACATTGACATGTGCCGGATATGCCGGCTCTCTGGGAAACGAGAGACTAGATGCAGAGACGTTCGCAGAATGGGGTGTTGATTGTAGGTGCGACACGGAAAGTCAGAAACATAACTAACAGCAAGCAGACTTGAAGTATGACAACTGTTTTGTCCCTCAGGAATGGCAGGATAGATACCGATGGAGTCCAGATGACTGGGTGGCTGATCCTCCTGACGAAAAAAGAGCAGGTGATGACGCCGAAACCGAAGTAATTGAAGCACCGGGTGGGTACGATTGGAGGTCCTCCAAAACCTTTGCTCGCTACAAAAGGATGGGAGACGCATTGCTCGCTACTAACCGCCCCATACAGTTCTCTCAATGCGCATGGGGCAATGCCCATATTGATCAATGGGGCAACGAGACTGGCCACAGTTGGCGAATGTGGGGGGATATCGGGCCTAGATGGGAAGAGGTCCAGAATGGAGACTGGGGTATCATGCCTATTCTCAACCACGCATCATTCTTCATCAATGGCACCGACTTTTGGGGGCATGGTGACTGGGACATGCTCCAAGTGGGCAATGGCGAGCTGACCTTCCAGGAGAGCCGTACACACTTCGCAATGTGGGCTGCCCTGAAGTCGCCTCTTATCATTGGAACACCTCTTCACAATATCAAGCCAGAGATATTGGAGATTCTCAGCAACAAAGAGCTCATTGATTTCAACCAGGATCCATTCGTGGGACCCGCCGCTAAGCCATACAAGTGGGGCGTAAACCCGGACTTTACATGGAATCGGACTCACCCCGCTGAGTATTGGAGCGGGCTATCATCCAAGGGCGTGCACGTGTTTGTCATGAACACGTTGAACACAGTACAAACTAAGATCATCGACTTTTCGGAGGTTCCAGAGCTTGATCCTGATGTTGCATACACAATCATTGACTCCTGGACCGGGAAAAAGCTAGGGAAGTTTAAAGGAAAATACAAGACGACCGTCGATGCTCACGACACCATAGCGATCCGGTTGGTCAAGGCAAGTTGTTTTGACTATTCGAGATTGCAGACCACATTTTGAGAAATTTCCTCGTCTCAGCAGTGAAGGAGGTGCTGGATTCTGTATGTGTCAGGCCTCTATCGAACAATTGACTATCAAGAATAAAGACAAGATCGGCTCCTGTGGGGTGCAGATCTAGCGCTGGCGGGACATGTTGTTGTGACGTCAATCTCTCCAATTACCCCAACCTCTTCAAGTAGATCATTGACTCGAGATACTTCCACTTGAACACTTGCCATCTCAATGAAAAAGAAAACATAATATCAAGTACATGACGGCAATGAGCGGTTGTTTGATCCAATGATGGGTGTTCCAGTGGGAGCTAATCTACCAGAAAGCCACAATCAACCTCACCGAAATCGCAATCACAAACGGTGAAAATGTTACATGATTACATACCTCAAGAATAAAGAGAAATGAAATCAGGCATAGGTGGCGCTCATGCGAACCCGGCTGTTGGGTCTATGCTGGTTCATTGATCCAAGGCTACGATGGAGCCTTTTACCCCGAGGCTAAATACAACACTATGTTCCTCGGGACTACTCCGGAATGTAACCCAATACAACGAAAAAGAACCTTTACTACGCCTACGATCTGCACCGGAGTTCTGAAAATGGAATGCGGGGGACGTTGCGCTAACGACGACCTACATAGTTCGTCAGCAGTACATCGTACGTACACGGGCAAAATGCGGTCCATCAATGAGGCGGGGGACAGTTACAGATCACCATCTCGTCGGGTATTGGCACACCATATCTTGACTCTACAGTGGAGTCACATGAAGTATAAAACCCATACGTTCGGACCGTATTTGGTCATAAACTCTCGGCCCTGACAATGTTTATCACAGCAATCCTTGCTGCCGTTGCTGGCTTCGTGCCATTAGCAGCAGCGGAAAACAGCACTCGACTATGGTACACTACTCCCGTCGCATCAAGTACCTGGACCGATGCTCTCCCGATTGGCAATGGTCGCCTTGGAGCAATGATCTATGGCATCCCGGTACAAGAACGCATACAACTTAATGAAGAAACCATATGGTCAGGAGGCCGACGAGATCGGGTGAATCAAAATGGTGCCCAAACAGTTTCGGAAGTTCGAGACTTACTCGCGCGAGGCGATGCTGCCGGTGCGCAAAAGTTGGCTAATTTAGGTATGATGGGCACTCCACAGACATGCAGGAATTACCAAACCTTGGGCGATATGGAAATCTCTTTCGACGGTACAAACAAATACGACAAAAGTACGTATGAACGGTGGCTGGATCTGGACACAGCTTTGTCTGGTGTACGGTTTAAGATCAACGATACTCTGTACGAGCGGGAGATGTTCGTGTCGGTGCCAGACGATGTTTTTGTACACCACTTGAAAGCAACGGGAAATGAGAAACTGTCTTTCCAAATACGTGTACATCGACCCAAGGACGGTTTGAATGAAGCTTCTGATCAGAACTGGAACGAAAACGGGTGGACATACATGACAGGTGGAACTGGCGGTATCGATCCGGTAGTATTTACTACTGCTCTAGCGGTTGAGTCAGACGGTCATGTCAGAACATTGGGCGAATTCATCGTCGTGGAGAATGCTACTGAAGCGACGGCTTTCCTTGCAGCTGCAACTTCGTATCGCCACAACGATACTAGAGCTGCTGTGGACAGCACTATACAAAAAGCCCAGCAACATACCTACGAAGAGCTCCGTCGTCGCCATATTGAGGACTATGCGCCGTTCTACAACGCCAGCGTGCTTAATCTGAATGGGCAGGATCTCGAGACGAGCAGCTTACCCACTAATGCACGAATAAATGCGACTCGCAGAGGTGCAAATGATCCTGGATTGGTCGCGTTGGCCTACAATTATGGTCGCTATCTCCTCATCGCTTCTTCTCGAGCGGGTAATCTGCCATCGAACCTCCAAGGCATCTGGAACAAAGAATTTGACCCGTTGTGGGGCTCCAAATATACTGTCAACATCAATCTTCAGATGAATTACTGGCCCGCAGAGGTTACAAGTCTCTCTAGCCTACATGAGCCGTTCTTTGATCTTCTGGAACTGATGCGCAAGGATGGAACGCACACAGCTAAAGCTATGTACAATGCTTCTGGGTGGATGAGCCATCATAACACAGATCTTTGGGGCGATACGGCACCTGTAGATACGTATCTACCCGCTACATACTGGACACTGTCTTCCGGATGGCTCGTCACTCACATACTCGAGCATTACTGGTACACAGGTGACAAGAGCTTCCTCTCTTCAAACTTGCATATCGTATCCGAAGCCATTGAATTCTACCTGGACACACTTCAACCCTACAAGGCCAATGGAACTGAGTACCTTGTTACCAACCCATCTGTCTCCCCAGAAAACACATATGTAGGCCCAGATGGAAAGTCCTACAACTTCGACACCGCACCCACATGCGACATTGAAATCCTCAACGAGCTCTTCACAAACTACCTCAACGCCGTCGCCACCCTCTCAAACTCAACCGTAGACTCTTCATTCCTAACACGCATCCGCGACACCCAAGCCAAACTCCCACCATACCGGTATTCAACTCGCTACCCAGGCACATTGCAAGAATGGATGCAAGACTACGAGCAAGCCGAGCCAGGCCACCGCCACGTCTCCCATCTTTATGCTCTCTACCCAGGAACCCAGATCCTTCCTCCCGGCGCCCCAGGCTACGATGCTAAACTCTTCAGCGCCGCAGCTGCTACTCTCGAGGACCGTCTATCGCACAACGGTGCGGGAACGGGTTGGTCGCGCGCATGGACGATTAATTGGTACGCTCGGTTACAAAATAAGACTGCGCTTGCAGAGAATACGTTTCAGTTCTTCAACACGAGCGTGTTCAACAATTTGATGGATGTCAATGAGGGTATCTTTCAGATCGACGGTAACCTCGGGTTCGTAAGCGGTGTTGCCGAAGGCCTGTTACAATCACACGTTGTCGACGACAAGGGCGTCAGAGAAGTATGGCTGCTACCCGTCCTACCAGAAGAATGGAGCGATGGATCTGTTAATGGAATAGCGGCGAGAGGCGGGTTCGTGTTTGATCTTGAGTGGGCGGATGGAAAGCTTGTGCATATGAGGATGGAAAGTAGGGTCGGTGGACCGGTTGTGCTGAAGTACGGCGGTAGTGGCAATTCGACGATTGCTGCTAGACAGGCTGAAGGCTTTTCTAATGGTCGTATGAGGTTGGAGACGAAGGCAGGGGATGTTAGGGAATTCGATTTTCGTAAGGCTTAGGGTGATTATGTACTAAATCACAGCTTTTTGCTACGAGTTGCCATTCCTTGATATTGCTCCAACTTATCAATAATATGTACTCATGTATTGTAAGCCTCAGAGGTAACAACACGTATGAGCTTATCTGTCTTTCGACACATTTACTCAAGAGCCCATATCAATCTAGCAGGTCTTAATGCTTGCCGTTTTCAGTATATCTTCGTCGATCGTGGACTTCTCTTCATTCGACTCGTCATGATGAAAATTCGACCCATTTGAACATATGCTCAGCATGCAAGAAGTACTTTAAGAGATTAAACAGAATTCAGAATCTGATATTTATCGCAGAAAAGGTGCTGGAGCGGGGAGCGCTAGGCCCAACACGGCTGCAAAATGGAGGGCGCTCAGACCAAGAACGCGAGCGCGACTTCACAATTCGCGTCGCCCCTAACGACGGCTTTGTCTGCCCCTCTCTACCTCCACATACAAACACCATAACGACTTACGACCCACGAAGATAATGGCAGACAGACAGACACCATTTTCCATTAGCCTTTTCGGCAGCCAGGCAGGCGATGGCCCTCAGGATGACACTGCGCCTTCGCGCGTGCAACGAGCATTGGTGGACTTTATCATGGAGTTTACCCTGGATAATATCTTCGTTTACAGGTACACAAAAAAGCAGTCATGAACCAACAAGTGCGGGACTGATACGGTCTCCAGAGATCAAATACGCGAGAACGTGCTCTTGAAGCAATACTACTGTGATATTGACGTTGCCCATCTCATTAGCTACAGCCCCGAGCTGGCCCATGACCTTAGACAGAACCCGGCTGAAATCATACCTCTTGTATGTCGTATTCTCTCCTTCTTCATACAAGCATTGACATTGGCCAGTTTGAAGCCGCCCTCAAGACATGTACGCAGCGTATCGTCTACCCCTCACAGAAGAACATATCCCTACCTCAGCACCAATTGCTCCTCCACTCCAACGCTTCAGAGCTTTCCATCCGTGACCTCACCGCTACAAACGTCTCACAACTCGTACGCATACCCGGTATCATCATTGGTGCGTCCACGCTTTCCTCCAAGGCCACAGCCCTCGCTATTCGATGCCGCAATTGCCAGCATGAAGAGATCCTTCCTATAGCTGGCGGCTTCTCAGGAGTCTCTCTTCCAAGAACATGCAGCAGGAAAAGGGGAGAAGGCGAGGTCGGAGAGCAGTGTCCGCTGGACCCATACTATGTCATGCACGAGCGCTGCCAGTTTATCGACCAGCAAGTGCTCAAGCTGCAAGAAGCGCCTGATATGGTTCCAGTTGGTGAACTGCCGCGCCACATTATGATTTCTGCCGACAGATATCTTGCTAACCGCGTTGTTCCTGGTACACGGTGCTCCGTCATGGGCATCTTTTCCATTTACCAGCAAAAGGGTTCCAAGCGTGCAGGAAACGCTGCTGTAGCCATTCGCAATCCCTACATACGCGCCGTCGGCATCCACGCAGAAGTCGATCACGGAACCAAGGGAAATGCGGTTTTTACCGAGGAGGAAGAGCAAGAATTCCTCGAGATGAGCCGCAGACCAGACATCTACGAGGTCTTTTCGCGGTGCATTGCGCCTTCCATTTATGGAAACCAGGATATCAAAAAGGCCATTTGCTGCTTGCTAATGGGTGGTTCAAAGAAGATTCTACCAGACGGAATGAAACTTCGTGGTGACATCAACGTGCTTCTTCTTGGTGACCCAGGTACCGCCAAGTCACAGTTGCTCAAATTCGTTGAGAAAGTGTCGCCAATCGCTATTTACACATCCGGAAAAGGATCCTCAGCCGCTGGTTTGACCGCTTCGGTGCAACGCGATCACAACACGCGCGAGTTCTATCTCGAAGGAGGTGCTATGGTTCTCGCAGACGGTGGTGTAGTGTGTATTGACGAGTTCGACAAGATGCGCGACGAAGACCGAGTAGCTATCCACGAAGCCATGGAGCAGCAAACCATTTCCATTGCCAAAGCAGGTATCACAACGATTCTCAACTCGCGAACATCGGTTTTGGCGGCCGCCAACCCGATTTTCGGACGTTACGACGATATGAAGACACCTGGTGAGAACATCGATTTCCAAACTACCATCCTGTCGCGTTTCGATATGATTTTCATTGTGCGCGACGAGCATGACCGTGGACGTGACGAGCGGATAGCAAAGCACGTCATGGGCATCGCAATGGGCGGGCGCGGTGTGGAAGAAAGTGTACAAGCCGAGATACCGATTGAAAAGATGAAGCGCTACATCACCTACTGCCGACAACGGTGCGCACCTCGTCTCTCACCCGAAGCAGCGGAGAAACTCTCGAGCCACTTTGTTAGCATCAGGCGACAAGTGCACGCTTCCGAAGTCAACGCCAACCAACGGTCTAGCATCCCGATTACGGTGCGTCAACTGGAAGCTATTATCCGTATCACGGAGTCGCTAGCCAAGTTATCGCTCTCGCCCATAGCAGATGAGTCTCACGTCGATGAAGCAATCCGCCTGTTCCTTGCGTCTACCATGGACGCGGTGAACCAGGGCGAAGGACAGAGTTCAAAGGAACTCATGGATGAGGTCAACAAGGTGGAAGAGGAACTCCGGCGCCGTATGCCCATCGGGTGGCAAGTCAACCTGTCAACGCTCAAGCGTGAAATGGTGGATGGCAAGGGATACTCTGAACAGGCTCTTGCGCGGGCGCTGCACGTAATGAATGCGCGAGAGACGATAAGGTGGAGACACGGAAACAGTGTTGTCTTCCGCGCCAGTGCCTAAGATTTGGGACTGTTTTTGAGGTGTTTGTCTGGGAGTGAGGCGTATTCGCCTTGTTCGAGGCGCTGGGTGGAGAGCAGGTGATCAAGGAGAACTCGGCATGGGATTGGATAGAAACATTATTGTCATGTAAAATCTGGTGTGGCGCAATATTCCGGCGCAAACTCTGAGTTGTGCAACCCAATTTTTTCTTACCCAACACTACCGTGACATCATCGCCAACGCCGCAAAATCATCGGAAGGAAACAAGGCTTCCTTATTCGAAACTGGTTAGCGCATCTTGAATGAGTGCAGATTGTATGTCCAGAGGTGTAGGTCTTAGGCTTCGCTTTCCCAAACCAGACTTGACTCGTTACTTAATTGTGGGAATTGTGGGCCGCTTCTCTCCCAGTTTGTGGCTCACTGATGGAGATAAGGCGGATAAGAAGTCATGTTTTTGATCGTCTCCACACTTCCACCATATTTGAACCTGGGGAAAGCTCCCGTATGATTGGTTAGTAGGAGAGGAAAGTGTGTGTGCGGGGATATGGTGAAGACTTGATGGATTGTGGGGGTTGTTGGAGAGACACTTTGTTCATGATGTATATAGCACGTTGGGCACTTGAGATGATATGATTGGCTTTTTTTTTGGTCATTAATATGGAAGTGATGATTCAATTTCTCTATTTTGATAATTCTAGCCGTGAATCGATGTCAAATCTGGGGGACGTGAGGCTGGAGTGACGACAGGTATGCCAGTGGGTTGGCCCACAAGGTTCCAGTTTAGCACGCAGCCGACATCCAAATGTGAGATTTCGCTTGTCAAGATCGGTGCTGGGTGAATGAGATACTTTGGCTTCAGTGACTTGTTGGTGAGACCGAGGAGCTCTCAGCCTGTGCTTCAAAGGGGCCGAAGACTAGGGCTATCCGAGGTGCTGGTTGTTAAACAATATGATGAAATCACGGAATGGAGGTCTACAAGACTAGTGTATGAATACGGAGGACCCAAGGCAATGAAACTACATCGTCATGTTGGACCAAATAGAAGCTGTTACACAAGCTCACAAAGGCATCGGATTGGCATGCTCCGCGGCAGTGTGATTGCAAGTGAAGCTCCTACATTATTGAGTATGCTATAATCAATTTGTTGGATTCAAAGACGTTGATGGCCGGCTCAGAACGGGGCCATACAGCTTCGCCCAACCGAGTGCGAAGAGGCATATACATCACCCATTTGCAAGAATGGGCTGACTGTGCATGTGGTGTTTCCCAACGCGAATGTAATGAGCTGGGAAGATGTTTTCCCACATCTGGTATCGTTTTGCCTACGATGTGGGATAGCGCAACTTGCATCAATTGACTGCTATCCCAAATCCTGCCGGTGTGGAGCCATATGTTCAGCGACCCGAAGTGTGCAAGGTGTTGGCCTTGATTGTGATTGAGAAGATGATATCACTGCATTAACACGACCTCCTTGGTGAACGAATGGCAGGTGTATCGCGTATTGACCTCTTCCAGCCTTGGGCTCCGTGGCCAGGTTCTGACGTACCGCTTTCTCGCTCTGTTCATTCGAACCACCAAAGGTCATATGGCGCACCAAGTTGCAGAATGCCTTTGATCATCACCAGAATGACTTCATGTAGGCGTTATAGCATTCCCACGGCTAGATCAAGGAAGTCACTGTAGGGGCTCACAAGGATGGACAGGAGCGCTGTAAGGTGGGCCCTGCAGACGTTGTAAAGAGTCCGGGGGGCAGGGACCATGGGCAGTTTGCAATTCTAAGGCTGAGGGTGCCAGGCGAGTGTGGGAATCTTGAAAGCCAAGGGGCCGCGGTATAGGCTTTGGGTAGTGGCTATGGTTTTCGGTGGGCCTCTGGTTCAGAAGACTGCTTCGCCAAGGTACGCTCAACTGGAGCTAGTAGGATGAACCAGAGCGCCTCGTTTCCACACCAGAAATCTTGCAAATTGTGCATGCCATATGCAATATATTTGTCGGGCACTGCTGGGGCAGGCTGTGCGACACTCTCCGTGGCTTGTTCGATTGGTGGAGGTTAGTATGTCCAAGAAGTACGGAGATTTACGCAAGTAGACAGAGCACTTTGTGATGGGGGCCATTATTGGAAGTGACTCTCGTGACTATAACGGGGGAGGCTGGTCCTGATATAGACGAATGCCATCCTATAGATGAGGAACGGATACGTTTTTTTCTTCAATTTTTCTCATGGAACCTAGCAAATAGGTTTTGGAGAGAATGTCAGCATGTTGAGGCCGAGGGCTACACAAAAAAAAATGGGCCAGCTGTGGGATCCATGGTCGTTGCTGAACCACAGCGATCTGATCCGTCACTGCCTGGTATGGAGGTGCCCCAAGAGAGAGCGAGCACAGGAGTATATAAGTATCTGACAAATGCGCGCCTTCTCTCAGGCAGTCCATTGCTATCCAGCGACGCAACGCGCAATCATCAGCATCGCCATGGACTTTGACTGGGAGTTTGATGCAGAGCTGCTTGATCAGCCAACACTATTGGACGGACTGAGATTTGGTGAGGATATTGACAGCAGCGGCACTCACCTTGCACAGGGTATTGGTGGTGGAGTGCAGCTCGGCGGCTCACTGCTTCAGATAGCCGGTAAGTTTTCCCGCTCCGCTCCGAGCTCGGCGGGACTCGGGGTTTGGTGGTTCGATCTGATAAACTAGGATATCCATCTGATAACAGCGCGCTTCTCCATTCGCACCTGACCTCTACCCAACAAGCGGTGGTGGCTATCAGGAACGAGATGCTTCTTAACTACATCAATGCACCCGCTGGCCGTGCTGCCTCGCCTACCGCCTACAACTCACCCGGTGCATCGCCTCAGTCGCCCACTGCGCTCGTGGAAAACACTGATTCCCGCCGACCCAGTCGAAGTGAGTGTACACCGTCCATTGCTTTTCCCTTGTCCCACCCGCGGTTTGCCGCGGCTGTTGGCTGCACAACACCACAGTTGACGGTATGTACTGGTACTGACAGACTGGTAGCCCTCGTCCCCTGCCCCGCAGTCTCTGCGCACGACTCGGTCGCCACGTTGTCTCCTGAACCCAACACCAACGCTGGCCCTCCCCAGACTGGCGGGGGCCCGCTCAGCAAGACCCATGTCGTCCCACCACGCCCCAAGCCCGGCCGCAAGCCTGCCACCGAGGAGCCAGAGTCGAAGCGCAAGGCCCAAAACCGACAGTCGCAGCGTAACTTTCGCCAGCGCAAGCAGAGGACCGTCCTGGATCTGCAGGAGTCGTTGAATCAGGTCTCTAGGCAACTTTTGAGTGCCAATACTGACCACGCGAGAGAGCGTGACCAACTCAGAAGTGAAATCGAGAAACTCAAAAACTATAACCAAAGACTAATCAGCGAAGTCGACGACTGGAAAAACGCTTGTAAATATATGCAGGACAGATTGTCAGCCATTTCTGGCCAACCCCCTTCCATGCCTCTCTCCTACCCCCGTCATGACACTCCCCTCCGCAGGGCCTTCGATACCGACTTCAATGCCCAAGCTCTCGTTCCCAGCCCTCAACCAACAGATCTGGGATGCGACCGGTGCACAAAGGACCATTGCGCCTGTCTAGCTGAGATGACCAATGACACTGCTTTCCAAGGTCCTGTCGACCCCATGACAGGCGTCCACCATGGAGAGCCTGATGACGACAAGCCACGCGACCACAGCGAATTCGAAACAGACTTTACAGCTGCGTTCAGTAAACCAAAACCCCATGATGCCGATCCGGCTGCACTCCTCTCTTCGGCCGAAGACGCAAAGTTTCCCGATTGTGGTTTTTGCGCAGACCAGCCAGAGTCTTGCATCTGCAGAAGCTTGCGTTCCGAAGCTGCAGATGCAACCTCATCACTGGCGCCCATTTCAACTGCCCCCTCTGAGCCTGCCAAGTCAAGTGTGGCTGTGACCGGTCCCGGTTCCTGTGCTGATTGTCAAGCGAACCCTGAGCAGCGCGCCTGGTGCCAAAGGGTTGCACAGCTTCGCAGCGAAGCGACACCGCCCAACTCTCGACGTAACTCAACAAAGAGCGTTGTGCTAGGAACCATGGAGCCCAAGGCCTCTACCAGTATCGACATGAGCAGCCCTGTAGGCCGTGGAGACACGGTTGGCTGCAGTGATGCTTTCAAGCTGCTTGTCGGGCGAGTCGACACGCAAATGGATTGGCGACAACTGAAGCCTGTCCCTCCAACCTTTGCGCAAGAAGATGCTCGAAAGAACACATTTACCATGGAGCCCGGTATGTACAGCGCCATGGAGCTGGATGCTAGCAGCATCCTCACTACTCTGCAGCATGCTCCGGGTCCCATCAAGCCTCGTCCATCCGATGGTACATATGCACGCTTGGTGCAAGAAGCAGAAGAGAGGCGCCGGAAGTCTTCCACTCCCATGAAGAAGTCCGATGACCATCCCATGCTGGACTGTGACAAGAACTAACTTTACATTTCTTTCATCTTTGATTCCAACGACCATCATTCTGCCATAGTTTATCGGCATTGGTCGTTGCAGAGTCATCGTCACGATTGACTGTACATCCCATGTGACGGGATTAGCAGTCGCAAAAAAAAAGATTACGAATCACGGCAGAGCGGTCATTTTACTGATTTTTGTTTCTACTACTTGGTTTTACTACAGCAGTGATCAGACTACAATGATCATAGGATAGACTAAGAGGAGAACACATCTCTTCACATATTACGTGTAATATTTACGTTTGATTTTTGATGAGTTTCACGTGCTCTTGAGTGACTTGTCCATAAGAAAATTCGTACGCCGAGGCATTTTTCTTACTGGATTGCTGGTTGAGCTGGCCGAAGAGGTGCCGGTTGAAAGTATCAGTCACGCCATAATCGCAGTTTGTGGCATTGACAACAGGCGCTTGTACTATACGCTTACGTTACGTTCTTTGGCTGAAACAATCGCGGAGATTGTTCGGACGCAGGTTGCTGTGTGATTGGTTGAAAGCCCATCCGTTATCGGATCTTATCAGATGATCAGATATAAACTTTGCACTAGACTCGAAGCAGTTTCCGGTGCCCAGAGAGCGGATCAAAGTTTGCATGGTCAGAGCATCGTGGTAGAAGGTAAGAGGCGTAATCATGTGATGCAGATGTCACAAGTGGAAGTCAACACCAAGAGGTATCGTAAAATATGCCTTTCCTGTGAAGAAGATGTGGTGCATGATCGAGTATCGAATATTTTTCCACTCTGTCCAAGTCGCACATATTTGCCCGATCATGTTTCCCTTCTCGAAACTACCGTTTTTTTTGACATCTCCCTCAAAATCAAGAAGTCACTTCTTAACCCCATTAACAACAACTTCATGTCCCTCCCCCTTTCTCTGTGCAGTAGACACTCCCGGTCCCGCCCTAACCGCAACCTAAATGTGTCCATTGATCAACTCTATTCTTTCTATCCAACACCGTCCCCTACCAAAAAAAACCCCCCTTTGTGAAAACCAACCTTCCAAAATAAAAATCGCTCTAGAAAGCTAGACTATGTGGGAAATGAAAGGAATAAGGGAACAACGAACCTGAACATCCACCCCCCACTTTTGTGCGTTAGCAAGAGCAATGTTTGCTGCTTCTTGCTCCAGACATGCAGCTGCGGCTGCGAGTTTGGTGCCTGCGGCTGAGAGGGTAGTTCCTAGCGCGGAGAGTTCGGAGGCGAGTTTTAGGAGGGTGTCTGGGGTTGTGTTGGACATTGTTTTTTCTTTCTTTCTTCACTACTTGCGTGTATGTTGGATGGTATATGCTTAGTTGGTGGGTGGGCGGGGACTATGAAATGTGATGAGTTTGAGAGGATTGATGGATGGAGATGGGGTAATGTAAGAGTAGATGATGTTTGTGGAAGTGTTGAATTGGTTTGACATGTTAGGTGTATAGCGAACGGTGGGTTGGGTACTATGTTTGACAATGTTCATGAGTGTCTTTGGGAAATGTATGATTGTATTGTGAGATGTGTTGTATCATACTTCAACTTCTAGTGAGAATTCATGCAACTGCAACATTGAATGGCATATTGAATAACAGAAACTTTAGCACTACAACACTTGTGCTTAGGTGTACGATTGTATCATGATGACTGTGGATGGCAACTCATACTTATCCAGTACGTGGTTGCATGGCAGTTCACGCCCTCGAATCCTCCTTCATTTTCCGTAGCTGAGCCAGCACATCTTCCTTTGAAATATCATCTTTCAAACACTTCAAGAGTAAGTCTTGCTCGCTTGTCGGAGCCATACCTGCGGCCTCGGGTACTCTCCTATCAAGATTGGTGGGAAACGGATACCCCTCTGCAACAACACTGACAAACGCCTTAACCTTATCACTGAACCTATTCTTCACATACATCTCTGACAGCGCATCCCATGTGTGCTCAATAAGAGAATACGTATCAATCGATTCCATGGGCTTACCAAACGCCGACGAAATCTGCAGTAGGTTCGCCGAGCGCATGATATCCGCAGAGTCATTCTGACCTGCAGCATGGAACAGTGCAGGATTGAAGAACAATCCATCACCTTTGTCCAATGGCAACGAAATATAATTCTTCAAAAAGAAGTCCTGGAACTCAGGTATCCGATATGCCATATACCCTTGCTCAAACTTCTGACTGAACGGCAACAATCGCGTCGGACCACTTTCTACGGGCATATCCGAATGCGCAACTGCACCTTGTAGCGTGAGAAACTGCGATGCAATCTGCACTCCTTTTGGGAATTTGGCGCATGACTCGCTATCTTGGAACCCAATGTGGTAGTCTCGGTGCAAAATCTGGGCTTGGGCGCCGGGCTTCACAATATTGACTTGTGCAGTCAAGCGGTGATACGGACCGAGCCATGCCTCGGATATCAATAGAAGCCAAGGGTTGGAGTAGTATTTTACAAATGAGGCTGCATCCAGGAGGCAGTGTTTGGATAGTGAATTCCAAATGCGGTCGTTTGCGCCGGCGCCTGCAAAGTGGTCGCCGCGTTGGCTAGACGCTTGTTTCTCTTCTGCAATTATTGATGAGTAGACTTTGTTGACGTCGTCAATTAAAGACGTGTCTTGGTAGAGGTTCTTGATGATGAAGACGCCGGGGCCTGAAAGCAGGATGTGGTACCATTCGTCCTGTAGAGCAGCATGGTGTTCTGGACGCAATGATGAATAATCGGGGAGATGATATATCGGCACGTGCGACTCGACAGTGCTTGCAAGCGGATAGTGAATTGATGAAGACTCCGTTGTTAGCTTCTTGAAGTCTTCCAATGAGGGCGGGTTGTTGATAGAGTACAGCCGAGGCTGGATTCCTAATTCTTGGCGGGCGTGCTTGACGCCGTCTGGGGTAGAGTAGTCATTCATTGTTAGGCCTTGTGTGACGATGTTCGAAGGCTGCGCATATACTTTCCTGGCTGAGTATGCAAGGGCGTTTGTCGGTATTAATTATGTCGGCAGTTGTGTCACTACGTACGTAATAGTAGCAGTGCTATTGGCTCTACTACATATTGGGGTTCCGGGCGGAAAGCGGAGAAGCAACCCGACACACACTTCAAATCGAGCTATGTACAGACAAACACATCCATGTCTGTGAGAATCAAACGAGCACGCGTGCATCGTGTACATGCAGGAGGCATGTGTATTGGGCTGGAAATTGCGTATTTGGAGTAACGCCAAATATAGAGATGTTGTACAGCTACTAAACTTGGCATACTTCCTGGAGTAAGATATTGTTATTCATCTGCTGATCGACTTTCATCATCGATCAGGATAGAAGACGCCTCACCTTCTATCGAAGATGTAACGGTGGTTTAAAAGGGCCGTTTATTTCGCATCAATCACCGCGCAGTCACGCCGTGAAACCTTGTTTTCCCCCGCTCTTGTCATTAATTTCCGACTTGCTTGGCTGAGTTAGTGCAGATTGGCGAATGCTTGGCTTCGGGGAGGCGATGCGCGATACGCTGCCAAGGTATTGAGATAGATGAAACGCACCGACTAGTTGTGTCAGTCTGCTCTGGGCCTCCCAACATACGAGGGTTGTTATGCTTTGACATGAAAATGGCACCGACACATTTGGGGGCACGGATGCTTCTGGTATATCTCGGGTTGTGCGCATTAGTTTTGTGGTAATGCCTGCATGAATAGATTTCTTGCATCACAGCGCTTCTCTTGGTAAACTACATTGGTTGATATTTGCATACGATCATGGGTTCAAATTGTGATTGCGTTTGTTCGCGTTGATCTTAGAACTACCCCATATCCCGAGCCTATGCTTGCTACGTTTTTAGAATAGTTTTCAATACAAGTCCTGTGCAAGGTGCTGAAAATTGTTTTCTTTGCGTGAAAAAATAACACACACTAAGTGACTGCTTGCGAAGAGAACGAAAATCGGATAGAGAATGAACATAGGGAAGGTGCTACATCGAATGCAACAGCGATGGGATATGTTGTCTTTACTCAGATAAGAATTAGAAAGATGCATATGATATATCATCGTGAATTACGAAAGACAATTGAGAATATATCAAATCCGATTATTTCCATGTTGAAAGTGACACGCCAAAAACTTTGTGTATATTCTGTCTCACTATTTCCGCCCCGAACGACGATTTTTGCAAAACACGATAGAGAATGTGAGCGTAGTTCGCATCGTACACAAATATGCTCGCGCCAGGTGATAAGAATTTCAGTATGAAATCTTTGTATATGATCATAGACTCAGAGTGTTCAGTAGGAAGTGAGTTTGGTTATAACACAAATTATGATAAATCATTATTCCTACTGAGTGTCGGTCCCGATAGATCATATCATTAAAGTATATCCGAAAAAGCAAAAACTGTTTTTTCTCCAATCAAATACTAAAGTCGTCAAACTTCGCATACAGATCCACAATCATGTCTGATTTACACGATGATTTATCAGTCAGTATATTAACATTCGTTCTTCAAGTAGAATCGTGGCTATTAGTTCAAATTTTGATTCGATAGTTTCGTCGCATGATGTAGAATCAGTCTGCATAACCCCTAGATACCACAAGCGCGGATCACACACCTGCACTACTAAAAGATACACAGTGGTGTTGAATCAACACGAAAGTTGTTCTTACAACAGCGCATCTGCCAACTTAGTGTTGAGCGGCAGCTAAACCAAGTTCGGCCGCGTACATCAAAGACCCTGCAGGTTATACCAAGCGGGGCAAGCCTCCTTCGCCCCCCATCCCTGCCGTTCTACCAATAAACTTTCGATAACCATAACGACTTGCTCAACCTAAAAACCACGACACGACTCCGCCCAAAACACCGCACGACTGATATTTCGCAATGTCGATCCGAACATTTACAAACCCTCCACTCCACCCCCCTTTCTCTTGCATATCCGCAAGCTTCCGTGTTGGCCCCCACCCCGCTTCTTTGTTCTATGTGTAACTACAAGACATCTGAAACACGACACCCCGGTAGACTGCGAGAACCCGCCCCCCTCCGCTCCCCTAGTCATGTTCGAAGGGCGGCTGCGGCAGCAAAAAAAAAGAAACGACCCAAGGCAGCAAAGCAAAAGAACACACAAAAAGAAAAGAAGAAGAAAAAACGGTGCACAACAAACGGTGTAACAAAAACGTGAATTCTGATTTCTACTCTATGACATAGATTTTGGTCTGCGTGAAACGTCGTACCCCATTATTTCCCCATCGTCATTCGTCCGTCACATCTGCCTCAACACTTCTCAGCTCTCTCAAATCTCCCCCAATTTGCCACCCGTCAGTGCAGTGCGGTGCAACGAAAGAAGCGGGGGGGGGGGCCAACCCACCTACCTGACTACTTACCGATGTCAAAGACACGGCCTGGCGAGCCATGCTCACGCATGAATTTGCGCAGGGCCTCGAGCGTCGCAGTGTACCCATCGATCTGATGCTTAAGCCACAGAGAGTGGTACTTGGCTGGAATGGCGAGTTCTAGGTCGCGCAACGCATGTTCCATGGATAAGAGAAGTGTGCCTGCTTGCTGCATGATGAGATGGTAGTTGGTGGTGGCGATGGAGGGTTGAGAGTGCTCGGTGAGGAAGGTGGTGATTAGGTCTTGCAGGCCGAGACAGCAGCGCAGTGCGCGGCGTGGAAGCTTGGAGGCGGCGGTGGATTGCTTAGCGGAAGAGCTGGAGTTGCAGCCCGAAGGAGCGAGGCCCGCTTTGCCTTGGGAGCATTGCTCAGCGACTGCGTTGCTTGACTCGTTGGTGAGCGGCTTGCTCACCGCGGGAGGTTGGCATGGATCCGAGCATGGGACGTTACCGTGAGGAGGCTGGCTGACAGCTGACTTGGCGTAGTCCATGTTGGTGGTCTGATGTTATTTTGACTTGTCCTGTGATTCTTGTCGCGTGAGTGTGATGTTGTTTTGTGAGTTGCGGTTGTGGATATCGATGTTTGATTTAAAAAAAGGGTAACTAGGAGGCCAGATTTTAATATTCTGATGCACAACGAACTCTGTGTAGTCAGTCAGTGCAGTGTTGAGGTCACAATGGTGAAAAAGATCTGTTGACGTGAGCATCTGGGACAGATCAATGACACAGTGCAAGTAACGATGCAGGGGATCCTCTACGCTCATCGTGAAAAATCATCCAATTGATCGTGTATTGTATAGACACAACGATCAAAAAGTCACTTATTTAAATTCAGTTTTGTCCTAAAGTGTTCCTTATCACACAGACAAGCAGTACGATTTAAACTACAACTACTACAACTACTGCAGATCGAAAGACAATCGAAAACAAACACAATGGATTCTTCAAAAGAGGAACTTTTCCTCATGTGTGAAGAAGCTCGCAAAGAATGCGAAGATTTCATGGAAACCTGTAAGATTGAAGATATGGGGCGCGGTTTCTGGGCCCCGTTTTGGCGATCTGCATCGCAGATGTCCTTGTCTCTCACGAAATCATTTCTCTCAGTCGAAATGGAAAGGAGTCAGCCGGAATGGTGGAATCACGAGGTAATTCAGCGTCATCTAGAGACCATCCACCGGGTTAGGAAGTATGAGCGAAAGCTTCGATACTTGGTTCACGACAAGGAGATCTTCCCCCTTCCCCGCGAAGATATCCGTGCAGCCGAGCCCCTTGAGCTGGAGGTCGCGGTGCTGGGCGAGACGAAGCATAGTGTTGTAGCAGCCCGAGTTATGTTCTTGTTGCGGGCGAGGAAGGAAGGACGAAGCACATTTCCGAGCGACGGTGGTCTACGGTACGGAGGTCTTGACTTTTCCGCCTTTACCGTGAAGTGAAGTTTGCCGCGGTGGTACCAATTTCTTTGCTCGAATTATACAAAGGAACCCTGGTTGCCTGATTGGCAGGCAGTTGTGGGGCTGGTGGGCTGGGTCACATACCATGAGCGTTTTCTTTTACAAACGATCCGCGGAAGCTGTGTTGAAGCCGGCAAGATTGCTGCAGACGATAGGGTGGTGCTCTTCCAGACATCTATAGCCTACGACATGATAGGCCCAGATTGCAAAGACTGTCCCGTCTGCCAGGAGGAAGTGGCCAAGACACCAGCGGAAGGGGGGGAGGTCCCAATCAAGTTACACTGCGGCCACATGATAGGAAGGGACTGTCTGCAAACTTGGTTGAAGTCATGGCACATCGATAGGGAAAAGGAGAATCCGACATGCCCTTTGTGTCGAGCGCAGTTGCCGTTGCTCTACAAAGACATTGAGTCGATGCCGTGGGACAAGCAATTGGAATTGCTGCCAAGCCAAGTGCAGTTAATCGCCCGGGAGTGGGTGGCGTATGCACGCAGCGATGAGGCGCTGGACAGGGAAGTCGATGCCTTCCTACTGGCGGCACGGGAGGAGCAAATTGATGGGTGTTACGGAGTTGAGTTGGGGCACATGCTGGCAAAGCTGGAGACACGGCGGTTGGCCTTCGTCCAGTACCAGAAGACGCTGCAGGCGGTCCTTGAAGGTATGCAGGCTGGCTAAGCGGTGCTCGTGATGGCGCTGGGTTGGCAAGTGTTATTTGACCCCGTGGTTTTCCAATACAGGATATATTGCAAACAGTTATATCGTGTTTTATACGTAGAATGTAAGATTTCTTTATACTTTGGTACCTTGGAGTGAAATGGATAGTACTAATGTGAAAAAGAGATATAAAACAGCGCTAAAGGTAAATTACCACATTAGCGTGGGCGCTAGAGCCACTTGCGAAACCACAGGGCCGACTACCGCAAATAAACGAAGTCAAAGAACTTTTGCCCCCTGGGATGGACGAAGGGGCGGGCTTGGCAGGGCGCCAGAGGCAGAGTGGAGGATGGGAGATTATAGATTGAGGCAAAGTGCCAAGGTGACTGAGAGTCGGACGGTGAAACAAGATCCCTAGCGGTGCTTTGGCGGCCTTGGGTCTTGTTTTGTTTTTGCGAGGCTTGGCCATCGCTTAAAACGGCTTGGGCAATGGTTGGCATTCCTGCCTTCATTAAACATAGAGACTAGAACATTGCAAACATTCCTCCCGAGTGGATCCTATGACAGCGCCGTGTGGGGGGGGACGTGATGGGAATAGATGAAGTCCATGTCTTGGGTCACCACTCCCAGCGTCGTCATGGACAAGACACCGAGTATAAGTATGGCCCAGTTCGCCTTGCTGTAGAAACCATCGCAGTCCACGACTTTCGATTCTCACTCATTCATTCGCTTCTTGCAATCTTCTCTTCTTTTGAACATATATTCAACTTACTCTTTACTCCTCCAACATGAAGGCTGGTGCTCTCCTCGCTCTGCTTGCGGCGCCCATGGCGGCCAATGCCCACTACATCTTCAACATTCTCGTCGTCAACGGCCAGACCATTGGTGGCGAGTACGCCTACGCTCGTAAGAACAGCAACGCGTACAACCCCGTCATCACCAACGACATTGTCAACTCCAACGACCTCCGCTGCAACAGGGGCGCTGTCGCTGGTAACACCGGTACCTACACCGTCAAGGCCGGTGACAAGATCGGCTTCAAGATCTTCAACAACGAGAGGATCGAGCACCCTGGTCCTGGATTCGTCTACATCTCCAAGGCTCCCGGAAAGGTCAAGGACTACGATGGCAGCGGCGTCTGGACCAAGGTCATGGAGAGCGGTCTTGCCAACCCCAGCGCCCCTGGTGTTGACAAGAGCTGGGCCAACTGGGACAAGGATAGGCTCGAGTGGACCATCCAGAAGAGCATTCCTGCTGGTGAATACCTTGTCCGTGTCGAGCACATTGGTCTTCACGAGGGTCACGTGTAAGTAATCTCCTCCAATGGCATTCACGACATCAACTAACTCTTCTCTAGTGGCAAGGCCCAGTTCTACATGGAGTGCTTCCAGCTGAACATCCAGTCCTCTGGCACTGGAACTCTCGGCCCCACTGTCAAGATCCCCGGTCTCTACAGCGCCAACGATGCCGGTATCAAGTTCAACAAGTGGAACAACCCCAAGTCTTACCCCATGCCCGGCCCCAAGCTCTACGCCGGCCAGTAAGCGATTCGCATTGCCAGCCAGTCGTCAAGCAAACGAGCAGGCATTCATGCCAGCTGCCCAGTCAGCACACAGTCGAGGAGGAAAGGGTGTTTTTGTTCATATTCGCCCCAGTGGCGCTTCATTTCTCTCTTAGTCCGCATTCCATAGCTATGATCAATGTGACTATGCGTTGCTTTCCGAACTCACTGCTTTCGAACATTGTGATGCTTCTCAGATCCATTTCCGTACTAGCGGGCCGGATTTTATTATGCTCCCCCATCGATCATCACGTGATCGGTTCCCCTCCACCCAACAGAACCATGATTAAGATTCTGATAGTCGAGAAAAAGCATGCATGCATGTATGGATATAGCCACGGTCGAGCCACTAGGGGTTCACGGACGGGTTCGGTTCTTGTATGTAGCTCATCACAGCCCTATCGAATGCAAGCCACCAGCCACGCCTGACTAGGTTACTGCATAGAGAGAGATTCACCTTGTTCCTGTATTTGTTATCCAAGCCAAGTTTCTCGAACTGCAATGCCGGGCTCCTCTACCTACTGCTGCTCTCAAGATGATGCTGGCACCCAGGATTGTGCTTATGATCTTCCCGCGGGGCCCATCATGCCCGATGACAGAAGTGGCCCAGGTGCCCCAAAGGGATTTTGCTGCGTACCGCCCTGAACAGCGTGGTAGCGACCAAAAAGAGCGCATGACAGCAAATCTTGCACAATCACGGCTAAGCGCCATGGGTTGATGGCGGAGCGGCTTGGTTAGCGCATCGACGCTCAGCCGCATCGACAATCCGCCTCAAGAGGTCCGCAAGATGATCTGGTTCCCGTTGTGTTTTTTTTTTTCACAACACGGCGTGTGCGCGGCGCATCGTGGGAACGAAGGCGGGAGAGGGCGGATCCCAGTGTGCTGCAACGCTGCCCTGCATTGCTCCATGCATGGCGCGGTATGTCCTTGGATGTGTACATAAGTGGTTGGAGGTGCAGCTGGCTAGGGGGATGGAGGTGAGGGCTGGCTGACGTGTTGGCGATGGGTGGGGCGGGGCGCTTGTGGCAGGCGCGCTAGTGGGCAGGCGATGCTGTTGCTGGGGAAGCGGCGACTTGAGTCGGTAAACACCAAGCCAAGGCGAGACGTCAGTCGCATGGGCCCTGCTTAGTTAGCTCTGCTCTACTCTGCTCTGCTCTGCTATACCGCTGCCCGCTATCATTCGGGGTCTGGCGACCTTCTCCGTACTGCTCTCCGTCCTCTGTTATTGTTCCCGCCGATTGTTGTCTGTCGCGCCCTTTGCCTGGCCGACGCATCCTCTCGCTTGCAACCAGCGACGCATGTAATCCACCTTGTTACACATCCCAGCCGTTGCAGGTCAACCTCATACAACCACAACAACAAACCTAATCCTCGCCATGGCCGTCGGTCAGGCGCTGCCCACGCGCTTTCCCTGCTGGTGCAAAGCAGTTTACTCCTGGGGCGGAGAGGTAAGTTCGCTTCCAAAGCTGCCTCATGCTGCGGCACCTGACCTGACCGCTTTCTCTAGACCAAACGAGACCTGGGATTCATAGAAGGAGACCTGATCGAGGTCCTTAACGCAGGCGATGGCTCTTGGTGGATGGGCCGTCTCAAGCGCGACAGGCGCATGGTCGGCTTGTTCCCATCCAACTTTGTCGAGCTGCTTAGTGAAGACTATCAGCCATGGGCGCGCAATGGCAGTGGTGGGAGCTTCTCGAGGCAAAGCAGTGTGCAGGAACAGCCCAAGCCTGTGCCACAGAAGCAAAAGAGCATGTTCAGGAAACCCTTCACTGCCTATGCTGCTGCAGGCGCCCCGAACCCTGCCGCTGCCGCCCGCGAGAGGCTCCGTGCGGGTGGCATAAACTCCGCAAACGGCACTGTCAAGACAAAGTCGCCATATTCATCAATGAAGCGCATGTCTCAGGAGAGTAGTGAAAGCCCGCCGCCATCCGCCCCCTCGACAAGAGCACCCTCGAATCTGCGCGCCGTATCCCCACGACCACCTTCCAAGAGAACACCTGCAGCCCGAGCAGTCTCCCCAGCTCCGCCCTCGCGTCACGGCTCACGCATACGCGCGCATTCTCCCGCTCCACCATCACCTTACCAATATCAACAGCCTCGTGGCGTCTCACCCGCGCCTCCCGTTCAACATCAGCGCTACAGCAGAGCAGTGTCTCCTGCACCGCCGCCACAACAAGCCTATGACCCATACCGTGCCGCATCGCCCATTCCGCCAACTCAATATCAACAGCATCCGCGAGGAGTGTCACCCGTTCCACCGACCCAGTATCAGCAGCATCCGCGGGCAGTATCGCCCATACCGCCTACCCAGTATCAATATCAGCGAGGAGTGTCACCTGTCCCGCCAGCGCAGTATCAGCAGCATTCTCGAGCCGTGTCCCCGGCACCATCATACCAATACCGAGCCTATGACAGAGGTCCATCTCCGGCTCCCTCATTCCGACGACCCTCTCACACACCATCACCAGCTCCATCTTTTCAGTACCGCGCATACGACCGAGGTCCCTCACCATCGCCGTATCAACACCAACTCGACCACAGCCGTGGCCCCTCCCCTGCGCCGTACCAAGATGACCTCGAGGAGCCCATTGACTCTCCACCACCGCCCCCTCCGCCGCATCGCGTTACCTACAACCCTAGCCGATCGCCCTCTCCGGCTCCTCCATCGCATCTTGGTTATCACACGCCCGAACCGCCTTCGCCTGACCCGAGGTCACGTGGTGGTCACTTCACCCCTTCGCCACTTACGACAGCAATGAACGATGTTATGTCCTCTTTGCAAGATATGACCACGACACAAAGCAATGAATCTCCTGAGCAAGTCCCATCACCATCAAACCCATGGTCGCCAGAAGCCTTTGACCAAGTATACCAGGCATCCGCGCAGAAAGTTAGAGCACAGTCAGCAATGGATCCGGATGACGATGACGATGATGAAGCCCCGCCAGATGTCAATAATTACATGCAGCGCATGGAGAGTCGTTTACGCCGAATGCAGCAACAGGAGAAGAACAATGGCAATGACATGCTTATGGATGATGATCAAGGACCTACGGTACCGTTGAAGACGGCGAGTCAGAGACCGGGATCGTCCATGGGTGGCATCGAGCAAGAGGTGGAGCGGAAAGGATCTAGACTACTCAGAAATCGCAAGTCCGCTTATGACATTGGCCGTAACGCACTAGGCCGTACCTTTACGAGCAAAACGAATTCGACGACAACGACGGCAACAACTCTCACTAGTAACAGTACTAACCGCAGCTTGATGTCTGGACACTCTGCTACGAATATGAGTGCTACAAGTGCTGGCAGCTATTACCGCAAGAAATTTGGCAAAGATCGCCCGAAGAGCCTAATGAACATAAAAGACACCCCAGGCAAGGGTTATGGATTCGATGACGGCCGACCAGAGACGCCTTTTACTGGTGTGACATATCACTCAAGCCACGCCTCCCAATCGCGACCCAGTTCGAGCGATCAACAGCAAGCCGTTGTCAGCACGCCAGCAAGCGACGATCCTCATCCCCTTGGTGGTTTGCGGCAACCAAAGGCGAAGCGTAGCGGATTCTTTAGAAAGATGATCGACACTGCAAAGACACAGGCAGCCAACGCTCGAAGCACTATCGATACAATCAGTCGGCCTGCGTCTCGAGCAGCTAGTCGCGCTGCAGGCCGTTCTACCAGCCGCGCTGCAAGTCGCATGGATGGCCCAGAGCAAACCGGCATTGAAGGCGGCCCGACCACTCACTCAGCAAACACTTCGAGGGATATGGGTATTGGCACAGTGGATTGGGTGCAAGTGCGAAGGGACATCAACCGATCTAATTCACTCAGCAAAAACGAACGCGCGGAACGTGCTGAGAGATGCCAGATGATGGACTATCCCGTCTTAAACCCGATTGACATACTGAATGAGTCTGTCCAAGGCGACGAAGGCCTCGATGGGCTCCCCATTACAGAGCCAACAGATTTCTCCGCTTGCAGTCTCTCTCATGTAGACAAAAGCGCACGCTTCATCAACAGCATTCCTCTGGGAACAAATCCTGCCACGTTGGCACAGGGCTACATCTGCCGCCCGTATAGGAGCGATATTCAACGGCTCCGCGCCATCTTCACTTGGGTCAGCGAACGCATCTCGTGGGAAGAAGATTTTGAGGGCGAGATGGACCCGCGTCATGTGCTACAAAGTAAGCGTGGCTGCTCTGAAGAAATTGCTATGGTAGTTGCCGAGATGTGCGCTTCCGTAGGTATGCATGCAGAGGTAATACGTGGCTATCTGAAGACGCCCGGCGAGCCTCTAGATCTCGAGTCTGTCGCCCGACCGAACCATTTCTGGAATGCTGTGATCGTGGAAGGTGAATGGCGCGTAATGGACTGCGCACTTGCAGGGCCTACTCATCCAAAACGCATGCATTATTCTACAGCTGGGTCGTCTGTCGCTGAGACTTGGTACTTCCTGGCCCGTCCAATGGAGATTTGCTACTCGCATGTGCCACTTCTCCCAGAACAGCAACATATCTGTCCACCCCAGCCTCACGAGGTGCTCATGGCCTTGCCCTGCGCAACACCTACATACTTCCGACACGGCCTCAACGTAGTCAACTTTGACACCAGCGTGCTAAATTTGGACAACCTTGAAATGGCGCATATTTATATCGACGTACCTGAAGATGTGGAATGTGTGGCTGAGGTTGAGGCAAGATGCTACTCCCAGGATATGGATGGTGACTTGTTCGAGAGTGGAGACGTAGTCAAGAAGCCGGCCTTAGCACAGGCTGAATGGTATGGAGGACAGAAGCGATATACAGTCAAGGCACTCCTCCCAACCGATGGAGGCCAAGGTGTGCTGAAGATCTATGCTGGACCTCGGGGACTGATGGTAAGAAATCTCCCGACTCAGTAGCAGCATAAGTTGACTAACTCTCTGCAGCATTCAAACAAGCTCAATCCTCACAACTTGGCTATTGGCCTGCCTATAACGCATTCTGGCATGAATCCTCCGTATTCATTCCTAACTCTCCACCCGACACCACACGCCCAGAGACACGATCTTTATGTCGCTCAGCCACAGTGTGCCAGTTTAGCTCTGAACAATACCTTTGTTTTTTGCGTCCGTCAACATCCATCGTCTCTTACAAAGTCACCCGAGCCTAGCCCCGCCATGCACGGTCGATCTTCGCCTAACCCTTTTGCTCGCCCCACATCTGCTATGAGCATGCAGAGCATATCTGCGACGGGCTCCAATTATACCAATCCGTCTCAGGCTTCTTCAGGCTCAGCAAGTAGCAACAGCAATAAGCCGGCCAAGTTAGCGATACAGACACCCTCTGGAAAGATTATCCGTCTGACAAGAAAAATTGAGCATATGAGCGCCACGAGCGAGGCAGATGGCACGGCATGGGAGACGGTTATCAAGATTGGTGAGAAAGGAACGTGGCGAGGATTGGTTCTTGCAGATCGTAGTGCGAGGTGGTGTGTATTTGCTCAATGGGAGTGCGCTTAAAGCAATTTCTCTTTTGGCGCACAAAAAGCTCGTGGTTTAGTTGCTTCTTCCTCTTCTTTTTGCCTTATTTGAGACCACTATTTGATGACTTGTAATGATGTAGCGTTTAGTGTTCAGCATACTAGCGACGGCTGCGATAGATGTTTCGCATGATTATGGCGTTTTGTAGGATATGGGAGGGTGTGACAATATGATTATGGAGTATTTGGTACCTTATGCGCAGCTTTGAATAACTGTGATTATCTGACTTTGAGTCATGCAAGTGACGTACGTTGAGCAGTCGTCTTATTGGTACGTAGTGACTCAAGTCACCGATAAGATAAGCGTCTGCCCCTCACTCTCTGTTTGATCCCCGCCACAACTTTTTCCAGGCCCGATCAACACTGAAAAGCTTCACAACGGGCCATGATGGACGCTGCTATTGCTGAATGGCAAACCCGCGCTGAGGCGCTCAAGCCATTGAACCTCAAGCAAATCGAGCCTCACCTGCTTGAGCTGGATGCGCACCTCACTCTGCGCTCCCACATTGTCGGTTACACGCTCAGTGATGCGGACACCACAGTGTGGAAGACGATCCGCGAGAACCGCGTGGCTCATGCCTTTGTTAAGCAAGACTTGATGAAGAGCCTGTGCCGCTGGTTTCGCTACATTGAAGAGGCGTACCCACAGAGTGTGGTTGTTGTTAGTGGAGGACAGGGCAAGGAGGGAACAAAGGGAAAGAAAGAGGGCGGCAAGAACGACGACGCCAACTACGACATCGGACTGCAAGACGTTGGAGATGGTACCGGCATTGTCACGAGATTTCCCCCTGAGCCTTCGTGAGTTTCCCTGCGTTGTCGGAGGCTGAGGTACCTGGAGCTAATAATTATGTTGCAGAGGTTATCTGCACATCGGCCACGCAAAGGCTGCGTTGCTGAACGACTACTTTGCGCACGAGAAGTACAAGGGCAAGCTGCTGCTACGATTCGACGACACCAACCCTACCAAGGAAAAGCAAGAGTTCCAGGATGCCATTGTTGAGGATTGTGCGCTTCTTGGCATCAAGCCAGACTCTGTCTCATATACCAGCGATTGGTTCGACCAGCTGTACGAGATGTGTGTGCAAGCAATCAAGGATGGACTGGCATACGCAGACGACACCGTTCAGGAGAAGATGCGTGATGAGCGTATGAACGGCATTGCCAGTGCGCGTCGTGACTCGAGCGTCGAGGACAACTTGGCGCGCTTCGAGGAGATGAAGAAAGGCAACGAAGAAGGCCTGAAATGGTGCATTCGCGCAAAGATGTCTGTTGATGATCCCAACAAGGCCATGCGTGACCCTGTCATCTACCGCTGCAACCCTCAGGCTCACCATCGTACCGGAGAGAAGTGGAAGATCTACCCTACCTACGACTTTTGCTGCCCCATTGTTGATGCGCTTGAAGGCGTTACCCACGCTCTACGCACCACCGAGTACAACGATCGTGACGCGCAGTACCAATGGTTTATCAAGAACCTCAAACTCCGAAAGGTGCACAACTGGGGGTTTGCCCGCCTCAACTTTGTCAAGACTGTGCTGTCCAAGCGCAAACTTACGAAGATTGTCGACGCCGGCATTGTTGGGGGCTGGGACGACCCGCGCATGCCCACTGTCCGTGGAGTCCGTCGCCGCGGCGCCGTCATCCCCGCTCTCCGCGAGTTCATCCTCAAGCAAGGACCATCCAAGAACATTGTCAATCAGGACTGGTTTGCCTTTTGGGCCACTAACAAGAAGCACATTGAGCCCACTGCGGCCCGTTACACCGCAATTGACGACGAGGGCCGTGTCCCGGTAACCATTATCGGTGCACGTGAGGGCATTACATCGGAAGATAAACCAAAACACGCAAAGTACGATCTGGGTACCAAGAAAATCGTCTTCAGCTCATCAGTCCTCCTCGAGCAAGCCGACGCACAATCCTTTGCTCAAGACGAAGAAATCACCCTTATGAACTGGGGCAACGCCATTGTCCGCAAAATCACCCACTCGCTCAACCCCGTCGACATCGCCAAAGCAGGTCTCACAAGCGAAGCCCGCACCGTCACCGGCCTTGAACTCGAACTCCACCTCCAAGGCGACGTGAAGAAGACATCGAAAAAAGTAACCTGGTTGAGCAAAGATCAGGATCTTGTCCCCATTGAACTCGTTGACTTCGACTACCTGATTACTAAGGATAAACTCGAGCCTGAGGATACGCTTGAGGATTTCCTCAACCCGAGCACCGAGACGCGCACAAAGGCGCTGGCGGATTGTAATGTTGCGGAGCTCAAGGTGGATGATATTGTGCAGTTTGATCGCAAGGGCTTCTTCAGGATTGATCGCGCGTTCAAGCATGGGGAGGCGGTTGTGGCGTTCCAGATTCCCACAGGTAAGAGTAAATAAGATGGTCATAGTGAAAGAAAAGCGTGGATATATAGATAGATGTAGGAAAGGTTTACCAAGAGAATCTATCCATGCGACCAAGAGTTTCAATCGAGCGAGATAAAGAAGGAAATATACGGATCAACAACGACTTGTGTGGAGTGATAATGCTTACCAAGGATACCAGAGGTGCACAAAGAGTGATTTATGGCAAGGAAATACACAGAATAAGTTGCTCGCTGTTATTGCCATCCGGGTATCTATTCATACACTACACCCCGTCTATGCTTTTGCTTCCTCGCCTCCATCAGAAACATGATGAGCAGTAGCTACTGAGACTGCACATGGGCACCGCACTGCGCTAGTCCAAGCTCCGGCGCTTCTTCCACCATCTAAGCGGTGTTGGAGCCAGCACCCTCCTTCCTACCCTGAGTCCCCTCCTTAGTAACCTCATCCGGCTTTCCTTTGGACATTTTCTTATTCCTCTCCTCCTCCCGCTTACGCTCAGTCTCCCTGACCAAATCAGGTGGACTATCCTCAATCAGATCCGATTCGCCGCTCAGCCCACTCCACTTGGGCAGGCCATCTGGGATATCCATTACGCGCTGACCGTAGAACATGTGGCAGCGGGGCTTGAAGTAGGCCTTGTCTTCGTCTGTCTTGAGGTGCACCAGTGAAGGGAACAGCAGGATCATGTTGCGACCCTCGTCCATGATGGGTGAGTGGCAGTACGAGCAGCGGACTTTGCATGGGAGCTTGTGCTCGACGGACTTCTCAGTGGGGTCGTACCATTCGAGGTTGTGGTGGCCGTGGGTGAAGTTGATGTCTGTCTTGTGGAAGATAGCGGCCCACTGAAAAGGTGCAGCTGCGGAATGTCAGTACTCGTGCTGGCGGTAGGTTCGTAGGCCAATGCTTACCGTGCTGAGTCTGGCATGTCGTGCAATGGCATAGCTTGCTGTCTAGAGGCTCTCTCCGGTTGAGCTGGTACTTGACCTTTCCGCAGTGGCAGTTGGCTTCGTACTTGACATCGAAATTGTCGTTCTTCTCGTGGATACGGTATGGGGGACGTTGCTTCCACTCCGACAATCCCGTCGTCTCCTCACCACGGCTCTGATCCTGAACCATTCTGAAAGAAGTCTGGGAGAATGAGGGTTGCTGTCGTGTGAGGTGCGAGACTAGTTGGCGTGCACGAGGTAGAGCGCTTGAGGTCGTGAGCAGTGGTGACCGACGAAATGCAATTGAGACTGCGGACATAAGTGAAGTGTGGAGAAGTGAAGAGAGTTTGTGTGTGCTTTTGATGGTTGTTCACCGTCATTATTGATGCTTTATTTGTTGCAATACGCGCATCTGACGTCACCATGACCGCCCACCGTGAACTACTACTACGCGACAACACGCGCTCTAGATTCGCTTCGTGTATCATTGCGGGTACCGATCGTCCAAAAGAAAGCGCCTTTTTGTCGCTCAAATGCGAAGCCCAGATTTCGCCTCTCAATGCAATGCTTTTTACGCTGCCCCATTCGTTAAAACGTCATTAGTGTCCCGCTATACCCCCCCATTTCATCACGATCGATCTTGCATCCTAGTCTGTTGTGAGCCGTAGCTCGCTCCCTGGCATCTCGGGTAACCATATGCCTGCTAAGTCATGACTGCATCACCCGTTTACAGGTACACAAGTCACTGTTCCGTGAGGCTGGTTGAAAGCCACGCTACGGTCCGGGTGCACGGAAACGGGTAGCTCAAAGCTTACACCGCGATTGTTTGCCATGTGTCGCGTGCGTTCATGTTCCTTTAAGTAGCTTTTGCGCCTCTCTACTAGATAAACCGAAAACGTTGATCAGATAGTCCAACCTAGAATTATGTCAGCATTCCTTCAAAACCAATCAGGACTTCTACTACTTACTTGATATCTCCTGCTATCCGCCGTCGCACTGCTTCGAACTCCACCTCGGCCTTGTCTCTTGTGGCGTCTTGTTTCTTCGAATTGATCGTCTTTACACGAAGTTTGAATTTTCCACTGACAGGCCGGTGATCTGAGACTTTAATGGAGTCATGCCGCCGGTATTCCAACTGTTTGATTCTACCAAGACCACGATACAGAAGACGGTCACACCATGCTGGCGACCGCTGCTTCTCAGAAGTGTCGTAATTGTCTGTGCCTGGATCGTACTTGTAGGTCGGAGCAAAGTTGATAGGCGACTCGGTGAACGCACGGAGACGGAAACCAGGGTTGCGTTTCCGTGACAGAAGCAACTGATCACGTTCGAGAAGCTTGGCCAGGTTTCCTTGCTGGACTGCGGCAACAACCGAGCTACGAGGCATGGCATCAATGCGGTAGTTGAGATCGCCATTGAGGATACAAATCTCATGATCTAAGATCATGGAACCGTCACCTCCTCCGACGAAGAAGTTTGCGCAGGAGGTTGGTGATCGATTCTTTGGCAGAGGAGCACTCTCCATGATGGCAGCCGCGTCATTGTTGCGATGTACCGTCTGTGTCTGGCCAGCCGCTAGATGGCAGTTGATGAAACACAACGAAGAATCGTCAATGAAGAAGCGCACAACAAGAGCGCCTTTGTTTCCCACGCGGCCACTGAATCCAAGTTTGATCTCTGCCGCACACACGTCGCGAATGTTGGCCCGCTCCGACTCCTTGATAAAGACGCAAGTGAAAAGGCCGACAAGATTTGCAGTATGCAACAACACATAGTTTTGCTGAGGGACTTGCTCATCCAAGACACGCACAAGGTGATCTCGCCATGCACGGTACTGGTGAGACATGTGCTCATGCTCGGACGTCTCCTTGTGTTTCTTTCTCTTGAATATGCTCTTAGCGGTTATCTTTTTGTCTTCAAGGTCTACCAGCTCTTGGAAACCAAACACTAGAATGTCCGGCGGGTTCGCAGGCTCTAGCAATTCCCGGAAAAAGTTTCTATCTTCTTCTGAGCCACGGATCGTTGTGGGCTTGGTTGCACCAGCATTCCAGGTCATGACTCGCGCTGAGAGTTCTCGGAATTCGCAATACTCGGAATCGCGCTGTTGCATCAGAGTTTCTACGCTGCGTTAGTTTTTTGCATGAACATCAATCGATAATGTGTAAGCTTACCAAGCCAGTCTTCTTTCATCATACCATCCCAAATGCGCAGCATGGAATCGGTCCCTAGCGATGCTACTTGGAATCTATCGAGTTTCCAAATGCTAGTACGGTCTGCCAATATTCCGGCTATTGGCTTGTCGTGGGCCTTCCAGTCCTTCAAGACCTTCCAGGGATTGGATTTCGTGTCATACACGTAGATCATGCCAGTGCTGTAGCCAGCCCACAGGAAATCGCCGACACCGACTAATGAGCTGATCTTGTACACACTAACATTAACGATTCCAAGGCATTCGAGAGTCTTTTTGGCATATATTGTGACCTTGCCATCAGCATGGCCAAAGTAGATGCGATCGGGCTGACTGCTAATGATGGCGCCAGAAGTCACATCGCCGACATTGAGTTGCGAGAGCGGCCCTTCTGTCAGTTGAACAAAATGGTTACTATCCATGGTGCGTGAGTAGACCCGAATGTCTTTGGCTGAGGCTATCCAGAGCTCCGATCCAGATACGATTGAGAAGGTGTTGCCTCGAGGAATGCGGAATGTATGTGGAGTTTGTTGCAAAGACGGGCATCCCAGCTCGTCAGCCGGCCAGATGTGAATTGCACCGTCTTCATCCATGGACCACATTTCTGAGGCATATCGGAAGATTTTTACAATGACGCTCCTCGCATGCGCATTGGCCTTGGTATACACGACACTTTGTGTGGGGATATCAATCTCAAGCATCTCGCCAGTGTTTGTTCCCAGCCATAGTCTCTTTCCCTCATCCTCGACATCTTTTGCTGGTCTGAATGCAACCGCTGTAGCTTTGACTGTATCGCCATGTGACAAGCTCATGAGCAACCGTCCGGTCAGAATATTCCACACATTCGTCACGTATCCTGTGGTGCATATGTAGTCGCCACAGATGGCAAAGAGTTTAGTTTCGTAGCCGGTAGGAATTCCGGTTGTCCCGTCAGGAAACACTGGCGGTCTACGGTTTGCTTGAGAAGAGTCTGGGTATTCTGTTAGAGCAGTGGCTGGCTGTTTGTCTCCGTCCGTGTCATCCTCGTCGGAGTCGTAATAGCGCGGTTGTGATAGCTGCGAGGCTGGCATTGGCGTTGCCTGAGAAGGTCGTCTCATTTCCCCAGAGTTCCGTGGGGGCGGCGGTCTTGGAGGCTCTAAAGGCTTTGCAGGGTTCTTGAACAAGTGGCCGGTTGTGTTTGTTCGCCGCGGAGGCATTCTGAAATGGCTATCCGTATCTTGTCCTATCTGAGTGGGGCGGGATTGGTCAAGAGAGCGGCGCACCGGCAACTCTGGCGGAACAGCTCTTTGAATTTGCACGCTCTTGCGCAAATCAAAATTGTCCTTTTCTCTCCGTATGGGTAGTGTGGGGCGGTCATCTGGTATTTCACTTGGCAATGGTGGTGGTGCAGCCTTCTTCATGGGTTGCTTTCCTGTTGGGCGAGACTCAAGGGAAGATAGCTTTTCGGCCACGGCAGGGTGTACCGGAGGAGGTGGAAAGTATCCGTTGTTTGTCGAATTCGTCTTGGGCTTGGGGAAGCCCGAGTTGACATACGGTGACTCGCCTTTGGCGCTCTCCCCGCTGCTACTAGGTGGTGTGCTGAAGGGAGACAGGTCAACGGCATCTGGTGTGGCTTCTGGCACCAGATTTGCGCGCGCCGCCGTATCCACCGAATGCGACTTTGGGGCTATCTTGGGTTTCCCAGCCCGATTCACAGGCGGAGGCACTGGAGGCGCAGACGCTGTCGGGCGGTCGCTCTTTTGTGGACCGTTAGTGCGGCTTGAGCCGTTGGAAGAGTCCAGAGCGGCATGAGGGGTCGGTCGCGCGGGCTGCGGCGCATAAATGTGCGATCCGGGTCCGAGTTTTGGGGAGGGTTTTGGAGACTGGACCAGAACTTTGGGCGGCGAATTGGTAGGTGATCTGGGTGGTGAAGGGGAGAAAGCCATCATGGATGTGGGTCGTGGCTTCCCACTGCTGTTCCAGGGCATGCGCCCAAGTGTATTGGACCGCGGCGTCACAGAGCCGGAGCCGCTGTAGTCGGCCACGCTGAGGGAGCTGTGGGAAACATGCTCCCTGGGTATGTCGAGGGATATGCGCCCATCTGACCTTCGGTTGTCGTCGGGCGCAGGAAGGCGATCAGTAGCACCGGGGGAGCGCTGACGGGCGGCAGGTAGCGAAGATGTCGACTTGTTACTACTCAGTAGGTTCTCGAATTGGGCGCGCAAAGAGGAAACAGGCTTCTGTGGTCAGGGTGAGTGGATGGATTCTTTCTCCTGTAACATGTTGTGTGTATGTGCGAGCAGACTTACAATGGACGAGCCGTCCATGTTCTCTTCTGGTGGGTTGTCCATGGCGGGATGGTGTGTGCTTTGTTGGGCGAGTTGGTGGTGGTGGGGGGAGAGACTTTGTCGTCAGCCGGCACCAGAGGGAATCCTATAGATGTTCATTGACGACCGAGGACGGCTTCCCATTTGGCGGTGGTGGGCAGCATGCAGCGACAGGAAGTTAGTTGTCTGGCGTGTTTATGTCGAGGCCCAAAGGCCAGGCAGGCTGTCCGTAGGGCTCCCTAGTGGAGACGCGTACACTGTCCTTCGGCGACAAGGAACAACACGGGCGCCGGCCGGGGGGTGTGAGATTGTTTCAGCAACAAACGGCGCAGTCATCTGGCGAGCTGGCGGGTGCTGGCCATGTTGTTGGGGCAGGGCAGGACAGGGCTGGCGACTCAGGGCGGTGTCGGTGTGGACGTCGTTGTGCGTGTGCGTGTCTGTGGCCTCGTCATGGCATGGGCGGCCATGCTCCACCATGGCAATGGCACTACCCAGGAACCGCCAGCGCCCTGCCCCGGAACCCTGCACCGCACATGCACACCACCGCCCCGGCCAGGCGATCATCAGGCACCGGGCGAATGACTGACGACCCTCGCACACGCCAGACTAGCACAGCCTGCACCCAACCTCTACACACGTCCATACTTCACACGACTACGGTACATTGACACTTGCTGGCCCTCGCCCCGAGCCCGCCATGTGGTAACGAGCCCCTCTCTCCTCCTCCTCCTCCTCCTCCTCCGCCGCCACCTCCGCCGCCAGCCCGCTGACGCCCATGGTCCATGTAGCAAACACGTCCTCAACGCCCAGGTCTCCATCCGCTCCCCCTGCTGTATGTTAAATACGCCACCACGACGATCACCGACGACGACGACGTGTCTTTGCTGACCACGAGTGACCAGGCAAAAAATGGTTCGACTGCGCACAGTGCCACGAGGAGCAGTCCAACCACCCGCTCATGCAGACCTTTGACATGACCTTCATCTGCAAAAAGTGCAAAAAGGCCTTTCGCAAAGATGCGCGCGAGTTCGAAGATGCGTGAGTGCACCGGAGCATGCCTCCGTCTGGGCACATGGGCTGACGAGGCGTAGCGATGAATACTGCCCGCACTGCGACAACCATTTTGTCCTCGAGGCCAAGACCCCCAAGGCCTCACTGCAGGTAGAAGGCGAAGACGTGCGCAAGGACTCGAGGCATGTCCCCACCCCTCCCGCTGACCCATGGCCCCCTTATCTAACCCGCTGTCCAGGATGCTGAAGGACGACCGTGTCCGGAGCGAGCAGCTCCCAAGCATCTTCGACGTCAAAGAGGCTTCCTACAAGCTAGGCTGAGCACACCCACTCCGCTACAAACACCACCACAGCAAACACACAAACTGCAACCCGCGCCACGATCACTACGCCACAAACACCATCACGCACCGAGCGGGGGACTGGGCAAACAGAAATGCATCGTCACATGCTATATATATGCTCTTCGTGGGCAATAGCTCATCATCATCTGTACTAGACAGGTTCATCAGGTCTAACCTTCTACCACATCAATGTCATTCATGCCTTTTTCGCCATCACTCATTGTCCGTGTCTCTCTACGCTCCGCCAGCTCCGGAGCCCTCGCCGGGAGCCTGGCGGGTCAGAATGGCTGCCTGTCCTGTGCCGGGTTGCCTTCCAGGCCTCCTGTTTGCCGCCTCCTCCTGCTTCTCCGTGTTGATGTTGTCAACATACTTCTCAATGTCCTCTACCGGCAACATCTCAATCGGCTTGCCAGGCGCCATGATGGCAATCTCAATGTTCTTTGCGCCCGTCTGCACAACCTCCAACAATGACTTGACTGTGAGCTTGATTGTCTCCTCCCTGTCCATGCCTTCCTTGTGGTTGCGTTCGAGAAACTCGCGGACCGTCTTACTTGATCGACCAATCGCATTTGCTTTCCTGTTACTGCATTAGCGCAATCAAATATCTAAGTCAGACCAATGAACGTACCATGCTGAGTAGATACCAGAGGGCTCCGTCTGGTACAGGCGCGGGGTCTTGTCGTTGGGGTCGAAGCCGACTATAAGCGTGCTGATACCGAATGGACGGACACCACCACTCTGTGTGTACCTCTGCTGCACACCTGCAACGTACTTTGTAATGTACTCTATTGATACAGGGTCTTCGACGGTGAGGCGATGTGATTGTGCTTCCAGGCGGGCCTTGTCGACCAAGATGCGGGCATCGGCGTTGAGTCCAGCGAAAGCGAGAGCGACGTGGGTATCGACAAGGCAGATCTTCGAGGGAGTAATCCGGGTATCTTGCAGCTTCATTGCTGATCGCTTCTCACATCCAAGTACCACTATGTCTGAGCCTTTGACACCAACAGCGCATGTTCCTGGGGCAAATCAGTCTTTGCCTCTGCAACTCCTTTTGCCGCCACTGCTCACCTCGCTTGACAGCCTCCAACGCATATTCGACCTGGAAGACGTGACCGTCAGGACTGAAGACTGGCACTGTTAGCTAAACCATCAAACTACAAGCGGCATATGCTCGTACCGGAGAGAGCTCGATCGTAACCGGACGCCATTGTGGAGTAATTTGTATGCTGTGGTTTGGGCTTCTTATTCTATCTCTGGAATTCGACGGAGAGACTCAGCAGCGGGAAGGCGGGGCAGAAAGTTGTTACAGGCGACAAGCTGCTCGCGGGAGCTCCAGAGCTGGCCGCGTCGATGCTCCCGCCTAAACGACGCCAAGGATTGCGGCACGTGCACTCGGCTTCCTCTTATGTCATCCTTGTTTGCTATCACCGAAGGCGACATAGGAATAATTCGCTTTTTCTTCATCACTAATTGCCATGGCTTCTTCGGCGCGCTTGGTATCGTCGACGCTGCGGCGAACTGCACTCTCTTCGCGTGCATCATCGCGCTACCAATGTTTGCGACTGTCAAGTCAAATTCGTTGGACCGGTACCTCGTCAGCGACTTCGGAGCCTCACCAACCTGACGAGCACGGTGGCGTCAAGGGCCCAACTGCGCCCTCAAAAGCAATCAAATATACCTCGGAGTCGTAAGCCTTCACCTTTGCGCAAGCTTTCAAACTTCGCTAAGCCGGTCAGGTACCCCCATCTCCAACGTGACTCAAAATTCACCAAGTTGAATGAAGAGCATGTGAATTATTTCAAAACTCTGCTGGGCTCAGAGTCGGCTGTCATCGATGGTGTTTCAAAAGATGCATCGCAGGATATCGAGCCCTTCAACAGTGACTGGATGCGCAAGTTCCGCGGCCACACCAAACTAGTTCTAAAGCCCAGCTCTACTGAAGAAGTCAGCAAGATCCTCAAATACTGCAATGACAATATGCTGGCCGTAGTTCCACAGGGTGGTAATACTGGCCTTGTCGGCGGATCCGTGCCGGTTTTCGATGAGATTGTTATCAACATGCAAAAGATGAACCAAATTAGATCCTTCGATGAAGTGTCTGGTATCCTAGTCGCTGATGCTGGTGTCATTTTGGAAAATGCCGACAACTTTCTCGCCGAGAAGAACCACATCTTTCCACTAGACCTCGGTGCCAAAGGATCATGCTACATCGGTGGCAATGTTGCAACCAATGCTGGTGGTCTCCGTTTGTTGCGTTATGGTAGCTTCCACGGAAACGTGCTAGGTCTCGAGGCTGTACTTTCAGACGGCACTATTGTCGATGATCTTTCCACGCTTCGTAAGAACAACACTGGATATGATCTGAAGCAGCTTTTCATTGGTGGAGAGGGTACGATTGGCATTATCACAAAGGTTTCAATCATCTGTCCTCGAAGGTCGCCTGCGGTCAACGTCGCATACTTTGGCCTCGAAAGCTACGAGAAGGTCCAGAAAGCATATATTGAGGCTAAAGGGCACCTTTCTGAGATCCTGTCAGCTTTCGAGCTAATGGACGGACGGACACAAAAGCTGGTAAACAGGGTGACTGGCAAGAAGATGCCACTTGAAGGCGAACATCCTTTCTACTGCTTGATTGAGACCAGCGGCTCCAACTCAGACCACGACAGTGAGGTGAGGCATTCTACTTTCCTTCAGATATACAGTCGCCGCTAACCCCTTGAAGAAATTGCAATCTTTCTTAGAGCACGTCATGGAGACTGAGGTCGTCTCGGACGGTGTTCTCGCTCAAGATCAAACCCAAATTCAGGAACTATGGTCATGGCGTGAAGGCATTACCGAGTGTCTTGGCCATGATGGTGGTGTCTACAAGTACGACTTATCGATACCTATTGCAGAGCTCTACGACCTGGTCAATGAGACGCGTGACCGCTTGACCGAGGCTGGCCTTCTCGGTAGTGATCCTACGTATCCAGTTGTTGATGTTGTAGGATACGGCCATATGGGCGATGCCAACCTGCATCTGAACATTCCAGTAAGGAAGTTTGACAAGACTGTGGAGAAGAAGCTTGAGCCTTTTGTATACGAGTGGGTACAAAAGCGAAATGGCAGCATTAGTGCCGAGCATGGTTTGGGTGTGACCAAGAAGCCGTACATTGGCTACAGTAAGAGTGAGACTATGATCAAGTTGATGAAGCAGATCAAAGATCTCTATGATCCTGTAAGTGGTACTCGCATGGATCCCCTTTGACGTCGGGCTAACATTGAATCAGAACGGTATCATGAATCCGTACAAGTATATATAAAAGTCGCTACGAAAACAATCTATTGTCTTCGGCTCTCATAGCCGTTCAAACCTCATTCTTGCATGGTTACCCTCTTCTAGTAGCTTCATCGCGTTACCTTCATATATCGCGTCTCTTTGCTCTTCACTGAAGAGATTCTCCAGACCATCCTTCATCCGATCTGCAAATGACTTGACGAACTGCGTTTGCGTAAAGGGAAAGTCACTCCCATACAGCAATTTCTCGTGTGAAATGTTGAATCCCTCAACGAACGCTTTCAGCTGTCCGTTCCCACCACTTTCTCCGTCAAAGACGAAGCCAGCTAGATCAAAATAGAACTGGGTTTCTAGTTGTCGTCGTACTGTTGAAGCGTTCAACACCCTCCCACCAGGCACCACACTGGAGAACTGAATGAAGCGTGTCATCAGCGGTGGCAAGGCACCTCCAGAATGCGGAATGACAAACTTGATATTCGGGCAGCGATCCACGGTTCCTGTACTGAAGAGGTTGATGACAGCGCGCGCAGTATCGAAGAAGAATTCAAAAATGGGAACAGGGTACTGGTCTCCAAAGGGCAGCGCGTCAGTAGTCTGCGCAGACGATGTCGCATTGCCATGCTTTATGCACGGTTGTGTAGGGTGAATAAAAACAGTTGCACCGACTTGGTTGAGTTTGTCGAAGACGCGATCAAATATCTTTTCACCCACATAGTTCCCATGGTAGTTGGTCATTAGCCCGAAACCCTCTGCTCCTTCGCTGATGCACGTTTCAATCTCTACTAACGCAGCTTCGAGGTCTGGTAACGGTAGCGCGGCCCAAACGCCAAATTTGTCAGGATGCTGCTTCTTAAGCTGTGCAGCATAGTGGTTAGATTGGCGCGTTAGATCCCGACCCAATGCATCTTTGCCGGGTACAATGTGCGTTCCGGGTGAGGATATGGAAAGGATAGATCTCGATACGTTGGCCGTGGCCATCATCTCAAGATGGCGCTCAAGAGACCATTCTGGGATGGCGGGCATGCCGTCGGGGTTCGAGTGCCCATTCTCAGCTAGTGCAGTGCGATAAAAGGGCGGAAGAAAATGAGAATGTACATCGATTCGTCTGGGTAGCGGGTGGGACATGTTGGCGGTATACTGCGGGGCTACAGTCGTGATGGTGTAGGCCAATAAGAATGTTTGGACAAGGCGTATAGAGAACATGGTGCTGATGCTTCAACACCGCATTCTTGTATGGATCATTATGTATGATTCGAGTCATGATTGTTTGCGCTTGTCAACAACGCCATAAGCAATATGCGACGCTCATTGCTTGGACACTTCACCGTCAAGTGGCATACTTTCTGGAATTCGGGACCCCACTCCGGTTATGGCACAAGGCGTACATGCACTGCTCCTTATGGAAACGGCTCGTACTCGGCTCATCAGCTGCAGACTGCAGGCAATAATGCAATGGCTCCGGACTAGGCTATGCTATGCGAATCTGCGGACAATTCATCGCGCAGGGGAATGCGACTCAAGAGGGCATGAATATGCCGATGGCGACCAAGGATCCTGACTGTCGATCCGATGCCCCACCTGCGGCTTCCAGATGCGCTTTCCCTCACTTTTTGTTCTTTCATCACTTGCAGCCATGACACCCCATCTTCCGCCACGCCACTTTGGATCTCACCCTTGGTTCCCTCTTCACCATGGAGAAGATTACGGATAAGATCAATGCGCTGCCCGATGGCGCCAACTACTTCTCTCTCGAGTTCTTCCCGCCCAAGACGGCAATGGTGAGTTGACCCCGCCGCACGCGACCACAGCCAACGGACGGATACCGGAATAGCAAAAACAGGCACTAATAGTGCCATATAGGGGTTTGCCAACCTTCAGACTCGACTAGAGCGCATGTCACAGGCCCTTCGTCCTCTCTTTGTTACTGTCACTTGGGGTGCTGGCGGGTCCACAGCCACGAAGTCGCTCGAACTGGCTGAGATCTGCCAGCGCCAATTGGGCCTCACAACATGTCTCCATTTGACCTGCACAAACATGAACCGTCAGCTTATCGACGAGGCGCTGGAACAGGCACAAGTGCTAGGTATAAGGAATATCCTGGCCCTGAGGGGTGACGCACCGCGTAGTGAAGAGTACAGAGATGAAGATACACCGCCTGAGCAGGACTCGAACAAGGACTTCACATGGGCCGTCGATCTTGTCACGTACATTCGGAAGCAATATGGCGATTACTTTTGCATTGGAGTTGCCGCGTATCCCGAAGGCCATTCAGACCAGAGCCACCCTGAGCACCAAGATCCAGTGGCGGATCTACCGTACCTTGTTGAGAAGACCAAGGCAGGCGCCGACTTCATCATGACCCAGTTGTTCTATGATGTTGAAGCCTACGACAAGTATGAGAAGATGCTAAGGGAGCACGAGAGTGGAGTGTTCAAGACAATACCCATAATTCCAGGATTGATGCCAATTCAATCGTATAAAATCTTGCTTCGAACAACCAAACTTTCGCATGCGAAGCTACCCACAGACATACTTGCACGATTGGACGCGGTGAAGAGCGACGACGAGTTGGTCAAGCAGGTCGGTGTTCAGATCATGGATGAGATAGTAGAGCACATCAAGGCGCGGCCGGACACATGTAGGAGGGGTTTCCATTTCTACACGCTCAATCTGGAGAAGGCAGTATCGCATATACTGGAAGATACAAAACTCATTCCTAGCACATTGATTGACGACGATGAGGTCATTGTCGAGACAACACCCGCCATCAACTTGGAGCCACCACCCAACGGCATCATGCCCCACCGACGTCGATCATCAGCTGTCAACTCTGGTCCGCGTAACAGAGTGATAGTATCACATGTTTCAGCTGCTCGGTCGAGTAATCCTTCGTATGAAGCAACTGAAGAGGAGGCTGGAATTCCGCGAGGGCCAATCAATACTCGCGCGAACACCCTAGCAATTTCGGAAGGGGAGGGTTCCCTTGGTCGTGAAGCAACATGGGACGATTTCCCCAACGGTCGATGGGGTGACGCACGCTCGCCTGCGTTTGGTGAGATTGATGGGTACGGTCCAACACTGCATGTTTCTACTCCACAAGCGCTCAAGCTTTGGGGCCATCCCGTTGAGAAGAACGATATCTCGACACTGTTCCGCCGCCATATCGAAGGGGACCTCGAAGCTATACCGTGGAGCGAACAGGGTCTATCGCCAGAAACCCTAACCATCAGCAAGCAACTGCTCGCTCTGAACGCCAAGGGCTGGTGGACTGTCGCCTCGCAACCCGCCGTCAATGGCATCAAATCCACCGATACCGTCTTCGGCTGGGGCCCCAAGAACGGCTACGTCTTCCAAAAACCCTTTGTCGAATTCTTCATCCCCGCCTCGGAATTTGCTGTCTTGCAACCCAAACTCGATGCTCATGACCAGATCACGTATTTCGCCGGCAACGCCGCAGGCGACTTCGAAGCCAGCCAAGAAGACGGCGTAAACCCCGTTACCTGGGGCACGTTTGCAGGCAAGGAAATCGTTACCCCGACAATCATCGAGGCTGTGAGTTTTAGGAGCTGGCTCGATGAGGCGTTTAGTATTTGGCGTGAGTGGCAGAGGATTTATCCCCCAAGAAGTGCGTCGAGTACGCTGCTGGGTGAGTTGAGGCGTGATTACTGGCTTGTCAATGTTATTTGGGGTGATTTTGTTAATGGCGAGGGGCTTTGGGAGTTTTTGCTGGAGTAGATGTTGGGTTGCTGCTGTGACTAAGTATGTTTATGAATGATAAAGAGACGGGGGTGTGAAAAGGGAAATCAACAAGTATCAAGTTGTCTCATATGGACTCCTGATTTGCTTTTCTGCTATGAAGCTCAACTAGTCAAGCTGCTATTTTTCTTCATCGTCCTCTTCTGCTCAGGGATATCTTTAATCTTATACATGCCACACGTACATGAGAGGTATGCCAAGATGACTTTTTTTTCCATCTTGACTTCTTCTCGCGATCCAAACTCCTAAAACGCCAGCCATGCTACAGCTTCCCCTTTTCTCGACCCCATCCACCTTGGGTCTAAATCTTTATGGTGGAGAGAGATTGATGGAAAAGGGGGGAAGAGGGGAGGACAAGAAAACAGAAATGCGGTGGTGTAACGGAACACCGTTTGAAAGCGCAGGGAACGCTGGAGAGCCTTACCTAGAAACGAATTCTTGAGAGGCGTCGAGTTTCCTCGTCCGAGACAGTGAGATTTGGTCATGGAACGTCCCCAAGCCGCACTCAAAGCATGCCCGCAGCAGCAAGATCGCGATACACCTTCTCAGGCATAACGTTGCCCTCTGAATCCTCCATCTCCACCACATTATCTGCCATCATCTTCTCCTTCTTTTTGTCTTTCTGGATCTTCTTCCACAAGTCCTCAGCTTCCTTGATACTCGTAATTTCACGGAAGAGGGTCGTGTTGGTGATGCCAAGACACTTGAGGCCGTGAATGTGGCGGGGCTCGTTGAAGTGCTTGTCAAAGGCGCGGCGGCCCATATAGACAAAGTTTCCGCAGATTTCGCAGGGAAACTCGACACCCAGGCCGTGCAGCTTGTAGAGCCAAAAGGGAATGGGCTTGCCGTCCCAGGCAAGGGGTAGTTTAAGCGGATTGTAAATCTTGTCTTCGCCGTCTGAGTCGTTGGCTTCCTCGTTTGCGCCGTTTTCGGGTGTCTCAGAGTACAGTTGCTCCAGCTCTTGTTGTCGCTCGCGTTCCGTCATGCCTTGCTTTCGCTCCACGTTCATCTTAGTGTCGCCGCGCTCTGTCTGCATGGCCGCAGCGAGCTTTCGTATCCTGAACTCTCGCTCGGCGACGGCGCGTTCCTTGAAGCGTTGCATATCTGCAGAAGCACCGTTTGCGGGCTTTCCACTATCCTGTGCACCGTTTTGGCTCTCTTGTAAGGCTTTCTTATGCTTCTTTCCCGTCAAATGTGCTTCGTAGACTGTCTCTTTTGAAAATCCCTTCTTGCATGCGGAACACCAGATTCCCTCGCCCTTGGCTTCACTGTCAGCCGATGCTGCAGGGGCAACTTTTTCCCAGCCTGGGACTTGGTCCTTCTCCCACAACTCCTCAAACTCCTTGTCAAAGTTAGCGAAGAGTCGATCCAGGTTCTCTAGAGGCTTTGTCCGTCTCATGAAGCTCTCGAGATAGTCTTGCAGTGCCTTCAAGTAATGGAAGTAAGACTCGGACTTCTTCTGATCGCGGCGAATATTGCATTGCGGAGGAGTGAAGACATCGAACAGATCGAGGTACTGCAGATACGTCAGGCGGCGCGCGTGCTGATGAACAGGAAGGTTCAAGTACTGCTCATGCAGCGTGGTCAGGTCAAAGAAGCGACCAAAACCCTCCTCGCCAGTGAACATGGAGTCGATGGCTGCAATGGACTGCGCGTGGTCTTCGGGCGACCGCTTCTTGTAGGCCTTCTCTAGGTTCTCGACAGGCTCGTTCGGGTAGCGTCTGTGAAAGTCCTTGATGGATTCGACTTCTTTCAAGAAAGACTCCATCGGGTCGCCGTGGGTGAGGCCGCGCACCTCGTCCTCCTTCTTGCCATCTACATCTTCGTAGATTTTGAGGAGGCGGCTCGACTGGCTTTCAATCTGCTCGAGGAATCGCGCAATGTCGTGGTCACGTGCGAGACGGTCGCGGATCTAGTAAGATATTAGCATGTGGTTCATGATAGACGCATTAGAAGACGTACATGTGGAGGGTCATCGAGAAGGCGCTCTGCGGTAGCATCCTCGAGGCGCTCCAGGTCCTCGTGAAGCTGGCGCTGTTCTTCCAAAAGCATGGTCACGGTCGCCTAGATTAACTATGAGTCTCGGGATATAGCAGCGATTCGGCAGTGGATGTGCACACCTTTGCGGGCGTGAATGTTGTCAAGCTACAGGGTGGAGCCTGTCGCGCCTACACAAAGTGAAAAACGCGCTAGTACCCGGAATGGGATCGCCGAGGCTCCGGGCCTCCGCGACGCCTAGACGTAGCTACTCCCAAACTTTGTTGCGATTGCGAACAAAAGTCTCCAATAACCTCAACCCCACCACATACATCCCACCATATTCAAGCCAACATGGCAGACGGAATCGACCGAAATGCCGACGACAAGATGGAGTTCTCCACCTCCAAGGAGGTCACGGTTGCGCCGACCTTCGAGGCCATGCACCTAAAAGAGAACCTGCTGCGCGGCATCTACGCCTACGGATACGAGTCGCCTTCAGCTGTGCAGTCGCGTGCTATTGTGCAGGTCTGCAAGGGACGCGACACCATCGCCCAAGCCCAGTCAGGAACGGGAAAGACAGCAACCTTTTCCATTTCCATCCTCCAGGTTATCGACACGGCTGTCAGAGAGACGCAAGGTAGGATCGCATACGCCTTCGCTGAAGAAGCGCATACTGATAAACCGCAGCACTTGTACTGTCACCCACGCGCGAGTTGGCGACCCAGATTCAGCAGGTCATCATGGGTCTCGGCGACTACATGAATGTGCAATGCCACGCCTGTATCGGAGGCACCAACGTTGGCGAGGATATTCGCAAGCTCGACTATGGTCAGCACGTAGTCTCTGGAACACCTGGACGTGTTGCCGATATGATTCGCCGCCGCAACCTCCGCACGCGCAACATCAAGATGCTTGTCCTTGATGAAGCCGACGAGCTTCTTAACCGTGGTTTCCGTGAGCAAATCTACGACGTCTACCGCTACCTCCCCCCTGCGACTCAGGTCGTGGTTGTTTCCGCCACCCTTCCATACGATGTGCTTGAGATGACGACCAAGTTCATGACCGACCCCGTGCGCATTCTAGTCAAGCGTGACGAATTGACACTAGAAGGTCTCAAGCAATACTTCATCGCCATCGAAAAGGAAGAGTGGAAGTTTGATACACTCTGCGATCTCTACGACACACTCACCATCACACAAGCGGTCATCTTCTGCAACACACGCCGCAAGGTCGACTGGCTCACCGACAAGATGCGCGAGGCCAATTTTACTGTTTCCTCGATGCACGGAGATATGCCACAAAGGGAACGAGACAGCATTATGCAAGACTTCCGTCAGGCCAACTCCCGCGTGCTCATTTCCACCGATGTTTGGGCTCGTGGTATCGACGTGCAACAGGTGTCGCTCGTGATCAACTATGACCTTCCGTCAAACCGTGAAAACTACATTCACAGGATTGGTCGAAGCGGCCGATTTGGACGTAAGGGTGTGGCCATCAATTTCGTTACTCAGGATGACGTCCGCATCCTCCGTGACATTGAGTGTAAGTTTTCCAAAAGCAAATTCGTTCCAAGGACTGCCAGCTAATTATGACAGTGTACTACTCGACTCAGATTGATGAGATGCCTATGAATGTTGCCGACCTTCTCTCGTAGATGATTTTCTAGTTTCTGCATACATGTATGCGATCAAGTACCAAACATGCCTTACACCCAAAATAGGTGTGGTAATGCCGTGTAGCGAAGAGGGGTCAAGCCACTCGCTTCAAAGGAAAGTGTGGAGGAAAGGGGCTCTACAGCCAAAGGGTAAGCTCATCTCCGCTACTGGATCCTATCTTTCGATGCTAATACCACTGTTGTGCCCAGAATTAAATTGAATATATACCCAATGTTGTGCTATAATACTACGAACTGACTGGCAAGTGGATGTCTCTTGACGACATTCGGCATTTTTTTTGCGAATCCTCAGTCTATATCCATACCATCTTCGTTGATGCATCGAATGATAAGCATTGTTTCTTAGCACGACGCGCTGAGGATAATCACCAATTACTTTTGATCCACTATACTGCTTTGTGGACTCCAACATCCAGTATTACATTCCCAGCTTATAGACAAGTGAGCAGTATGTTGTCCACTCGGCCTTGCCGGTCAATTCATGCTCCTTGTAGCCGATATCCGGAGTGGGTTACCAGCAGTGAGCGGGGTCATAGCGTCCTCCGGGAGGATGAGCTGTCGATGAAGAGCGATCTGATGCTGGAAACCTCTTGTAGCCGCGCCACTGTGCGTGCTCCCAGAGACGCTATTCGCCAATTCTCAATTTATGACACCCACGCTGGTGCTAGCCTCCGCATGGCTCCGACGGTTCGCGTGGCTTCTGCCACTATCACCTCCTCCAGCATTACAAAACCCTGGTGTCGGTGTATTGAATTCTTTCAAATGGGAAATAAAGCCCAATGCTACGCTATAGCTCTGATGAAATTCTTAGACCCTGCCTGCAACGAAACCGTGACTCTCAAGTCGTCACTATGTCGGCACCAGCGCCTTGCGAATTTGTACAATGGACTTTTCGTCAAGTCCATATCCGTGCGTGCACGTCCACTGGTTCGATTTAACGATTATATACAAGGAGACATATGGAATTGAGTTCAAAGCTAGGCTGGCACTATTGGATCGAAGGGAGTGTATTTGGCTTGAACCCTGGATTTAATGCAGTCTAGGATTGAACTGTAATAGGGTCTCCCACTATTTAGTCTTGGCCAACGAACAAGAGGCTATTCTTAATCTGGACCTAAAACCAGGAGCGAATCGAAGCCGAAACCTATGGTATGGTTGACAAGTGATTAAACATGAGGTGATTGTTATGTGTGTTGGGATTACCGGAAGAGATACAAGGTCGAAGGACATCTTCCTGTGTACGCTTTGAGGGCCAATGCAATACCGAAATGGAAAGCATTCTGAAGAGAGACGGTGATTTTCACTCAACATGACTTCATGATGGCTCATGATCTACCAAACTTCATCACAACTCACCCGTTCACAACGCACGGCTTCTACCTTGCCATCGCGTGCCGTATCATGAACCATTTGTGTCCTAATTGCAGGGTCATATCCATACATCTACCCAACCTCATTCGCATGACCGCAATCGGGCTCTCCACAATGCATTCTCCGAACCAACTCTGCCCATCACAGCACCGCACTTTCGAATTCGCGCCGGCACCATAGTGCTAAAGAAGGAGGATAAATACTTCTTCTTCTACCTTCCAGGTTTCATTCTCATCAGCAATCACTATCAATCGCCTCCTCTACAGTCCAGCAGCTCAAAAGCAACCCCATCAGTACGTTTTCAACTCTCAATACCCCAGAGCGCTCTTTGCCTCACTTCCCGAGAGCATTCCTACAACGAAGCTCTCAACACATTGTCTTCAAGCAACAAGAGATCCCCTTAAAACATCATCAGATCTTCTTCAGCTAGCAACAATTGCCTTGCAATCACCTTCACAACACTCTAACATTTTCGCCCATCAGAAAAACCAACCCACCACACACCCCTCAAGACAAAAATGCAGCCCATCGCCATCACCCTGGCTCTCGCCGCCCTCACCAGCACCGCTCTTGCTGGTGCCGATAAGAAAGTGAAACCGCCCAATGTTCCCCAGCCTCCTCACCCAGTCATCACCGTCCCGGTTGAGAGCATTGCCCTGCCTATCCAGAGCGTCGCCGTTCCCGTTGAGAGCATCATTGTGCCTGCTATCAACCCCGCGCCAATCCCTGTTCCTGCGGTTCCAGTTCCCGTGGCCCCCATCCATTAAAATGTGGACGCATGTTCGTCGACGAATACAAGAAGGGACAGGTACAGGTGATCAGTGGGGGCTTTTGCGGTGGCTTCGAGGATGCGGACATGATATTCCAGCTTCCTTTTTCAAATTCGACAAGGTAGCAGAAAAGGGGGGTATCATGTTAGAGTTTCTCGGCATTCTCAAGTTGGTTCATCTTTCGTCATTGGGAGTGGTGCGGATGTGGAAGTGTGTGGTTGGAATTACTCTTTTCTCTTCTTCACCTTCTTTACCCTCATTTTTTAACGTTATATTCTACCCGGGTTTAATATCTTTTTTATCGATGCATCTCTACATATGGGGGTGCAAGGGGAGAAGAGATACCGCATGTACTGTATCGATGGTAGAGACAACATCTCGTCTTGGACAATACAACATCTCTGCCTTCTAATGATATCGTCTTTGGTTATTAAAACCAACTGCCTATAACGTGTATGGATCTTCAACCTGCTTTGCAAGTCCATATCTTGCTGTTGTGTCTTCAAGGATGCGCATCTTCGCCAAATCCCAACTGCACCCTCCGAACATCATACGATTTGGGCTATCGTCCAATGATCAGAAGCTCGGTCACAGGAAATCTGTCAAAACTTCACAGGCTACCTGCATCACCGCCCAAGCGACCTAAGTAAACGAGATACCAAGGGCAACAGGCAGTCGAGATGTCTTTTGGCTGCCTACGCACATTGACACTGCGCCTCAGCCTTGCGAGTTCTAGTACTTGTATACTGCGAAAGCCATCGACAATAGAAATTTTCTTGTGTTAAGCAAAAGCATTGTATATTCGGGAATAAAATTTCGCGAGGAAGGAAACGACCATAGGGAAGAGGGCTCTATTTGCACAAGTAACTTCGAGTGAAAGCCAGGCACGTTGAAAGAGTTGATGCGGCTGCGATGCGGCTGCGCCCCAACGGCCCCACAGATGACTGCCGCTGAACGTTCATAACGGAGAACCATGCACCCAATTGATAACATCACCGTACATGCGTTGATTCCTCCGTGGCTAATATCGCATCGTGATTGGCCATTTAATCGGGGACTTATACACCTTGTACCTGTCCCCGCCACGGCTACATGCCTTTCTGGTACTAATGCTGGCCCCAACCGATGTTCAGCTCGTCAGCCCCGTCAGCCTCGTCTGCCTTGATTGCAAGCAATAAGGCGCCCATTTACTTATAAGTATTCCCTCAAGCCTGAATTAATCAGGTAGTATTCACCCATCTTCTCCTGTGTCGCTACATTAATTGTTGCCCGAACCATGCGTTTTCTCTCAATTGGTGGTAAGGATGATGTCAACTCCACTGCCGACCATCATTAACATCCCATAAGCCACAGTAGCAAGTCTACTTGCATCTAGTAAAGCCTTTGAATTATCTCCCCAAGAAGTGTTGGACAAAAACTCCCCACAAATACTCAGTGAAACGGGCATCGATCCCTGTACCTTGGTAGACTCGCCAAAAGCGAATGCCAGCGTGCAACTTGGCAGCTGGCTAGAATGCGCCGTAAACGGTAGAGAAACTCTCCGATTAAGACCACAGAACCACCATTTCTAAGACCCTCATTCTAGGTTTTTACCCGTTCCCAGCAAACAAAAACTGGCCCGAGGGTCACGCAACCTCTTTCTCAAAAGACATCAGATTTACATTCAACGACACACACTACGACTTTGAAGGCTCACGAAGGCTTTACAACACATTCAACGCAACCCTAGGCGTCGCTTTCGCGCCCTTCAAGCACGGCTTCATCAACACTCTCGGCATCCCTAACGCTAATGGTGATAAGGGCGGCTTCGTGTACATGATTGGGTGGGCTGGTGGATTCCAGACGCGCATACAGCGCGATGTCTACTTCACCAATGCGGCGTTTGCAGTAGTCAAGGAAGTGGAGGGGGAGAGGAAGATTGTTGAGTTTAGAGAGAGCAGTAACATTCCGAATACTGCGATTTTGCCGCCGCCGGTTGAGTGGACGTGCGAATTTTAATAGGTGGGCGAAGCTTTTGAGTTTATCCGGAAAACATGGATTGGATATTTAAAATACATAGAACATGTATGTTTGGACATGTATAGATAATAGATTCTTGGAATACGCAGAGGAATATATGCGACAAGTCCTCATGTGCATGCAATAATTTCGTTCGTCAAAGCCCTAGAACAAAAGAGAATAAGAATGGAATGTATTGTGAATAAAACACCTCACATAGTACCTCAGCAAACGATTGGCTGGCTTGTTACATTGGAATAGCGAATCGCAAGCTAGGCTAATTTTCATGATAAAGAATGACGTGTGAGTACCCCTTCAACTCACTAGATCCTTCCCTAACCTCCACTTCCGCTACGTAAAGGCGCCGTCCAACTAGCCATGAATCTCAAGCGCATTGCCCGAGAACTCACGATCCTCCAACACAACCCCACAGACATATTCTCCGCAGGTCCAGCTGAGACGGGCAACCCGCTAGAATGGGTAGGATACATTATGGGTCCCCCAGACACTCCATTTGAACAAGAAAAGTTCGCGTTCGCCATCGCTTTTCCAGAGAATTACCCCGCAAAACCCTTTCGACTTAATTTTACGACTCCAATCTCGCATCCTAATGTTTCTGACGAGGGGGTTGTGCAGATGGCAGAACTGGGGGAAGAGTGGTCGCCGGTGCAGACTGTTCGCACTATTTTGATTTGTTTGCAGGTTTTGTTGACAGAACCGGATCTTTCTACGCCATACGATTGAAGGCGTAGATTCAGATACAGCAATCGAAATCTGTCTCTGATTGCGGTGCAAACGCCACTTTGTGTTTACTGAGCAAACAAATCCTAAACATAGTTCACCAATCTAAACACCTATAAATAATAAATCTCCAGACTCTACATCGCAGCCCCTGTGCTTTTCATAACCGCCAAGCCCATGTTAACTTACAAAGCTCGCCAGACATTTATTCAACAACCCACACTATGAGCTTCCACAAACCGCCACACCCCTCCCTTCTCAAAACCATCCCAGCTTCCGACTTCAAAGACTTCCTAACCGTAGCGCTCGACCTCCACACCTACAGCCTCGACTTCCTGAATATCATCCCACTCGATAATAGAGATATTACTCTCTACTTAGACAGATACCCACTAGCGACAGCAAAAGGACTGCAGGTCCGATATGACAATCTAGACCGAGAGTACGGCTGGGCCTTGGCTTCTGATCACGAAAATGTTGATAGAGTACTAAGCCAGTTTTGCAAAGCCGGGAGAAAGCCGAGCGAGTGGTTTGCGGAATTCGTGGGTGAATTGGAGAGTGTACGACGGTTGTTGGAGAAGGAGGTTGCACAGTGGGAGAAGGTCTATGATCATAAACCTTCCTATTTGCTTGATAAGTAGCACGTGTCTTGGCTCTGGTTGCCGGGATGGTGAGGTTTTACTAGGGGCCGGGGTGTAGAATGGTTCAAGGTTATCGGTGTAGTTATAAAGTTGGTGGTATTGTCAAGATTGAGCCGGCTAGGGTGTGTGTCTTATCATAAGATCAAGGTAGTTAATCAATGTTTTTTTTAATGCAACTTGCTTGCCAAAGGAGTATGTGGATAATCCAGTTTTCAACGAGTCCATTTACCCGATGGCATAAAGAGCACTTTACGAAACCAACATACGGATCTTGCATCATGGCATAAACCTTAATGGTAAAGTAGTATATTATCGCGCCTAGATATTGTACCACGAGGAATTTTCATATCTACCTCTACGCTTACGATAAAACGTAGTAACGTGATCCGGTAAAGTAGTACGATTGCATTATCTACATGGCGACCTTAGTATATGCGCACTGTGCAAACAAGCTAACCAAGTATTTGTCAAGAAACCTTGTCGACAGCAGTAAGCGTCAGTAGCCAGGATGTTAGATGAAAAAGAAGAGTCGCCCCCCCCTCAAGTAAGCCTAGATAAGTACAAGGTACTATCCATATACTTACTGTGGGGGGTTGAGACCAATGTGACTACCCCCGGATCCGCGCCGGCCCGAGTGATCCCGGACCACATTACCCAGCCAAGTACATATCTTTCCATTTCAAGCCTTCCACCTCCGTTGGAAAACATGCCGGTTTAAGCCTCATTCTTATGTTTCTCACGACTACCCGCGACCGTCTCACACAGGTGCAAATAAGCTCGGGGAGTCCAAATGCGCTAATATCTAGGATAAACCTTCGGCAGAGAACACACCGGCCGGTGAAGGATACAAGCAACACAAGAACGGGCTGCTAGCGCCCTTTTGCAGCACGGCAAGTGAAAAAGATCTTCATAAGAGTGGCGAAAGAAAGGCTACTGTAGATTAAAAATTGCCGGGTGGCTAGTATGTACCGCGCGGGTTCCAAAACACCCGAGTGGATGGAAAGTTGCTGGACACGGCACTGCACGGTAAACAAAAAAAGCTAGTGTCGGATCGTTTTGGGGGGGGGGGGTGGGTTACCGAAATGTCACTATTTGACGGCAAATTCAGACACATGCATTTTCTAGTGCGGGAGCCAAGAGAGCAGAGAGAGCAAGAAAAATGTTCTTCCGCCGCTGCGCGCCCGATTTCCAGTATACCGAAAACAAAGCTGAGGCATGATTTGATGGGGTGTTTTTTCGGGGGCTCCACTAATGGTAGTCTGGTGATATCAAATTGTTTACAAAAAAGAAGCAAGTATAACACGCAAAATGTTTGAAACTTGTGTCACCGAGAACCAGGGTTGGAGCGTTGTTCGTTCGCTTCATTGTTTTTTTTTCATTTCACATATTGCTAATTCATGACAGCCCTATTTACATCACCCCCCACTATGCCTCCCCCCTTTTACATGGGTATATGCTGGAGATCGTCGTTTTAAAAAAACCGCTAACAAAACTTGACTATTAGGAGGTGTTAGCATTGAATAGGTCTGTGGAAGATAACAAGGGTTGTGAACTTACAAATGCAGATTGTGTAGCGCTTAGGCAGTGGTGCATGTGCAGCCCTTCCTCAGAGCAGGGTCGGTGTTGGGCCATCCCACACAAAGGCGACGTCCACAGTTCAATCCGTTGACACCACAGTTATCCCGTGCGCAGGGGCCGGTGTAGCCTTGTGGGAGAGGGTCTGGCATTGCGAGAGCGACACTGGCGAAGAAGGTGGCGACTACGATTGAGAAACGCATGTTGATGGTTTGAGGAGTAGGACGGGTAGTTGGGTAGTTGGAGAATGGGGTTTGGAGTTGAGTGTTTGTACTATTGAGAGCTGAGAAGAGAGTTTGTTGTGCTGGTGCTGTGATGGTGTAAATCAGGGCGGCGTGGTTAACCTTTATATCTTCACATCAGTCCTAGATGTGACGTATCAACGGGACCCGAAACGGGACCGCTGGTCTACTGGTTAGAGGCTACAGGGACCGAATGGCTGTCGCACAGCCATGCACCGGAATGCGATCCAAGACCCTACAAGGCCGGGATGGTATTCCCAGGCCAACCCGAAACGATACAGCCAGTGCCACTACGCAGTGTTCAAATATGAAGATCAATATGCTGCCCATGCAAATCATGGAGCAATGCACACAATGCAACCCAAAGTGGACGGATTGATGAGTTCCGCCGTCAGTTGCGTTTGGGCGGCAGGGACTTGGCTTCTTGGCCCTGAGTCTAAGCTGGTAGGCGGTAAGCGGACAAGAGCGTAGATCGTAGTCGATCACCAGCCTGAGCTTTTGCCCAGGAACTTTGCTGCGGACAATACCTTACGTGTTAGTTTAACCGAGATTGTAATGGTATCGATCCGTCCTCTTGCTCGTGTTGGTGGAGTTGAGGCTAAGTCGAGATTGCCGAGACTTTTGTGTAGATCACAAGGGGTGGGAGGGCCAGGATAGGGCTGTATATGATAGCCAATATGCATACACTTTAAGATACATAGATAGGTGGGCGTCACGAGCGTCGAGAAAACGATGTCGCACGCCCAGCACTAAACGGCCTAAAGCGCACAACTCTGGGCACTGCGGCCGGTCAACCTGACGTACTCGAGCGTCTTGTCCAGGGCTTTGATGTCGCAAACAAGGCCGACTGTATACGTCCAGGCGATATGAGACGAAGGTAATGCACCTTAGCTAGACTCCTAACTGCCGGCTAGGATGATGCAGCGGCGGCTTGCGGATAACAATAGTAAACCGGATATGTGCCAAGGAAAAAGCAGCCACAGAGTAAACGGAACGAGAAACAGCTGCAGAGGACTATGTCAGTGGCGTGCGCCGGGGACGGAAGATGCAAGGCTCCATGTCGAACACGGCGCGTTTCAAGGCGAGAGGGTGGAGAGGAGGGCAGAGGGCGGGAGTGGGTTGAGAGGGCGGGAAGCTAGACGCGTGCCTTAACTCCGAGGCTGTTATCTCCACGCCTGCCTAGCCCAGTCCAGTCCAGCAGCCATGAGCGGTACCCCGTGTTTCCCCGCCATCACCAGTGATCGTTGCCTTGATCCCCCCCACCATGAGAGACGATACAAGCAGTAACAACAACAATAATAACGACCGCAACACTCAAAATGAGGGGCGCCACCACCTGCGCCCCGAGGATAACCCGTTCATCGCCTTCCGCCGGTTCGCAGACTCCCAGGTCTCCTCCCTTCTGAACACCGTCTTCACCCTCCCTGCCACTCTCGCCAACTACAACAATGCGCATCAGGCACGTGAGTTGTGTCTGTTTGGCAAGGCCAACCAGCGTCAATGCGACAAGCTTCACAACATCGAAGTGGAGATTGCCGAACTGCGGAACGAGGGGAGGGAGTTGTTCAGAGTGGGCGATGTGCAAGCTGTCCTTCGCAACAGTGAGGAGCTCATGAGGTTGGACCGCAGAGCTGATGACATACGCCGCGACATCTTGCGTGCCCCTAATCAAGAGAATCAAACACAGCTCCCGCGTCGCAATGAGACCGAGCTCGTCGAGAGAGTCGCCAACAAAAAGGGTCAGGAGTGGGGATGGTCTTGGGACTGGGGTTTCCCTCGACCATTCGACCATGAGGGTCAAAACGGTCGGGACACATCAGAGGATCAAGACGCCAACAGCTCTGTAGCTCTGGACAGGCTGCTGCGGATGCAAGCGGAAGCGACGCGACTGGCCCAAGACTTCGAAGACAAGGCTTGGGAAGACTCGGCCGTCCATGTAGTAAGATTCGACAATTACACCCAGACTCAGTCTGACGGTAAACAACCCCGTCTATGGTCATGGTCAAAGTCATGGCAATGGCCCCCAGTGCCAAATGCATCACCGTCTGACATGGACGCATACTCGCCTTGTGCGCTAGAGCAGAATCCTACCTTGAACAGAGCAGGTATACCGTGGCGCGCTGCCTATGAAGATCTTCTGCGGGCCGAAGAGATCTCGATGTCGCAGCGACAGTCAGCGCAGACCATGGAGCAAGACAACGAGAATACACATCCAAGCAGCATGTATACCGACGCTTGGTCGTCTCGGCCCAAGATCCCCATCACTCACCGACAACTAGAAGAGATGATGGAGCGGAGTGAGAAGCTCACTTGTCCACGGCTTGCTGCGCAAGCTGAACCGAGCTACGAATACAGTCACGATCATGAAGACCAGCACGATGACCCGCCTACACCTAAGCGCACCCAGTTTTTCCTGCACACTGCGTCCCAACAAGACCCAGCAAATCGTTCTGACAGAGAAGCCGCACGATATGAAGATTATGCCAAGGAAATGCAAGACCCCGCAACTGAAATGGACGCCTACGAGCGTCTTGATGCTGTGTCCGCACATACAGCCGTCCCACCTCTGGCTGGGCAAAATGAGCAGAGCGAGGCCAAGTCTTCCATCTTGTCGACACTCACAACTACCGAGCGCACTGTTGCGCCCAACGGCACTATAACCACCAAAGTCTTGCTCAAGAAACGTTTTGCAGACGGCCGCGAGGAAAGTACAGAAACGGTACATACTGAGCGCGGCCAAGAGACTAACGACCCCTCACGAGATCCTTGGAAAGCACTACGAAGCGGTCAGTCAGACTCGTTGGAAACAGGGGATAGCCATGGCAAGAAGAAGAGTGGTTGGTTTTGGTCTAACTGACTGTCATCCTATCAGTGAATCAACGTTGAAATACGCAACAGGTCATCTGAGATTTCAACCATCCTCCTGGTGGGTTTATGATCGCCGTTCGCTTCTACTTACCATTCGCTTCCATCTATCTGACATATTATGATTCATTCTTTTTTTGTAAATAGCACTTCGCACATACCCCTCTCAATTCAATGCAAATTCTTTATCTCCTTTCAAATACAGAAGACGAATATCTTTTTTGTCTTGGTGTTTTCCCTAACATGTTTCATGAATGCATGTCAGTGTTGCATCACGACTTGGCAAACTCCAATCTCAAAAAACCTTCTCGAATGATTACCGATACGTATATAGCACTTGTCACATGTGCTCGAGAGCCGCATACATCCCCCCCACGCAGTGTCACAACCTCCATCCCAACGTGACAGTTTCCGAGGCATTCCCTGCAACGCGGACTCCATCGTCCCAACACTCCGCCTGCACAGACACTCGCCCGTCACAAATTCCCATACTCGCACTGCTCGATTCCCACTATTGTCACTCTGCATAGCCCCGTTTACCACGCATACACTCTCCCCACTATACAACCACCCATCGCATTGTACCAGTTACCTACCCGCATAACGAAAGCAAGCACTGCCACACGCCAAAATATAACCCCCTCCTCCTTGTCACAACCCTGCACAACTAGGTGCAAGGAACATAAGCACTGCCCCCTCCGAGCGAGCGCAACGCATATCTTTTCCTGGGTTGTAAATAGTAGACATGGCGTTTACATTCCAGCCATAGATAAGCCTGGCAAGGGTAAGTTGAAGAGAAAAAAAATGTGTCTTGGCGTTTCCGCTCCGCCCGCTGGGCGGGAACGGGCTGAAACGCGGCGCGTGGAGGACAAGTGTAAACGGGTAGTGTGTCGAAGGGTAAGAGGTATGTGGAATTAATGGCCGCGCGTTAAGGCAATCTTTCGGCGCATTTTCTTTTTTTTCTTTTGGAATGATCTTGTTTCTCAGGTTAGGAAAGATTTGGGGGGTATTTGAAACGGTGTTTGCACGTGGTGGGTGGGGTTTGCCTGAGTTGTGCTGGGGTGAGAATGTCGGCGTGGTTGTGTTGTAGATGTGGTGATTGGTGATTGTGGATCCATTGGCGGGGAGTTGTTGCTGGGTTTGATGGGGGTGCGTGTCGTGTCAGTAGAGCGGCGTAGAAGGCCGCCTCATGCCTCGTGTACATAGGCGCTGGGTTGTAGAGGTGATGAGGCTCTTCGAAACAGTGTGGGTGGAGAAGCGGGATACACTCTGTTTCCATGCCTGGGTATGGATCAGATTTCAGGTGTCGTTTGAAGCACTGGGGTATTTGTAATAGACATAATTGCAGCGGGGGAGGTATTGGGTACGAAGCACTGATTGTGAGACGACAGTGGGAAACCAAATTATCTGCCGGTGATTTGATTGAACTGAAAACATTGGATTGTGTACAAGAACATCATCGTGAAGGTTCGCGCTACCCAGTCTGATAAAGGAAAAGCGCAGGAGATGACAGGAATCGAGAAAAAGTTCAAGAAATTCCTGACTTACGACCCATTCATGAAAGCAGCGTTGTCAAGTCAGACGTCTGCTCTTTATGCGGAAATACCAAGTAAGATCTTTTGCCATAATCAGTGCGATGATCATCGACGGACCTTCCAAAGCGTACCTTGTAAGTATCCCCACTTCTGCAGAAGACGCTCGATATCTTTTCTCGTCGATTTTCTGGCATCCTCTCGATCGATTCCCTGATCAAGCAAGGCGTCGTATGCGGTATGTCTATGGCGAACGTGTGCAATCACAGCAAGTAATACCTTCCGCGATAATGGTATCGAATTTGTCCTGCCCACTCTACCAGAGTGCTTCTTGAACCCATGTTTAAGCACAGTCTCGCGTTCATCTTGGGGCATTTGTGGGAACTGTTTTTCCACTTCAGCACTTGCTTTGGCAATGTCAGTAGCATCGCGCTTGTTAGTTGCAGCACGACGCGTCGAGAGTGTTTGTTTGGCCTGCTTGTGTACTTTGTCTAAGATTGCCAAGGGTGCACGTAGTCCAATCTGTTTCTTGTTTTCCAACACGATATATAGAGGACGGGCTGCTTTATGGGTGAGCTTGCGGCAATGCAGCGTTTTGTACCGGTTTCCTTTTGGGAGGAAACCGTACGCTTTTGGCATTGGTGTATCTGCGGATACTGAGATTTCAGAAGGCATATCGACTGGTGAACTGTCCGCTCGTCTGAAACGTATTCATGAGCTTTGGGATATGAAATGGATTCCTGTGATCAGCTCGGTTAATACGGGAAGCAAGCTGAGTGCTTTTGATATTCGATTGCTAGACAATGAATCAAATTACGTTATCCCCCCTTTTTTTTTGTTGATGTGCACAATGTCGTGCGAGGCACGAGTGTATGGACAAAGGGGGTTGTTGATGCGCGGTCGCGTCGAATGAGCCGCGTGTAAGTTGGCACCAGAGACGCTAGACCCGAAACGTCCACACGTGACTACGCGCTAACCTATCCCAGAATACCTCGACTGCTTTTTGATCCGCGCCTCAATGTTATTTCATTTCGACTCTGTGAAATGGTTACTGTTCTGAGGGAAGGTTTTCCGTCGACTTGTATCGCCAGACATGGTGGCTATATTGGTTGGGCCTGCCCTCCCCCAGCTACGGATGACGCGGCAGCCCCAGATCTAACTTTGGCATCAAGGGGCGACGGGGCCCACCTGCGCGCACCAATCCGGCCACATTTACAGCTTATAGCTCAGCCAGGCTCCAGCCACGGTCAGCTGAATGGCAACGTCGTGGCATACTTATAAAATCTTCAGCCACACATACAGACCCTGTCAATGACAGTTCCCGCGCGTGACCTGTTCTTTCCACCGTCTCTAGCTTCTCTGGCCATGCAGATCAAGCCTCTGAGTCGATCCGATACAGGTTTTGGCGATGATACCGACCTAGCCAACATAACATACAACGACAAGTACGTCATCGCGTATGACTTTAGCGACGTTGGTATGTCCACGAACCACTCCACTCATGGCTCTTACTGACAAGCACCAGACGATGATGTTGCCATCAAAGAATGCCAACAGCTGCTGCACGATCTCGAGTCGGCTGGACTGAACACTGAAGTGCGTGCTGGCTACGATGAATCTTTGTTAGTCTTTGTCCAAGTACCGAGGGATTTGCTTGGCAACACTGTATACAAGTCAAGGTATGCTTTCAATGCTCGTAGCTCTTCTCAAGTCTTTGTCACCTAACATATCCCCCAAGAGTCAAGGATTGGCTATATGGCATCACCAAAAACCATCCCGGTGGCACCGCCAAGTCAATCGTTTCAGCAGCTTTTGAAGCTGAAGATGTCCTCTCTGTATATCACCTAGTCAACTGGCGTAAAGAGTTTGGAGGTGCAGGCATCACTCCGGGCTTTCCACCGTGGGAAAACGTCACCTCAATCTTCCCGTTACACAACCCTCGTGCAAATCGGGCGCTTCTGGCTCATCTCAGCACACGAGTCTTCTTAGATCTTTCCGACCTCGACCAAATTCGTAATCTTTGGGGTTCGAAAGTCGCTTTTTACTTTGCTTTCATTCAGACATATTTCCGTTCCCTTGCCTTCCCATGCGCTGCTGGACTCTTCGCATGGGCATTCCTTCCACAATATTCGCTATGCTTCGCCTTGTTGATTGGCGTTTGGTGCACAGTATTCTTGGAGTACTGGAAGATCAAGCAAGCAGATCTTGCTATCCGCTGGAATGTGCGGGGTGTGGGTAGCCTGAAGGTGGATCGTCCACAGTTTCGTTACGAAAAAGAGATCATTGATTCAGCTGGAAGAGTGCAGCGCATTTTTCCCCGATGGAAACGAATCCTCCGACAACTGCTTGTCGTTCCTTTTGTTATTATCAGCACCGTAATTCTTGGAGCTCTCATCACTTGCGTATTCTTTCTTGAAACGTTCATTGGCGAGGCATACGACGGACCGCACAAGTTTTATCTGGTAAGTATAGTCTCTGGTTGTCGCATCGCAATGAATAGTCTAACAAAAAACAGGAATACCTTCCGACTATTCTTCTCGCAGTTTTTTTGCCATATGTCACCAGCTTTTTGGAAGACATCGCTACCGTTCTGACAGACTACGAAAATCATCGCACCGAGGATCATCACGAGATGTCCCTCACTCAAAAGGTCTTTGTGCTCAACTCCATTACTAACTACTTGCCCATACTCCTCACCGCATTCGTATATGTGCCCTTTGGTAACAAAGTTTTGCCGGTGTTACAGAGCATGTTGGATGCGGTGCTGGGCTCCCAGAACAAAGGGAAGACCAAATTCCATGCCGATCCCGACAGACTACGCAACGAGGTCATTGCATTGACCGTAACTGGTCAAGTCTCCGGTGCGGTTGAAGAGTTAGCATTGCCTTGGCTAAAGGAGCAGGTCAAGCAATGGTGGCGCGATCGACAAGCTTCTCGAGCTCAGAATCAAGGAAACGTGGGCGCACAACTGGCACCGGAAGACCCCATTGAAGCTGGCTTTCTTCGGCGCACAAGAAGGCAAGCGCTTCGCCCCTCGTACAATGTCCAGGAGGACATTGCGGAGATGGTGATCCAATTCGGTTATCTTGCATTGTTCAGCCCCGTATGGCCACTAGTACCCATTGGATTCTTTATCAACAACTGGTTCGAGCTTCGGTCCGATTTTCTCAAAATCTGCGTGGAGCACCAAAGACCCACTCCAATTCGAAGCGATGGCATTGGGCCTTGGGTTGCCAGTCTGGAATCCCTGACATGGCTGGGAAGTGTCAGTAGTGCCGCTATTGTTCATCTCTTCGGCACCGAGCAATTTCTTGGCCCGTATTTTGGCTTGAGCACGTGGGCCAGTCTTCCACTCACAATCCTCATATCAGAGCACATCTTCATGGCTTTCAGAGCAGCGGTCCGATTCGCACTCTCACGAATCGGATCCGAGCAGATACGCAGAGAAAGAGCCGAGCAGTATGCCGAGAGAAAGCGACATCTCGATGAGCTGGAAGCAAAGGCCACCAAGGTATCCCATCTGGATGTAGCCGAGCGCGAAAGAAGGAAGAGTGTGAGGATCAATGCAGCCGATATATTTTGGACTAAGCAGGTCGATGTAGGAGCCAGTGCTGAAGCCGGTATCAGTATCATCAAAGCGACGAAAATTGCAAAGCACGAAAGCGAAGTCACAGGTAGGAGCACCAAAATAGACTAGTAGAGAGATCAAGAAGCACACAATTATAGGGGAAAGATCAACTTCTTCATTCCTTTCAATCAAATATTTACAATATCTCCACCACCAATCAAAGTATTTACAATAATATGTCGAAAAGAAGGATAGGTAAGGGAGCAAGAAAAGACATAGTCTTCCTGGTTCCCAGGATGCCCAGCATCGCAAACAGTTTACTTGAGAGCGTTGAGGACAGTGGTGTAAGCCTGCTTGGGGTTGTAGCTGTTGTCGAAGAGGAGAGGGTTGCCCTGGGGCCTCCAGGAGTCGGAGTCCCTGACACCCCAGACGGTGATACCAACGCAGTTCTTCTGGTTAAGGCAGGCCTTGGTGACGTTGGTCCAGTCAGCCTGCTGGGCGTTCTGGATGTCGACCTCGGTCATGGCGCACTCGGAAGCAACGCTGCAGAGGAGCTTCATGGCGTCGATGGTAGCGGCACCCTGGCCGGCGGTAAGGTGAGTCTGCGAACCGATACCGTCGATGGGGATACCGGCGGCGATCCACTTCTTGACGTTCTTGGCCATGGCCTGGGTCTTTGCGTAGTTGGCAGTGTCAAGGCTATATTGCAGTCAGTATATCGAAAAACTTGGTAATCATAGATCAATGCTTACTTGTAGTCGTTGATGTAACGCTTAGCAGTGGGGTCAGCCTTCTTGGCAGCCTCGAAGGCGATGCGGACAAAGTCCTCACCGAGGACGTTGTAGAAGACGCTGGCACGGAAGTTACCGTTCTCCTCGAACATCTCGTTGATGACGTCCCAGGCGTAGATCTGGCCCTTGAAGTGGCCCATGACGGAGGAGATGTGGTTCTGCATGACAGTGGTCAAGGTGGCCTTGTCCTTGATGGAAGAAACCCATGAAGGAAGCTGGGAGTGCCAGATGGTGGTGTGTCCACGGATGAGCTTGCCGTTGTCCTTGGCGAACTTAGCGGTCTGGTCGGCAGTACCGAAGGTGAATTTGCCACGGGTAGACTCGGTAGCATCCCACTTCATGGAGTTCTCGGGGGTGATTTGACCAAAGTTGGCCTTGATGATGGCAGCGTTCTTGCCCTGGTTGAATCGGCCTGGGTCAGTGGCGGTACCGAAGTACTTCCTGCCCTTGGCCTTCATGGCGGCATCGAGGCTCTGCGCAGCCTGGCGCTCCTCAAGGAAAGCCTCTGGCTCAGCAAAGGGAGAGGCAGCGACCAAAGCGCTGGCGGAAAGGATGGTGATGAGAGAAAACTTCATGGTTGCTAAAAGGATTGGTTTGATTGTTTGGTAGAATGGAGAAGCTGAAATGAATGAATGTGATGGATACGAAGATATGCCCATGGGCCCAGCTCTACTTATACCAATCCATCGTCCCCCCAGAGTGCCCTAGACTATTCGGCGCACGCATTTCGTCTAAACAATGTAATTCGCCTCAAACAACGGCAGGCGTCGTCTAGAAGCCGCATACCCACCACGTTGTGGAGAACCCCCGAAAATAGGGCGTTAACGCAATCAAACATCGCCTGCAATCGCACCTGCAATGCGTCGTTCATGTCGGTCATGGCCTGAATGATTCGTAGTCTTACCGTATAGAGTAAAAAAGTGGGGACCAGGCGTTTCGGGTTAATTTATTCCAAGCTTCGGTGGTCGGTTCTTGTGCTGCTTGAGGTACTTGGCGTTTTCTGCACGGGGAAAAAGCGGCTAAATGCGAGTAGGGAGTTCATGGCGAAACAACAACAGCCGGCCTATGCTTGTTCCACCTAATTCTCGAAACGCGACATCATTGTGCTGAATAAATTTCCGATATTAATATATCAACAGGGGCTGTGTTCAGTACGCAAGTAAGCACACGCAAAACCATAGCTCGGTACGTAGACCGCTTTACTCTGCGCGCGAGTAATTAGTGCAGCACAACAATGACTGGATCCACGGAGCTCTGATAATGATTCACCGCAATACGGGATATGTCCGGTACCAGTGCTGGTTCTACGGGTCCATTTCTGTTCTTCGTTGGTTTGGCTACGTGGTGGCATGCGGGGATGGACGATTCGTGGAGAATATTCCGTAGCGATGGTCCGTACTCGTCGATCGACTTGGCATAAGACCACTTGGTAGGGGTAGTAAAGCCGTTAGGATTTGCGAGGATGATTTCTCCGGAACAGAAGGAATTGTGGAGTGCATCTGTCTGGGGAAACTGCATATGCAGCCAAGGTACCTGCGCTTATTGTCTTCCACAAGCTTTCCAAGACTCCACTTGGCTAGCCGAATATCCAGGCTTAATGGATGTGGACGTTAATTGACACACCAATAAGGAGAAACAGTGTGCGTTCTTTACTGTGGAAGATTGTTATGCCGGACCAACTTTCAAGGCGAGCTACAATGCTCACGCCAACACCGCTTACTGCACTGCGCTGCGATATTAGCCCGTTGGATTTGTTTGGTGGTGTGACCAGATTGGAGCCCAAGGAATAACTGCTGCTTGTGTGGTGCTGCGCAAGTCAGATCTAAGGACTGATGTCTACGGAGGTGCCTCACAAAAGTTCTGTCCCACGCTAATCTCGGCGCTTCGGCACAACTCTTCTTGGCGCAAATCTCTCCTTCATGCTGAGTAGCTGTACGATCTATCTGTATCTATCGTTACTATGTCTCCTAATACTGATACTTACAC